GTTTTGTTTGCTTCTTTTGTACAGCAGGTAAACGAAAATTTGACGGGGGTCACCAGAACCAGGGGGAATCTAAGCGTCGCTTCCAGAGCAACTGGGGAAACCAACCCCTCGCTCAGCAACCACTGGGCAATGCGTACGGATTGGCGAGTGTGAATGGTGGCAGTGGTGGTGGTGGCGGCGGTGACATTGGATTTGGAGGCAGGACCGCTACGCTCGGCGGTATTTCCAGTGACGACCACGAGTGGTATCAAGACTCTTACCAATCGTGGAGCTAACTTCTGCAAGTTTGTGAGTGAACACGCACGCACGTACGTAAACACGCACGCACGCACGCACGAACAAACGAACAAACAAACAAATGACGGATAAACTATGAGAAAAGCGATAAAAAGCAACGGAAAACCAACTGAACTAAACTTAAAAAAATTATATATATATATATATACATATATATATAAAAAAAAGGTAATATAATTGTGAAAGAAGAGCGAGGAGCGCATAATAAGCGATAGAAGAAATGATTACGGTAGAGAAAGATTTGAAACGAAGGAGGATATAATCCACTTATATATATATATATGCTATTTATTATATCGATCTGGTAATTGTACATGTTTTCGTACGTATTCAGTCATCGGATGGACAAGACAAGTAGGAAAAAAAAAAATATGCGTAAAGCGTCGTGCGCTCGGCGTCACCACCATCGCCCGCTATTGTTGTGATTATGTATACAGTGATGTGCCACTGGGACTAATTATTACATCGGAGTGACCACCCAACAACCCACCCCGTACTACTATTATTATTATTATTATTATTATTATTATTGCTATTATTATTATTATAATTATAATAATAATTATTATTATTATTAATGTTATTATACATATACGTATATGTATGCATATATATGCGCGTGAATGTGAGATGTATGCGTTCTGTCTATATACGTGAATGTTTTATATACATCGTATGTATGAACATTACATATAATGTATATATCGCATACGCGAATAGGCAAACGCGTATACAGCCTCGTATGATCCTGTGTATGTACGCCTCTGAGAGTACATGCGAGCATGTATGGTACGTATGTATGTCTGTCGGACGTTGTACGAATGCATGTCCGCGTATATATGAATGCATATATGTATATTAATTTTTAAGTACTACTACATTGTCACATTGTTTACTGCCAAGTGATACACGAAGATCAGCGATGTTGACGTTAGGATTGTGATGGCTTGTACTAATTAAGAGAAATCAGTGAAGCCTGCGATTTTATTATTGCTGCGGTTCAGTGTTGCAAGTATACGTGTGTAAGAAAACGCGCGCGCGCGTGTGTGTCTGTGTGTGTGTCTGTGTGTGTGTGTGTGTGTGAGCGTAAAGGATAGCGATCGAAGGAAGAGAAAAGGAATCGATAGTAAAGTTTAAGATAAAAGTATAGACGAAAGAACTCGAGCAACAGGGAATTTAGTGTAATGATATAACGGAAGTGGACGACGGTGGACGACGGCAGACGATACGGGAAAGAAAGGCGATGCAAGAAAGTTAAGGAAGAATGAATGTTGCGATAGAGTTGTGACGCGTGAATGAGATATTGCAAGTATCGATATAGTGATAAATTTGAATAATTTTTGTAAGGTTGAGGAAGGTGGAACTGCGCGTGTACGTTTTACGCTGCGCGTGCGCATTCCTGCGCACGCATACGCGCATGCGTACACGCGGCCGTGCGCGAATGTACGGTGTGTCGTGTATGCGTGGAGCGCGCCAAGCGCCGCTAGACCTTCTATTGTTGGTCTATAATGTGTACAGTCAGTGAAACTATTATTATTATTAAGGGTCAGGCGGGTTTTATGGAAGTAGGAACTGAAAGGTTTAGGAATCAACGGTTCTGCAGACATTTATCGCATTCGATCGGTTATAATTACGAAATAACGCGTCAGACGGAAGAACGAAACTTTAATCGAGACAAAATTGTTTGTTAAGTACCGCGCATATGTGTAATATTTGTTTTTTTTTTTTTCTTTTTTTTCGGTGGTAGTGTTACAAGAGCGGAAATTAGTCGAAATTTTAAATGATGTTTGTTATTTCTTCGCTTCTTCGTGTTCTTTTTTTCTTTCTTTTCTTTTCCTTTTCTTTTTTTATTCAAATCTGAGAACGAAACAAAGAACCGTTGAATACATACAAACGAGTGTACGGGATGAATAGAAAAAAAAGCATAGCTTATATGTTTCGTTTTCCTTTTTTTCTTTTTAAATCTTAAAATTTTACTTTCAAAATTTTTATGTTACGTTTCATCGCGTGATTCGTGCAACGCTAATGCGCGCTCGCGCAAATCTTTTTAGATAACGACTGACTACTGAAATTTGATAATGATAGTCACGGATTGATTTAGGATGTGTAAAGTAAACGCAACGTTTACAAATGCATGAACGCATACAGCACACATTTTGAGTGTTGACTCGTTGTTATTGTTAGCCTGTTAGTTAATTAGTAAGAGTTGTAAGTGCGGGCTTATAGTTGGTCCCTGTCCCTGGAGCCCAGACACCCCCCTGTTCTGGAGAATATTTGAAAAGGAAATATAAGCAGAAGCTTGATACCATTTTACACGCAAACCCCCCAAACTTATTACGATGAAAAGGTAGAAAGTTGAACAATTAATGAGAAACATTAAAATTCGTTTGTAACGAAGCGACTGCATATCACCGTATTGTTCTATCGTGTAGCATGAGAAAACGAATCAGCACATACATCGGCTCTGTTTGAATATTACATACATATGAAAAAAAAGAACCAACGTACATAAACACACATACACATGTACAAGTAGATACCAGAAAAATGCAGTTTCATATGGAAGCGATAGAAATTTCAATACGTAAGAAAAATGAAAAACAAAAAAAAAAAAGAAAACACGAATTCTGTCCACTGAGTTTTGAAACAATCGATTTTCAAGAACGAATAGCTTTGAAAGCGATCGATTAGTTGAAAATTTATCGCATCGATGAGCATTTTGTTACATTATTATTATTATTATTCGCTTTTTACTTAAACTTCATATTTCTTTGCCATCGATACTAATAGCGATGATATGATAACTGTAACATAAAGATCGAAGGCCCCTTACTTTTACTTCCTGTCCCCAGTCATGCGGTCATTGTCTAACGGAAAGAAGCAACCGGGAGTGTGAGCGGGAGAAATAGAAGAAATGGAATTTAAGAGTGAAAGTGATCGATCGGGTGAGAGGGAGAGAAAGAGAGAGAGCGAGTGAGAGGGAGGATGATGGCAAGGATGGTTGGATGGAAGGGAAGAAAAGGGATTGAAGCGAATGAAAGCAAAAGGAAGATAGAAAAAAAGGAGCCAGCAGTTGAAAAAAGAAAAAAACAGAAACCGATATTTTACCTGTACTGGTTAAATATTATTGCCTTTTATTCCTTTAGTCCTCCTCCTCCTCCTCCTCATCTCCTATAAACTCTTCATTATTCACTTACCATATTTTATACCTACCTATTCTACTTACCTACACATGTCCTATTTATAAAATCATACTATCGAGGATATAATAATATTAATATTAATACGATAAGGATAATATTGCTAATTATACTGAGTGGATTTTTGTAACACAATAACATTTCAATATAAATTCTGGTTTTCCTTCGAAATTTGTAGTAAAGGAAGATTATATACATATATACGAAGCAGGCAGGCAGGCAGGTAGGAAACAAAGATGCAAGCGAGAAAGAAAGAAAGAAAGAAAGAACGGACGAACGAAAGAAAGAAAGAAAGAAAGAAAGAGAGAAAGAAAGAGGGAAAAAAAGGAAACAAATTCAGCTTGCGGGGGCAAGGAAGCATAACCTGGCAAAAGCAGAGGCAGTTCACGGTGACGAGACTTTAGACTGATCTAGGTACTAGCGTTACGATATTGGCCCTACCCCAGCCTTAAGGTGCCCCAACAATTATATCATTTACCCTCTTTGCGCTATTTTATACTTTGACCGGTGTGTGGCAGCTGGGGTGCCTGGGGGGTTATCGGTCGCATTTAGGATAAAATGCACCACTGTGGCTGACAATGCAGTAGCCACGCGCGCCCTTTTACCCGGTCATTGACCTAATTCGCGACACACATCCTTGGGAACTTGACTCTTTTTTGGTTGGCCCGTGTCAAGCGGATGTTGTGTGATTTTTGGGTCGCTCAATTTATGTTAATAACGGCCCAAAGATGTGTTTTTTAATTATATATAAAATATATTATATATTATATTCCTGCGAATATGCATTTTGTGACGTGATGTTATATAGCACTAATGAGGAAAACAAATAACAAACGATAAACAAACAAAACAAGCAAACACATAAAACAAAAAAAAAGATAAAAAAATATGAACAATTGTGTACGAAAAGAAAATGAAAGAAAAAATGTTTAAAAAAAAAAAACGAAATACGTAACACTATTCACACGAATATAAACGGTTTATGTTTCTCGCGCCACATGCCACATGTCAGCTCCATGGCTATAAAAAAGAAAAAAAAGTTTCTTACAAATTTCTTACGACCAAATTCTTCTATCGTTAGTAATTGCGTTTTCAGATTATTAATTCTCTTTTTTTTTTTTTTAATTATTCATCTTCCAATTGCTTTGCTTTTTTTAATTCCCGCAATTTTAAAAGTTGCCCATAATTTTAGTGTGACGTAGTTGAACATAATAATTATCGATGAATTTAAAAACGATGTTGAAACGGTTCCTTTTTTTCGGGCTAGGAGCTTGATTTAAAGTGTCAAAGATTTTTGTGTATGACCAGATGTATTCTACATGTCTCAATAAACAGTTGTATGTGAATTACCTTTCTTAAACGATGCTGTATTTATTTGCACGGTATCGGTGTTTCCGGATATCAACTAACTCCTCGTTACAGCTATTAATCTTTCTCATTCCACGCTTTCTATCTTCTCGTATTTCTCATCTTGCTATTGTACAAGTAACAGTAACACTATAGAGAAGAAAAGAGGAGTAGGAAGCGGGAAGTAAGTAGAAAGCGCGAAAGACCGGGGTGAGAAGTAATATCATTTGCATTCTTTTTCTTTCCCGATATACTTCTTTTTTACAAGTGTCTTTTTTTATTTGTTTCGTTCATATATTTATGTATTTCTTGTGAAAAATAATCGTTCTTCTACTATTTTCTGTAGAATATAGAAAGTAGAAACCCTCGGTCGATGTCAGAATCCCTTGTTCTTGCTCGTTTCTCCCCACTCTCGCTTTAACTGATTCGAGCGACCTCTCTCTCTGTATCTCTCCCTTATGGTTAGGGCGTATCGGGGTAAACCAGTATCTCGATAGGAGTTGAAAGAGAGGGGTGCAGTTGCCACTGCGGGGGATTCTGTCGTATCAGTCGTTTCTGTCACTTTAGCAACGTCCCTATTTTATCTCTCCGTGCATCAATTCTCGCCGGAGTCAAGTTCGCCTGTGCAACGTGCATGCCGGGCGCGTGTACGCGCGTACCAACCCCCGAGATCCGCGTACGCGTTATATGGAGTTTTCGCTCCTATATTTCGCCCCGTATCTTGACATGCAAGCGTAATGATAAAGATGATATATCGCATCGATGTCGTCCTCGTGCCACGATTATCAATAAGCAATTTGCCTTATGCCCCTATAAGATCAATAAGCAGATTGCTCGACACGAGCCTGAACCGAGTATCGCGATCCGGATAGATTCCGCGTTTGGTGACTGTGTTTGTCGTTTTCGCGCAACCATCGATTTTCCTACGATTCGTCCTGACCATTCCTTGCTACTTTTCTCAATTTGCTAAATGTGCAAACTTGGAGAGCCACGATCCATCGTGGCGTAAAGTGTGCGGCATAAAGTTGGTGCACCGAAAGAAGGGTGAAGTGTGCGAAACAGCTGGCCGGGCGGTTGAGCTACGACAGTATCGTATTGTTTAGTTTATCGTTCGTATTCCTGCGAACTTAACGAAACGTTAAATAAGATTCGGGTGTTGAACTCGACCTACGCGTTCAAGGTACGTATTCAAAGTAATGTATGTAAGTAATGTATTCAAAGTCACGTTACTGTACCGTTATATGTATACGTGTATAATTTATAATTTATATTCTTTATTCGAGATCCGCTGATGTTGACCGTGTTCTTTTCTCGTCCAAGTGACTAAAGGGCGCGGTTTCGAGTTCTACCGTCTCCTCTCCCTCTTGTGTTTATTTCGCAACACTTGTCGCAATTCCTCCTTAAGTTTTATAGCTTATACTTTAAAGTTGACACAACGAATGCGTGTAATATATAGAATAGTAACGAGGTAGATTAGATGCGATGACATTTTTAAAGGGCGCGTTCGTAGGAGGGATACGGGGTTACGAGGGCGTGGCCTCGATAAATAAACGCGACACGTGCTTTGAATGCCCCTACGGAACAACATCTTTTCGATTTTTGCGAATCGTGTTTTAAAAGTGGTTGAAAGTTAAAAACACTTATGATTACAGATGATGTTCAGGAGCAATTTTTCATATTCTTCCTATGCGTGGAACAGAGATTGACGATATGGTAAAATCATTGTAAAATTAATTTATTATTAATAATGTATGTTCGTCGAATCGATGAGAAGGATTAAAAACGCGCTAAAATTAACTCTGTATCCCCAGGATGCAGTATGGCTTCGGTATTCTGGCAGGCTTCAGGGAATAATTTCATTTCTTCCGCTTTTATCTTGTTCTTGCTACTCTGTCCTCGTAGCAGTACAGGTCAGTGGTAATACGTGAATTACTCTTTAATGTGTCAGGACGCGATGCAGATATTTCTTTGCTAGGTTAAGAAGGTAACGAACGTTTACGTGTTTACAATTTCACAGAATGCGATCAGAAGTTTATAAGCACACCGGATGGTGCATTAAACGGAACTTTTCATGCACCGACGTTGATTAATCCCGAAGGGGATTCTCGGCAATGCGTGTACACGTTTTTCGCTGGGCCGAGGCAACGGGTAGAATTGGTTTTCACCTCGTTTGGCCTTCGAGGGGCGCCACCAGAGTAAGTTTGTTTTTCAGTTTCATCGATGAACCGTAATATTTGCAATAATATTGTTAATAAGTAAGTACACGTTGATCGCTTACCCTGGTCCGTTTATTTATGAATTTGCGTTCGATAGTGGCGCCGCCGTCGGAGAAATACCTGCGTAAGTATCAGCGCATCTTATTTACACGGTTGATCACGATTAATGAAACGATTAATCAGAGATATTCTTCGTTTCCAGTTGCGTCCACGAATACATCGACTTGTACATGGAAGTTAGATCCGAGAACACAAGCAAGTTGGTGGATACGCCTTTCGGAGGACGTTACTGCGGTCCAATTCCACCTCGCAGGCGGATTTCCCTATACCAGGGAATCGCCCTTAGTTTCTACACCGATAAAAATATCACGTTACCCAGCCTCTTTAGCGGTACTTACGCGTTTGTCAATGCATGTACGTTTACTCTTCTTCATCTCTTTCTTCTTCTTTTTCTTCTTCTTCTTCAGCTTTTCTTTTGTTTTTCTTATTTTCATTTTTTTATTTCTTATATCACTGTTGTACATTCGAGCCTTTCGCAAAGGCGCGTATTCGATTCATAGAGTAAAAGGGATATAGAAAATTTGAAAACATGAAAATATGAAAATATTGGCAAACAATTTTTCGATAGATCGTTCGGTGCAGACTGGAATGTTAATCGACAATGTAATTTGCAGCGGAATACGAAGTAGGAACGCCAGCTCCTAGCACGCCGTGTTCTTTCACGGTAAATTCGGAAAACAAGCGTAACGGCAACATATTATCTCCCACGTATCCGGGCACTTATCCGAAGGGACTGGTGTGTAGCTATAAGTTTATCGGGAAAGACAGCCAACGAGTACGCTTGGAGTTTCGAGACTTTGATTTGTTCTTTGGAGGTCCACAGTATGTATACGTAAACGTATTACAGGGTGATCCTCTCGCTAGTAGACCCAAAAGGAAGTGGCGCAATAATAGAATGAAGAGGTTGACATTTCTGTCATCGCTTACTTGACGGAATTAAGAAAATAAGAAAATGTGTTAAGAAAATATTCTGTTTTCCGCAGCGTTTAAATGGGAGTCTTCTGCTCAAGTCGACATCGACTTCTTCATTCTATTGTTGCGCAACTTCCTTCTGGGTCCATTAGTACGCAACACTTGGATGAAAAGAAGTTTTTATACATGTTGCATATTTAAAAGCAGTTGCATCGGAAAATCTGTTTTCTTTTTCTTCTTTATCACACCTTCGTTTTACAGCTGTCCGTTGGATTACGTTAAAGTGTACGATGGTTTGGACAATAGCTCCGCTGTTATTGGAACTTATTGCGGTCAACAACGAAACTTGGTATTATACTCTTCGGAGTCTAGTTTATACGTACTCTTTTCTACTCTTCAACGTACAGCAAACACGCAAAATCGAGGATTCAAAGGTATCTTTGAATTCTCCGAAAGTTTCGTCAAGTTAGGTAAGTTCGAAGCAGCGAATATATAAATTGAACGAGTTAGAATCCTTATATTTAAACTTCCTTTTTTAATTTTGTATGCGTCACTATTGTATGATATATACTTATGTACCGACCCCTGCTGACCTGACGTTCAGTCGTCGGTGCTGAGCGGGTTGCAGGTTTCAGGCGTTTTTTACTCGAATTTTTAAACATTAATTACTGGAAAACAAAGCCGCAAACGCTATTTTGTTATTCTTGATTTTCGTCTTATTTTGATCCCTAGAATCACCCTTTAAAATTTTGCCCACCTGTTGTCGAGCACCCTGTATTTTCCAAATTATAGTTTCCCTTACCAATGGTACACCGGTTAATCGGCGGCTTGCAACTAGCATTACACAATTTCCTGTATATACGATATATGTATGTGCGTATACGTATGTATATATACATACGCTCGTCTTTGTCTACTCAGACTTCATAACCGCTTATAAGGGTGAGCATATTCGAGGATCGGAATGCGACCAAAAAATTTTAAGCAGAAAGGAGTCTTCTGGATACGTCGTTAGCCCAAACTTTCCGTATCCGTACATACCGAAGGTGGTGTGTCGGTATTTTGTATATGGAATGCAAGACTCGCAACATCTCGAGCGCGTTCGATTAGAGTTCATAACATTTAAAATACCAAAAAATAAAACAATAGGAGAGTAAGTTCAATTACAATTTTTTAAACATATTTATTAATTATCATTATCTTATTACAATGAATTATCGTTTTATTTCGTCTAGTTCATCGTGTACAGATGGTTACTTGAAGTTGTATTTAAAAGGACAAGAGGCGACCGATTCATACGATAAATTCGATTATGAATTATGCGGTTTGAAGAGCAATCCGAGCCACGTAGTTAGCGATGGTCCGAGACTTGTGATGGTATTTAGCAGCGGAGAATCTCAAGGACAAGGTTTTAAAGCACGGTAGGAAAGGGATGGAAAATTCTTTCTACTTAAATTTCTCCACTTGATTTATCGATATACTTTTGATATTTACAGGTACAATTTCGAAACGGAGTACAAGATACCAGGTACCGCGGCTCCAGACGGTAGCTGCACGTTTACGTACCGCAGTTCCTCGCGTAAAAAGGGAGACTTTAATTCTCCGCGGCATCCCAGTAATTATCCAAGCGACACAAATTGTACTTACTTTTTTTTAGCAACGCCGAACGAACAAGTTACCTTGATATTCGATTACTTTAAAGTTAGAACGAAAAATATAAACATGACTGTCGGCCGCTATGGGTAAGTTGACTCGGCTTCATACACCTGATTCTCTGCTTCTCTAATCAGGGAACAAAGATAAATGATATATCACCGACAAGGAATAAATATGAGGACAATAATTTCCATAGCTCTTCCCTCATTTTATTTTCAGACTGATTGCCTGTCAAGACGATTGGTTAGAAATTTACAATATGTATCGGGACGATACAGAAAAATTAATAGGCAGATATTGCGGTAATACATCGCCAGGACCCGTAGAATCGAATCTCGGTGCACTTGGCTTAAAGGTGATCCTTCATTCGGATTCCGAGCTCGTTTACAGCGGCTTCAAAGCGCGTTACACTTTCGAAGTGGCCAAACCTATTTTCGGAGGTACTTCTTAGCACGCAAACTTTGCTACATATGGAAATTTCAAATATAAGTACTTATGTATTTTTAATCGTTCGTGTTGCAGATTGCGGCTCGAATATAAGTAGCGTAAATTACGGAATCATTGCCAGTCCAAATTTTCCGAACAAGTACGATGGGCCTGCAAGAAATTTTGCTAGCAAAACTTGTAACTGGTTTATAAGAGTTCGAGCGAACCATCAAATACTGTTAAACTTTGAACTATTTTCAGTAGAGGGTGATCAGTCAGGTATATCGATACGTGATTAGTTTAACGTTTCGGTTGGTACAAGTACAGGGTATCTGAAGAACAATGAAGAACAAGACGTACACTGTACCAGAATTGCCATAAGGTAACGAAAAAGGAATTAAACGACCAGTTTGTTAATCACTTATACAGGGTGTTCAACAGGTGGGCAAAATTTTAAGGGGTGATTCTAGGGATCAAAATAAGACGAAAATCAAGAATAACGAAATAGCATTTGCGGCTTTGTTTTCTAGTTATTAACGTTTAAAAATTCGAGTGAAAAGCGCCTGAAACCTGCAATCCGCCCAGCACCGACGACTGAACAGTCAGTAGGACTGGACAGGTCAGTAGGGGAACGTACAGTCATAACCAAGAATCGTTGAATAGTAGAATACATAACTTCGTGCTGTTCTGTTTCTCGGCACTGCTGCATTTGGCTTTGATTCTTGGTTATAATTGTACCAACTCCTGCTGACCTGACATTCAGTCGTCGGTGCTGGGCAGGTTGCAGCTTTCAGGCGCGTTTTACTCGAACTTTTAAACATTAATTACTGGAAAACAAAGCCGCAAACGCTATTTTCGTCTTATTTTGATCCCGAAAATCACCCCTTAAAATTTTACCCACCTGTTTTTGAACATCCTGTATATCGTAGTGCTAAAGGACCTCATTATTATTCCATTATCGGTAAATAGCCGGTCTTCACGATGTACGTCTTTTCTTAGATACCGTGTACACGCTTCGCGTTATTCGAGATTCGAATCGAATAACGATTTGAGAAAAAGCGATAACGATCAATCATTTTTTAGTTCGTGGCTGTCCAGCTGCGGTGTTACGTATGTGGTATTCTGTATTGACAACGCCGGTCGAATTGTGCGGCGTGAAGACACCCGACATTAAATGGACCTACTTGTCCGAGGATAATAATATGCGCCTTAGGTTTGTCGTTTGTTCACGATTAATCACAATTTTTCGCCATCCTCTGCCGCTTCTCTCCCTTTATCTATTGACGTTACTCTCATTGAGCCTCCATCGATAGTGTCCTAAATTCTTTCTTTTTCTCCTTTTGTCTTTTCCAGCTTTATCTTGGCCGACAAAGCGGTAGGGCAACAAGGGTTCAGAGCTACGTGGACCGAAGTCAGTACAAACGGCAGCTGCCAGGATCAGTTTTTGTGCAGCATAAGTAAATACTGCATTGCCGAATCACTTCGGTGTAATAACATTTATAATTGTGGCCCGGCTGATACTTCGGACGAGGAAAACTGTAAGTTTCGCAATCGTTAGAAAACATCGAGAAAACGACTCCTTAATAAGCAGTGTGGTTGGTTTCTTCTTTTACCTTGCTTCTACGATCGATACACCTCTGTATACCTATACATAGGTAGATAGATTACATATATACTTTCTCCGTTGCAAACTATACACACCGATCCAATGTCGAGTATGTAATTCTTTCGAATCGTTCAATAGATATTATTGTTCTACAAATTTTTCGAACGTGTTCTCTTTTTATATTATAAAACCTTAAATTGATCCTTTTCGTCTGTGCGTATGTGTGTATATATATATATATATATATACTTGTTTTATTCTTTCATTTATTAATTCATTATAATTAAGTATATATGTGGGATCGGGACATATACTGTCCTGGCTTCGAGAACTGATGCTGACGCGCGTTTCGAAGTAACTTTCAATTTCATTTCTCTTTCCCATTTCATCTTTTGCTTTTACAATATTGCGAGAACAAAAGTTTCATACTCGTATTGCTAGATTACTATATGAAAATGTACAAATTCATATTGATCGTTTGCGAGATATTCATTCTACGATTCTTTCGATTTTTGCATCGCGTTAGATAAAACGAAATATAACGTACCGGAGCGAATGTTTGATATTGAAAAATAAATCGAAAAATGAAATATTGTATAATAGTACTCGAGGACAAGTATGTACAAAATTGTAATATTTTGGGTAAGTAGCACGTACTTAGTTGTGTATGTACAGGTGAGAGAATGTAGGGATTGAGTTGGGTGAATGACTGTGTGTGGTGTCGCAGGTGCAGCATCAGCCCCATTGTCGCCAGCACTGGCTGGAGTCTCTGCCATGCTTCTTCTATCTCTGTGCTTTGTGTTCGTGGCCATCTGAGCCCTTCATGAAGCTTCCGACGATCCGGCATGTTATGATCTTCCCTATCACGTGAGTTCACTCACAGTACTGCACACGTACCGTTTCTTTTCTTTTCCTTTTTTTCTTTCTTTTTATTTAGACTTTATTTTAATCTATTTTGTTATTTATTTATTCATTTTTTTTTTCATTATTTGTGTTTAATAGGAAACTAGTCCTTAATACTGATTAAACGATAAAGAAGAAGAAAGAAAAGAACATCAGATACATCAGGTGCATACCTCGAAAAATCTTCACGTTCCATTTTGTAAATTGACCAATATTAAGGACAATGTATGTTTCCTTTATTCCTCAAGTTCTACAAATGAATCTTGAATGTCTAAAGAGTTACGGTTACTTTCTGCTGTACCGTTTGTGTTATCTTTTACACATAGATTTACAGAAAACGCATGATTTACGATGAATGCATATTTCTCCGTGTACAGTAGCATGTGACATTTTTTTTTTTCTTCTACGTTTCTATCGTTACCTTTACCTCTGTTTCTGTCTCTGTCTCTCTTTTTACCTCTACATCTATTTCCTATTACATTCAGACAGACATAGGCGGACAATTGTCACTTTTACGAATAACTTATCTACTTAGCTTTTTTTTCTTTCTTTAGCATTATTTACGCTCTGTAAAATGTAAAAACGAAATCTTTAAGAAATATCGATAAACAAGTACAAAGCGCGTCACTGAATCGCGTTTTTCTTCACACACATTTACATATTTGTAAATTACATATGTTTAAATATAAGATATACGGTTATAAATTGAGACGAGGCACTTTGATCGCTTGCTACTAAAACGAATTAAAGATGAACATCGTTGAATCGCAATCAAATGTATATACGTATATGTTTTAGATTTATATATACGACGATGAAAAACGTTTAACAAAGAATAATCATGTTGCAGGTGGTACAGTTGTACAGACGTATAATTATGCTGTTCCTGCGAGTTATGCCGTTGGTACGGTTTTGGTAGCAGTGATCGTTTGCCTGTTTTATCATCGAAAATTAAAGAAACGAGTTCAGGCTGACCATCTCGATCAACTACGGCAGCGAATGGATGAAAAGAATCATCGTTATCATAACGAGAATTTACTTCAACATCATTTAATTCAACAGCATAATCATCAGTATCATAGTCATTATCATCATCAGCATCATCACAACCATAATCAGCAGCACCAGCAGCAACAGCACTATCAAGACTCAACGAATGATTTCGATATAAGATATCAACTGGAATCATCGGTTAGTCTTGCGAGCGAAAGCGAAGCCGAAGAAGCTAGCAGTCTCAACAGCGTGTGACATTGCGTGACGTTTTGTTCAAACTTAACGACCATCGATCATCGATCAGTTTCTTCCGTTCGCGTTCTATCATTCTTCTATACGTAATAATTCGACTCTTCGATTCCATAATCGAACAATTGTAGCTCGATCGGCCGACAAATTTTCTTTACCTAATTCATTGCATCGAAGCCGTCTTTGGTTTACTTCGACTTGTGCCGACTTACTTCGATTTTGGACGAAAACAAAATTCATCGTTGTGGTTCATAGAGAAACTTGTGTTCCAATAATATAAACTGTACGGATTCTATCAAACTATTCGTACGTAATCGAATGTACGAAAAACAATTTTCATTTTGTAAAACGTACATACGTTAAACACAACTGGCATCTTAGCCAAGTCCTAAGGTTTTTAACAAAGTTGATGTGCGGCGCGTTTAACGAACTCTGTTTTTTCTGTAAATTCGTGCGCACTAGGGATTTGCGGGTACCCGATAATACGGATTGGGCGGGCTCGGGCGGATGTCCGATACATGTGTGCAGTCGGGTAGCCCGACTATTTCGGATCAGGTCGGATAAAGTCGGGTATATTTGGACGAGCTCCCGCGGTCCGCGACCCAACTCTCATGTATTTGTTAATGCTTGGAATAAGCATGTTCAAAATCTAGTTTGTATAGAATGAACATACAGGTGACATGGAATGAAATTCATTTGAAATAAATTCGTTACAAGCATTATATTTCACATAAAAATTATCTTATTCCAAAATTCCACATAAAACAGATTTTGCACATGCTTATTGTAAGTATTAACAAGCACATACATAAGAATTAGGCCGCGGCCCGCGGGAGTTAGTCCGAATCTGCCCGACTTTATCCGATCTGACCCGAAACAGTCGGACACCCGCCCGAGCCCGCCCGATGTTTTCCGAAGCGACCCGAATAGTCGGAAACCCGACATATTAGTCGGCCCGCACATCACTAGTGTGCAGGCGTCTATCATGTACTATGTATATAGGTACGATACGTTACCTTTCCGATATCGATACTGATACCTTTATGTTTCAATTCTTTTATATGCACACGTATAACGTACTCATATTTGCAATATGTCGTAGATACATGATTTAATAAACGTTGTGCGAAGTGTAATAGATCCTTCAGATCCAAGCAAGATAAGATAATCGGCTAAAATAAAACGATGCACTAGGCAGTAATTTAAGAATCGGCAATAACCTGACCACGTAGTATCAATTATTTTGTTAACGGTAAAAAGAAAAAATGAAACAATAAGCTTAGCTCGGTTGTAATTGAACGATATTTCGGAAAACTTGTTCCTTCGAAAGAACGCGAAATATATTTTTACGCCAGTTAACTCGCTTCGTTGTTGTTATTGTTATTGTCATTTGTGTAATTTTAGTATTTTATTTGTCATCTTCGATATAAATTATTATACGAATATTGTAGTTTTCGAAATTAGAATGCTGGAGAATATGGCACTAAGGAAATTTAAGAAAAGTCAATTCTGTTGGTTTTTTTTTCAAGCTTCTCTTTTTATTTTACCGATAAAATATTCGATTTCTTGGAAAATACAAATCGTAAAAATACAATCATAAAAGAATACAGGTCGTTGCGGTTTTAAAGCAAGCGCGTTTAATCACAAAAACTCTATCTTCCTTTTCATTCTTCTATTAATTTGACACCGTACAAATGGATTGTTACGCTCAGGGTTACATATGTATATTTTACACGTATATAGTGTTATACTTACTACTGAACTCTGTCGTTGTTCAGTTCTGCTATAGTGCGTTACGTTGCTTTACAAGCACAGATAAAAAATGAAAAAAAAAAAAAAACAAAAACAAAATACCACAAATATCTTCTTCACGCAAGAACACAAGAACTGTATACATCAGTGCTTAAAACTACGAACAAATGGAAGAAATTGTGTTCGTAAGTAGCGATGTGTTTCTTAACCGAAATGAGTGATCGATTAACGATAATTTTATCGTTGAGTGATGACGAGCGATCATTCGTTGATACCGTGTAAGTATCTACCACGATGTGCAAAGAAATAAATTTAAAATTTATCGTAAAACTAAACGTACAACAGCGTGAACGAGTTATATTACCATTAAACGTTCGACGGATACTTGTATGCATTATCACCAATATACGAACGTGTTTTCGTTTTTATGAAGTAAAATGTTTTCTATGTGCACTAGGGATGTGCGGGTACCCGATATTGCGGGCTCGGGCGGGTGTCCGATACATGCGTGCAGTCGGGTAGCCCGACTATTTCGGGTCAGGTCGGAAATAAATTCGTTACAAGTATTATTTTTCCACATAAAAATTATCTTATTCCAAAATTCCACATAAAACAGATTTTGCAGATGCTTATAAGAATTAAGAAAATCCCGCGGTCCGCGGGAGCTCGTCAGAATCTGCCCGACTTTATCCAACCTGACCCGAAACAGTTGGGCTACCACTATTGCACGTATGCATCGGACACCCGGCCGAGCCCGCCCGATGTTTTCCGAACCGACCCGAATAGTCTTGATCCGTAATAAGCAACTGGCCAGACGTGTTGCTTATTTTAAGGCAATCCTGTATTAGTCGGGCCGCACATCACTAATGTATATGTGCGCGCGCAAGTTGGCTTCTTTGGATTAAACGATGTACATATCGGGTTTATGCGACGTTTTAAAAGAAACATTTTACGTTTCAGCAGCAACAAAAAGAGAACAAAGAATAGTCCAGTGGAACATAGAACGAGTATATGAAAAAAAAGAGAAAAAAAGACGGTATAAAATACGCTTGTTAACGAAGATGGTTTAAAAGTAGAGAAAAAGATTATCGTACAATTTACATGTGTGTCGATTTAACAGATCCGCATATAACGTAGATTGGAGTGTAGCTTTTAGGCCTCCTTAGGTCATGAACCGAAATGAATCATCGAAGCAATGATATAACCCGCCTAGTAATTATACTTGCACGTATTGTTCGTCGTCGGTATCCCCGTTATCGATCAGGTCCATAGAATGATCCTGATATATCCTTTCGTAATCGGTGTTGGACAACTGCTTTCTCACTTTCTCGTATCCGTCTCGATTGTGTTCGGTTTTATAAGAGTTCACTTGTTCGTACGGCGGTTCCTCGTTGGTACGAGCGACGCTTAAATATTTAACGCTCTCGTAATTCGGATCACCGTGATTGACCGACTCGTAGTTGGGATCCGTGTCGCTGTCGCCTGGTCGACAAACGGACGCGTAATTAGGTTCACCTGGATCGTGCGGCATACTCTCGTAATTCGGTTCCGAGTCCGTGTCTTGATCCACCTCGATTCTTCTCTTCCGCAATCTCACCTTTTCGTATCCAGGATCTTCGCTGCTAGCGTTGCTCGTTTGTCTCGGCTTGAACGGTACCGTGTAAGCTGTTGGTAAGTCTGTACCGTTTCTTACGGCTACCGTAGCCACGCCGGCGCTTTGATGGTAATCCACGTTTTTCCCTGAATACTGTTGCGAACGTAGCGTCTCGTAATTAGGATCGCAGGACTCGCGAATCGTAGTTGGATTATTTTTCGGCAAATCAACCGCGACCGCCTCGTAACCGTGCTCGACTCCGAAGTTTATGCTGTCCGCGTTCTCATTGTTCCTGACCGATTTCAAAACGGCAATGTCCGAATGAAAGTTACCGATAGAATTGTTCGATGTTGCAGCGTAGTGGGCGGATTCGGACTCCTTCTTTTGCAGTTCCATAGAATCGTGACTAGACCATGAAACTCTATTTATCTCGACCAGACTAGGCTTTCGAAACGTACCAGAAGAGACAACAATCTCCGAAGACAGAATACTATGCGCTTCGTTCTGTTGCTCTTCCCCGTCTTTCTTTTTCTTCATCACCTTCGCGTACATATCCTCTAATGATTTTTCGTTCGACAGACTCGATTTTAATCGTTCTTCGTTCTTCGTTCTCTTCTCGATCGACGCGTACACTTCCATCGTTCCTTCCACCGGTGGAGGCGGTGGTAGCGGAGAATTAGCCTGACGTTTCTCCGGTTTAGGCGATGCAGGATTTACGATTGAACTGTTGGCACTCGAGGACGAAGCTGAGGACGAATTCGCAAAACGATTAACGAAAATTGAAGGCGGAGGCGGGAAAACAAGAAAAACTTATCGTCGATCGTTATTTACCTTGTCTAGAATGAGCGTGCGCGACGTGCCGCAAACTGTCGACGCTCGGAGGTTGCGGAGCGGAGTAAGTCTCTTCGGAACGTGACGGAGCTCGAGAAAACAATGTTTGTTCGTTTTGCGTTACTCGTTGAACCTCTGTCATGGTAGGCTGTATTTGAGCGTACGTTTCGCTGCCACTGGTGTACACTTTCTCTTGTTCGTCGATCGCAGCGTACATCTCGTCTGTTAAACAGAACGTACATACAGTTTGTCTATCGAATATCAAAGATAGGCGTTAAGTATCTTATGGGTTATTGCTTAGCACGAATACCAGAGTCGTCCGACACCGTCGCATAATGAGGATCCGTTAGAGGTCTGGCAGATTGACTTTGTCGACAAATTGTCTTCGTTTGCGCCATGATGTTTGCTAGGGGCTCTCTTACGCTTATACTGGTGTATCCTTCTATTGTAAAAAAAAATACATATATATATATATATATATAAAGAGAGAAAACAAGGAAAAAAGATGAGATATTTCATAAACTCGCAAATGAACAAAAATATATTTACTCGAATCCTGAGAGTCTCCACTAAAATGTTGTTGCGGACTGTTAGAGCGAGGTTGAGACGACTGGGGTAATAGCATCGAAAGCGGTGGCGTCATATACGGCAGATCTTGATTAGCTTGTACTCCACCTGATATGGCATTAGCCGCTTGAATGTCATAGGAAGCGGTTTCGTTAGTTAAAAGCGAATTGTGCGAAGACGATCGACGGGTTCGCGGTGGAGCAACCGGGTTTCCGTTTCCAGCTTGACACGTCGACGTAGACGGTTGCTCGGTGTCGATCATTTGTTTCACGTTACTTCTGCAACATTATTATCGATTTTAATAACCGAGAGAACTTGTCTTCACCGATTACATTCAGCATTACTTTACCTAATCGCTTGATTAACCTCAGTCTTTTGAACGTTTTGAAGTTGAGCGTACGGATGCTCGACTGGAAGAAACGGAAACGTTTACCAATAAGATAAGAGAAATAGATAATAATTCTTCTTTCGTTCATTACCAGTGTCAGAATTTGGAGATGTAAATCTTGAATACTGATCGGCCGAGTTTTCTTGAATCAAAGGCCTTTGGTGTAAAATTTCTTGTATCTCCTCTTCCGGTATTCGTTCCTTCGTCGCTATGTCAAAGGCGATAGTATTATTCAAATGTACTCGATTATCTCTAATGTTTACGTTGATACCTGTATCACGAACGGTGGCATATAATTCTGAATGATCCCCGATCGTTTCAGTGGTTTCATAAATGCTTTGGGATACGGACGCATCTGTACTTTCATCTTTCTTTTCCTTGTCTTTTGGAATATCTGGAAGACTTCTATTGGCACTGGTTGTTCTATATACAGAATGTAAGAACGTTTTAATTTATTATTTGTAAGGCAAATCAATCTTGTACTTAATATATGTATACTCTATAATAGGCTACACGTATCAAAGCAACGATAAAGTTTGGATATTTTTGAAAAGCAATACTACGATGCAAGCGTATTCAGATAAAGTTGTTGAACGAAGCTCAACGTGTCGGCAGGAACCTTTTTGCACTTTCAACAGCATCTTGTGTAGATACGTATGGGACATTTGTTACTGGAATCCTGTTAATGCCATCGTTGTCAGAATCGTTTAGAGTTACCATTCCAGCAAGGCCAAGAAATTCATTCCTATTTAAAGGAATTACAACTGAATGTATCCTTGGAAACGGTCAAATAAACTGTATCTTCAAAATTATGCATTAAAGTATAAAAACATAGCTATACACTTGCGATTATAATTGTGTGCTCAATTACTTGTTTTCATTACGGCGACAACTGCAAATACAAGCAACAATGAGGCCAAGAAACGATAACAATGCTCCAACAGAGACAACCCAGTAACACCAGGTAGTTTCCTCGACAAAAGGTCGTATCATGTTACAGCATGTATCTTGAGGTTCCTATAAATTTTTCACCTTATAATATGCATACAACACAGAATAGATGATTGGACGAAAAGCAAAAGATTTACCTTTCGATCAAGTCATTGTTGAAGAATCCATGCACTTTGTCTTTGACATTTTACCAGTGAAATTTTGATGAATTCTGTTTGTCGTATACTCAAGATCAAAACTGGATAAAAATTTCTGCTGATGTGTAGTCTTATTTCTTCAAATTTCTTCAAATTTTTTCCTGTATTTGATTTTTTTCTTATCTCTCTCTATCTCTGTCTTTATCTTTCCCTTCCTCCCTCTATCACACTTTTTTCACTTTCATATATAAATTTTGTGTACTTATACATTACAATTTGTACAATTATGTTATAAAATACGCGTCTTCAGGCATTCAGTGTATATGCGTAATATTTGAAACGACTGAACGTTAATCAAACCGTCGAAAGCAATTGAAAGCATTTTTGTGTAGTACTGTTTGTACAGCTTACTGTTTAATTAGTATACATTTTAAGATTTTACAATTTTACATAATTTCACGATTCTTTCATAACTGATATGATGTTTGAAAGAAGAGTAAAGAACCTGTCAAAAGTTGGAGGTTCGTTTCAAAGATGTACGCCAAACGAGCATTACGTTTGTTATTTTGTAGAAAATTAAGATTTCATAGAAAAAAACGAAACCGCTTTTAAATACTGATGTTTACAAATACCCGGCTATTTATCGATATACCGATATGTCATATAAATATATATACTTGTGACATATCACGATCGCGAAATAAGGTTACGTTATATCAATGCATACCGTGTGTTTCGGCCATACGTGTATAGAGTATAGTAAAATACTCAATACTTGCCTACTTACCTGCATACTCACAAACTAGCGCGGAGCATACGCGACTTGCAATTCGTGATTGTTACGTTTCAATAATCGATACAAAGTTGCAAGTTTCAATTAGTCAATTAACCCATTTGCTACCGCGATCCCCAAATGGGGATTTGAATATATATATTTCTTTTTATCACTTGCAATAGGATTATATTAAATAAAATGTTAAATAGAAATATCAAAAATAAAAATTTGGCAGTTAATGGGTTAAAAGCTTAAAAACAAACGATAACGTAGATTTTCATTAGTAACGCTAGGTTATGCCTTGCGCTAGTCAAACATTCGATTTTAGAACGATGGATTCATTGTCAGAGGAAAAGGTAACGTTTGCTGCATTGAAATTCATAGTGTAATGTATAACAATATTTATTCATTTATTTATCTATTTACTAACATTAACTTATTTATTTATTTGCAGGGAAGAAAGAAGCAGATAAGAGTATCGTTTAGCAGATCGCTTCTGGAAAATACGTCAAAGGAGAATGGATTCGTTGAAAGAAGAAGACTTTCCTGTATTAACAAATATGTAGTTTTCAAAATAAGAAAACGATGTATGTACATAAGTATGTATGATAATAAGATATTTGAAGATATTCGAATATGCATGAGGTATTATACGAGGCTTGCGCCGTCGCGTCGTGCTTGGAATGGAAAAGTTATCTGTCGCATTTAGTATCCGGAGGACAGGCAATGTACATAGGTAAAGAGGGAGCATCGCAATATCCGTAAAACTGTTGTGCTTGCAGTTGCGATTGCGAGTGCGAATGGGATTGCGGTGTGGGAGGTAAAAGGGTGTGCACGAGGTGTATCGGTGGTTGTACGTAAGGCATCATTTGAACGGGCGTGGTCGGAACGGGAGGAACGATCGGTCCGTTTCCGCGGTCCAACGTCGATCCGTTGTAGGATCCAACGTAGATATCGTGATTGATTTTGCCCGAGTAGGTGCTGGCTGCGCCTCTGATCATCGAAACGTCAGGGATGCTGCTAGTGGCCAGAGCAGCCAAACGTGCTTGTTCTATTCGGCCGGACCATTTGAAACGGCACACGCAAATGACTAGCACAATGAAGGCTATGAACGCGACTACTCCGCCAACGATACCGATGATCAAAGTATCGTCGGTTCCCGAAGCGTTCGCACCTGGTGACGCGGTAAGCACGCGGTCCTCGTTGTAATGCTTATTGCGATCAGAGTTTCGAACCGTAGGGGCTACTGTCCAAATGATGTCGGGCTCTGGGAGCGTCGATCTACCGGAGGCATGACCAATGGAAGGGAGCGTCGTTTCCAAGTTATTGGAGGCCGGTACTCGATCGCCCGACTGATCGTACAATAAAGAAGAAACGAAAGAGAAGTTGGAACACGATAATCGATCCTCGGTCAGATTGGTGAAAATAGCCCCGCGGAGGTGAGGCGGAGCGGCGCAAAGGACGCTCGACGCGTGGCCATTACCGTTCGTTTTCAGCCACTTCCACAGTTGCCTGGCGTCGCAATCGCAGTTAATCGGATTCCGTTGAAGGCCGTTGATCTTGACGAAGCCGGTTCGTTCGTCGAGCGCGGCAAGGAATTGAGCGGACAGAGTGGTAAATTTACTGCCGGAAACGTCCAGCTCCAAGTGAGTGGAACGCGGGACCGGGAAAAACAAGGAAGCGGGTATCGAGTCGATGGAGGTGTTCTTTAGACCGAGAAAGAAGGTCGGTCCTCGAACGCCGACCAACGAGCTCGACATTAGATTCTTCAGTCTCTCGCCTCGCAGAGTTAATTCCCTGAGCCGAGGATGGCTGCGTATCGATAACTGTTCGTTGCTCACCGATGAATCTTTCACCTCGACGTCCAACGTCTCTAAACCGTTCATTCCTTTAAGAATCCCCTGTAGGTCGAAGTAACCTAATTTCGGGTAGCTATACGCCGACAAGGAGCGTAGCTTCGGCAACGGTTTGAAAACGTTCTTCTCGATCCTGGTGCAGGTGGGCAGGTCGGACAGGTTAAGAAAACGCAAGCCGTTCAAACCGTCGAAGCTGGTTTCGTTTAAAATTCCCGCGTCGTTTCCGGACACGTCCAACCAACGAAGCACCGGTAATCGTTTCAAAGTACCGATCACGCTTTGAAAATCTGAAAAGTTGTTCCTCGAGAGATCCAAGCTCTGTAGCATGGTGGTGCGTTCAAGCGCGTCGCTTGGAACGTTCATCAGATCGTTCCCGGACAGATTCAGTCGCTTGAGAAAAGGTGTTTCCAATCTGACCAGACGTTTAACACCGGTATTGGCAAGATTCAATGAACGCAAAATCTTTGCCTCTCCGAGAATTCGGTTGATCGCGTTCTCGCTTAAAGGATTGCCCGAGAGATCTAGGTCCTTCAGGTTGCCAGGGATATCCTGATCGAACAGTTCGACCATCCTGTTACGAGCGAGATTCAAACTGGACAAGGAGCCAGATTGTCTTCGGAGGGATATGATCGGGATCTCATTGATCCGATTTCCGGCCAGATCGATGCTCTCGACCGTGCGCACTCTGCTCGGCTCGAAGATCGTATCCGGTAAGGTGTTCAAACGATTGTCCCGTAGATTCAAATGCTCGAGACGGAGCAGACCTTCGAGCGTTCTTTCGCTCAACGTTTCGATAACGTTTCCGGACAGATCGATCAATTGTAGCTGGGTAGAGTTGTGAAAAGCCAGCTCGTCGACCGATTCGATCCGATTCGAGGCCAGGTTCAAATCTCGAAGCCGGCCGAGCTGAGAAAAGGCAAACTCGTCGATGCGTCTCAAGCTGTTCCTGGCCAATCGAAGCCCCTCCAAGAATTGCGATGGTTTCAAGTAATCGGTCGGCAAGTAGACGAGTCGATTGCCCGACAGATCGAGCTCCCTCAGCCTCGGATGAATCGCAAAAGCCGTCGGGGAGAATCGTTCTATTCGATTGTCGGACAAGTCTAGAATCTCAAGACCGGTCCCGGTATCGAAGTGTTCCCCGGCGAACGAGCTTAATCTGTTCCCTCGCAAGTTCAACTCGTACAGACCGATCAAGCCCACGAAAGCTCCGTTCTCGATCAGTTCAAGTCGATTGCCGGACAGATCGATCCTGGACAGGTTGCGAAGATCGTTAAACGTCGCTTCCTCGATCCTTTCCAACCGATTTCCAGCGATCGATATTCTCTCGATGGATTCGAGGTTCCGGAACAATATCGCCGGTAAAATCTTTAGACCGGTTCGCGACACGTCCAGGTTCAGCAAGGAGGATGGAAAAACCGGCGGGAAACCTCCGTACAACGGATTCGAGCTTAAGTTTAAAAATTCGAGCATCCGCAATTGGGCGAAAGTCTCTGGCCTGATCCGCGTCAGTCGATTACCGGCCAAGTTAAGAGAAATCAGTTTCTTCAGAGCAAGTTCGCCGATCGACGTTAACCTGTTAAAGGAAACGTCCAAGTCGAGTAACGTGTCCTCTAGTCCGGAGAACGTGTCGCTGGAGATGCTGGACAGCATATTTCCGGATAACTCGATGCCGATCAGATTCTCGAAATCCCGAAACAAGCCAGCCGGTATTTCTCGCATCAGGTTTCGGGTAAGCGCCAGTCTAACGAGACTGGAGGATGTCGGTTTGATCAGCTCGGTGGACAGTGCGGCTATACGATTGAACTCCATGTGAAGATGAGTCAACGAGGGTAATCTCGCTAGAGCCGTACCCGGTACTAATAAGATGTTATTGTCTTGCAAAGATAACCACTTTAGCTCGATCAAACCGTCGAACGATGATTCCTCCACCTGAGTGAATAACGATAGAGATCCCGTTAAGTAGACTCCTCCTTTTACCTTTTTATTCTATTCTTTACCTACCGTGCGTAAAACGTTCAAGCTTAAGTCGAGCCTAGCGAGGCTAGAAAGATCTGAGAAGGTATTTGCTCCAAGCCGACCAATGTTGTTTCGACTAAGATCCAATACCTGAAGTTCTTTCAGCGTCGTCAACTGCACGCGTTCTATCTCCTGGAAGGTGAACCGATCAGATCGGATAAACGTATCGCGACGTGGATATTGCTTACGGTAATTAAATTGTTGGAAACGTTGAGAAACTTCAAGTCCGTCAAATGTCTCAACGCGTCGCTGGGAAATTCTTGAAGGAAGTTTGCCGACAGATCCAATTGCAGTAAATTATAAGCCCCTGTAGATATAATCGATTCGATGTTAGTCGATGTTAATTGAATCTTTCTCTCTCTCTATTATACCTTTGAATACGTCACTGTTAAAACGGCCGAGATCATTGTGGGATATATTTAAGAGCAACAATTGTTCCAGTCCGGAAAGAGCGTCATCCTCCATATGAGACAGTTCGTTATCGCTCAGATCTAATCGCAATAGCGATTCACCGATCATCGAAAAAGCGGCTCGTGGCAACGAAGCTATGAAAGGAGAGAAAAAATTAGGGAAATCTCGCATTGTCGTAATATCTCTTGAAAGAAAAACAGATCGCGAAAGGTAACGATTTAGTAATGTGCGGCCCGACTAATCGGGCGGGCTCGAGCGGGCGTCCGTGCAGTCGGGTAGCCCGACTTTTTCGGGTTCGATCGGGCTCAGTCGGGTTGATTTGGACGAGCGACACAACTCTCATGTAAGTACTTGTTAATACTTGCAATAAACATGTGCAAAATCTGTTTTATGTGGAATTTTGGAATAAGATAATTTTTATTATGTGGAAAAATAATACTACGGGAGCTCGTCCGAATCAGTCCGATTGAGCCCGATCGAACCCGAAAAAGTCGGGCTACACGGATGTATCGGACGTCCGCCCGAGCCCGTAATTTCGGGTTCTCGCACATCCCTATGCATTTGAAAGAAAACTGAAACGGAAAGTTTTATATCGTTTCAAATACGAATCCTTTTACTCCTACGTACCGATATTATTACCAGACAGCGACAACACTCTGATAGACTTTGGTCCTTTCAGCGACATCGTCGGTACCGCGGTCAAATTGTTACCGTCCAAGTAAAGTTGCTCGAGGCTGTCGCACCCCTTGAATATACCCTCTTCGATACTTCGAAGACCGTTTCTGCTCAGATCGAGCAGTCTCAGCTCCTTCATCCCGTGAAACTCGTTGCTCGAAAATATCGGATTCAGGTTGTCGCCCAATAAATTATCGGCCATCTTTAATTCGGTCAGCAGCGTCTGGGCACGAAGCGCGCGACCCATCAGTCTATGAATCGAATTGCCAGATAAATCGAGTTTCCTCAGGTTTAAGTTCGCGGATTCGAGCAAATCCTCCGGTAGATTTTGGTATCCGCTGTTTCTTTGGCTGAACGAAACGATCGGCTCCTCTCGTAGACTGTCCACGTTGTCTCGCGTAAAGATCGCCCGGTCGCAATTCATCTCGATCGAGCGGCTGTATTCCGTGGAAACGGAACATTTGCAAGGGACTTGCAAATCTCGTTTCAACTCGATGCACGGTATCCATCCCGTTTGCTTTGACGAGGAAACGATGGAAATTAAAAGCACCAACGGCAAGTACCACCTGAAATTCAAATAATTCTGTTTACAGAATCATTCGATTCAATTTACTTTCATTGTTATTCAAACCCACCGCCAAAAGCGAGTAATCGAGTCGTAGGAAGATAATATGGCGAAGAAATAGAAATTTCGATGGGAAAGAAGTGTTGGAATCTGGGTGAAGAAACGACTGCTTTTTAAGTATGAAAGTTTATTCAAGTAGTTCCTTGTCTCACGCCGAACTCAACTAACAGAATTACGTGTATGATGAAATACGCAATGGAACGCAATAAGTAAGTACACGACTCGCTGGTTACATCTTTCTTTCTGAGCAGGACCTATGGTCAGGGAGTATACGCTATTTCGTTATTCTTGATTTACGTCTTATTTTGATCCCTACAATCACCCCTTAAAATTTTGCCCACCTGTTGTCGAACACCCTGTATAATATATTCTTAACCTAGTGGGGGAGGATGACCTTAGCCATTATGACTAACTGAGTGACGAAGGTGAATAATCTATTTTTTGACTTTAGGGACTATCCCTATGATGAGTTGGTTCATTCGCTATAGGTTAAATAAAATTATCGTTATTTGAATGGTTGGTCATCCAACAGAAGGAACGCGATAAAAGACGAGGCGGTAAAAGAAACAAGAACGTATGGCCTGCTTTGGTCAAGCTTGTACGATCAAAGTATCTTGAAACGTGGCTATCTGTTGCGGCCTCCTATAACGGTGATTTTGTCCGCTATACGAACTACAGGCTCGTACCGCTTCGTCGCTAAACTTGTTCCTTGCGAATGTCCAAATGATCAGCGCATTTTCTTTTTTCCCTTTTCCCTTTCTTTTTTTCTTTCTCAATCGAGCTAGAATTTCTCGTTTTTAACCCGAACCGTAACGCAGACACGCGTGATGCATGCTAATGGAATGTGACGCGTACGTAAGATTCGAATGGGAATCGATGCAAATACTTGCTCGATCCCGATGCGATTAACTGGCCGCAAACTCGCGGAAAACAGGTTTGAAGTTGGAAGAAAGCGCGCGTGTTCTCGAAAGTATTTTATAGCTTGAATTCGTTGCGTTTTTATCTATTGCCCTCGTGAAACAAGGTTCGTTTTCCTTTCGATTTTCTCTCGCTTTCGTTTACACGTTGCATCTCGTGACTCGACCTGACTCGGTTATCCGCTTATTCGCTTATTATCCGCTCGTTTCGTTTCGTTTCATTCCGTTCCGTTCCGTTCCGTTCCGTTCGAATAGAAGATTCGTTCGAAAGGTTCCGTTAGAAAGTATCCGTATGATCCTGTTCCATGGGATTATATCTAGCATTAAATTCGAGCGCGGTTGCTACAGAAAACGAATAATAGAGTCATTTATTGACGAACAACACGACCACTTACCCTCTTTTCATAGTAGCTATTCCACGTAATAATTCGAACCGACTAGAAATACCAACAACCAAATCGTTCTCTCTTCATCGTTGCATGTCTTCATCCATTTCCTCGTACGAATCAAACGCGTCAAAGAACGTGATCGTTTGCCATAGCGATCATCCGTAGGTGGTCCTGCTGGTCTACGAGACTGCACATTCACGCAGCTCTCCTTTTCCTTTTTCTCTAGCTTCACTTTTATCCCGTTTCTCTTTGTTCGCTTTCCCGTTGATCGGTCTATTAATCGATTAGTCGATTAATTTACTGCAGATCAGTCTCCCATTCTTCTTCTCTTTTTCATTAAGATCGATCGAAAGTTTTTCACAAAGTCTGATCTATCGTAAAAAATAACGAACCAACTAACTTCTTCACGCTGAACGAGATTCAAGTAAACGACAAGTACCTACTCGGCCAGCCGCGTACCGATGAAAAATCGTAATAAAAGATCGAAAGAGAAAATGCTGGGAGCGTAACGCGCGCTCTACCCTTTTCCACTGATTTCGCAGAGTCTTGTAACGGGGACCGCGCGCGACTTTACTTACACTCGAGAAACCTCGGCTTACGAGGCGTGATTTGCAGGTAGGGGAAACGGTAAACAACCAGATGAAGGGTACACCGATACGCCCCCCCCTGTGTATGTACCTGTATGCATACATCCATCTATATAATACACGTTTGCAGCCTGAGAAAAGAGCACGAGATGGGATCGGATGGACGTAGGAATGTTCCTCGAGCAACCTTTCACTGGCACCATCGCATTGCGTCGTCTGTTCGCGGTATCGCCACCAACTTTCCTGCCTGAACCGTTACCCTCGCACAATTCCACATTTACCGTCTTCCATACTCCTTTCTCGTTCAGCTACCTTGATATCTCTCTTATCGTACCATCACCATCTTACGCCATTGCGCCCTTTCCTCCTCTTACATATATTTACGCATTTTCCAATACTTTTACTATCTATTTAGTCGTTTAAACGTGTAAATATGGTAAACGGTCTAAAATCGCACTTCCGGGGCTCGTAACGATATTGATAATCGAAAAAAAATCAAGTTGTCGAGGCTCGTAACAATGTTGCTAAACGGTAAATTCTGAATCTCCTTGGTACCTACAATGTTATAAAACGTGATATCCGGATTACTCGGCCGGTAAAACAGGGACAATTATCATGCCGGCTGTCTGTTGGGGTACCTGAGACCCCCTAAAGCAATGACTTCTCGAAACAATGATTTATCCAGTCTTTTTGTATTTGTAGTGACTATATTATTACACCGTAAATACATATATGTATATATAGCTCAATAATTAATTTTATTTCAAAGTTTTAATTATTAAAAACATGATACTAAACCAGTTCAATCTTTTATATGGTTCTATTACGCGGGCAAGTAAATTTAAAAAAAATTGAAATGATGCCATCTCGCGGACGGGATCGGAACTAAAAAAATTCGTAACAGGAGAGCGGGAAGCAATGGCGGTATGCAAGGAGGTACTTATATTATGGACATGCAGGGAAAAAACTAATTTTCTAGAAACAATTTATGAACTTTTATGATGCCATTATGGTGCCGTTTTCAAGGCAGAAATTCGAGACTCCTTGAAAATAAAGGCATGTTCAGTTTTATACCGCAGTTCACCAGAGTCCATAACTCCGAAAAGACCTGTTTTCGTTCTTCGCGCTTCTCCAGTGCGCATCTTCGCCCTGATTGGCGATACCCCCAAACGAAGTGGAAAGCGATTAGCAGAGAACTCGCTGCGTTCCCCCATCTTTCAACCTGCGCGTCGCAGTTATGGACTCTGGTGAACTGCGGTATATATGCATCTGTAGTCACCGCTCATGATGAGGCATGCGCATATTTCACTCTGAATTTGATAAACACTGTTAGTTGACGTAAGTCTCAAACACAGTCGCTTATTCTTCTTCCTCTATTATTATTTATCATCAGAATTATATTACTCAGAAAGATGTCGGCTATGTTAACTGCTGATTGGTTTCCTTTGGGCCGAGACGTGTACTTTAGGTAATACTATTGAGGTTATACATGAATTGATAATAAACTTTAGAGAAAGAATAAATACAGAGGTTTATATGGTTAAAGAAAAACAATAATTTTTTCAGAAAATTCGAACTCTATCCATTATCTTTCCAACATGAGGTTTCGAATAATAATTTTTTAGTAGCAGCTCCTTACGGAGGTTCCATTGCAATTACCAGGAATCCAAAGAAATTGGTTAAAGTTCAAGGAACCAGTAAACCTATGATATATTTATATACATCATCTGGAAAATTAACAGCCAAGTTACAAGTATGTCTTTCAAAACTACCATTAATTTGATACAATTATTTTTTAAGCAGATTAAACCTATGATATTGAAATTTTATGGCTCAATTATTTTAGTGGAGCGGTGGACAATTGGTTTATCTAGGTTGGTCTCAGCAAGAAGAATTGTTATGTATACAAGACGATGGTATGGTTCACATATACGATATGTTTGGCACTTATCAACATGCCTTTACCATGGGAAATGTAAGTCATTGTTGAACGAACCAAATAATATGCACATGGTTTAATTTAGACATTATGATTATATTGTTGTTTCCTTTCTTCTATAACAGGAAGTGAAAGATACCAAAGTTGTAGAGGCAAAGTTCTTTGTCAGCTACACTGGTACAGGTATCGCAGTTTTGACCTCTACTAATCGTATATTCCTAGTGAATAACGTGGTGGAACCAAAAGTTAGACAAATAGAAATTCCCAGTAAGTTTGTTGAACAGCATTCAGTATCATCTTTAATTCATAAATTCAATCTTTATATATCATACGTTTTTTTTGCTCCAGGGCACGGAGGCACCATAGATTGTTGGTGTTTAGTACTTTGCGACAGGGAATCTCGTGTAATTTTATCAAACCGAGATGGAATATTTGTTGTACATCAGTCGTATCAAAACGCAGTCCACGTACCATTTGTATGATGTAAAAGCTTTAAATGTTCGAAAGTAAGCAAAATCTATACTCGGTATTTAAACAAATTATATATTTCTTTCTTTAGGACAATATCTTCAGCAGACATAATAAAATATACAGTGTAATAGCCATGGCTGTGTCTGGAAATAATCGTCATATCGCTCTTTATACGGATACCAGTCATTTGTACATAGGTTCTGTTGATTTTAAGAAAAAATATTGCGAGCATTATACGAATATGAAAGAACCATTAGAAAATATAGCATGGTCGGTATATCATTTCTATCGTTATCTATACCATTTTAATCGATTTGCTGATACATTGAAATTTCTAGGTGTGGAACTGAAGCTGTAGTATGCAGCTGGAGTAGTACCGTAATGGTGGTCGGTAGAACCGCCGAAGTAATAGTGTACACTTACGACGGTCCGGTACATCTTGTTACAGAAATTGACGGTGTGCGTGTACTGTCTGGTTCTTCTCATGAAATGATACAGAAAGTACCGAGCGTTGTTCAAAAGATATTTGGTATTAATTCAACCGATCCTGCATCTTATCTTTTGGAAGCTTCGAAACAATTTCAGAAGAAGAGCCATAAAGCTGACAGTTACATAGATCTGGTTAAAGATAAATTAGACGTAGCGGTAAAAGCTTGTATCGATGGTGCTGGTCATGAATTTCATTTTGAAACGCAAAAGCTTTTAATGAGAGTAAGATTTCTAACTTCTTATTCATACTTGCATCCTGCGGCAAATGAACGATACAATATTCTTTCTGATTATCCTAGGCAGCCAAATTCGGAAAAGGCTTTAGCAAAACAGTCAATCCTGACTATTATGTTAATATGTGTCGAACGTTGAGAGTTTTGAATGCGGTTAGACATCCTGCGATTGGAATTCCATTAACGTATACTCAGTATCCTTTTATTTAACTCATACTATGTACCTTTACCTTCTAATCATTTTCATAAGTTTTATTTACTTAATAATGACAGATTTACTGTTTTAACGAGTCAAGTGTTGTTAGATAGGCTCGTTGCGAGGAGACACTACTATTTAAGCATACAAATTGCACGACATCTTCAGTTACCTGAAATCGAAGGAGAAAGTCGAATATTAGCTCATTGGGCTTGTTATAAAGTAATATGCTTGCTTCTTCTCAAATATTAATTATTTTATTGAATGTATTTCTGTATTTCTTAATCATTCTCCTGCTTTTCTTAATAGGTCAAACAAACACAGTTGGATAAGGAACAAATAGCAGAAGAAATAGCCGATAAATTAGGATACGCGCCCGGAGTTTCTTACAGCGAAATTGCAAAACGAGCAGCCGATTGCGGTCGAAAACAGCTAGCTATCAAAGTGAATTCTTTATTCTCTATGGAACTATTTAAGAGAAATTAGCATCATTTTAATGGCTGAGTTATTATCACATTTAACATTTTTTCTTTTCTTTTTAAGCTGATAGATTATGAACCACGTGCACACCAACAGGTACCGCTTTTGTTAACGCTTGGAGAAGAAAGAGCTGCTTTAAGCAAAGCCGTTGACAGTGGAAATACTGACTTGGTTTATACAGTGATACTTCACCTCAGGGAAAATATGACGCTCAGCGACTTCCAGGTAAATAATTGATTACCGTTCGATGAAAAGTATTTGAGAGAAATACAGAGTTAGGTAACATTCATGTTATTGATTGACAGATGTCCATAAGCCGTTGTCCTTTAGCGATGGCCTTATACATTAAATATTGTCAAAATCACAATCGGGAAACACTTCGAGATATTTATAATCAGTACGATGACTTTCATTCTCAAGCGATATGGTTTATTACTGAAAGTTATCAGCGAAAGGTTGGTTCAACTTAATAATATAACTAAACCTTTAAGTTTTTATTTTATGTTTGTTAATATCGTTGGTCAATCAGTTGTTTATACGATTAATATCGTTTAGAATACAATGGCAAGAGAAGCTTTATTGCAGTCTGCTCAAGAAAATTTCAAGTTAGCTCGTAACGATACCAACGCGGCTTTGACAGAGGAACAAATAAAATTGTTACGCTATCAAAGATCTTTAGAAGATATATTACACGAATCAATCGTTGGAAAACCGCTTCACGATACAGTACAGATATTATTGTCACACAATGAATTAAAATTGGCAGATAAATTGAGATCGGAATATCGAATATCAGACCGAAGGTATGACGAGTAATTTCAGTTCTCAGTTGCTTGTGAATTACTCTTCTTCTATACATATGTAATGTGTAACACATGTGAAAACGTTGTTTTTAGATATTGGTGGTTACGAATACATTATTTAGCAAAAGAGAATATGTGGAGTGAACTAGAAAAGCTTTCTAAAAGCAAAAAATCTCCCATTGGTTATGAGGTAATTTTTCTACTCTGCTGTTAAAGTAACCAATCAATTTTCTAATTTTTTTTCGTTTTCATTCGTTTCAGCCATTTGTAGATCAATGTTTGAAATATAACAAAGAAAGAGAGGCAAAGAAATATTTACCTAAAGTAAAAGATGAGCTGAAAGTGAAATACTTTGTCAAACTAAAGTAAGTATACGTACAAATTAATATCAGGATAACGTGTTTATTTTGTTACGACAAACGTAATAAAATAATTAATTCGATATTACAGAATGCTAAACGAAGCGATTCAAACAGCAGTAGAACAAAAAAATGTTTCAGCGTTAAAATTTGTCCTGGCACAATGTAATGCATCTGATAGACAGTTAATTGATAAAATTAACATGTATATAACAAGTCTTGAAAACTAACATTCTATTAATATGGTTTCGAATCATTGGTTAAAAATTGAGATATGTTCATCAGAAAGTTATTTTCTAGATACATTTAAGTGAAAACAATTTAAAAACAGGTTAAATTTTTTTTAAAGGTGCATATTTGTACAAGTATACACGTACACGTGTATGCACATCTGTATGTAAATATTATTACTATGTATAAAATAATGAGATCAGAACCTATAATAGATCTCTTAAATATCTCGGTATATTAATGTAATTAATTTAATGTATATACATACATATATATACATATATGTATTTAATCTTTCTAAACTTAACATGTAATGGGAATATTCATCAACTACTTTCTCCTGTAGACTTTATGAAATTTTGATGTCTGTCAACAAGATCATTGACAATTAATCGTTCGATTTCCTCACCTCTGTTCAACTGTTCGTTAGTAAGAGAAATGACATGATTACTTTCCTGACTGACAATTGTTACTTGTTGTTTTCGAGTATGCAACATATTTGCTATGACCAGCTGGAACAAAAATAGTTTCAGTGTGTACAAAGAAACAGTATATTTTATTAATTTACAATATGCTATTAACGAAATTAATTGAAATTACTCACATTGTGTTTGTATCTATTGAGTGCACTTCTGGCTTTTAAAATTAAAAGGCTTTCATCAGTTTCCAACTTAAAGGACACTACAAACGCTTGCGGAACCCACAGACTTACTAAAGGAGCTAATATTTTTGGCACCAATTGAAGGGATATTGTTTGCGGTTCATTTGAAGAAATTTTATGAACAGCCTAAACATATTGAAAGCGATTTTACACATAAATAAATTTTAACAATTTTGTTAAAATTGATTTTGTGATGTGTTTATAGAAAATTTTGAACATATATACCAATTCATTGGAAGGAATGTAAAAATCCGAAACTGCAGCAGCCAGGTACAAAATAGCTTTGTTTTTAAAGGAAGCTAGTGCTTGACAGGCAGACCGAAGAAGCCAAAGATATTCAGAAAGGGTTGTGAAAGTGAGTTGCAATAGTCTATCTTGATTCAGAGCTTCTTTATATTTATGCAGTATTGTCGCCAACTTCTCTGTATACTGTGGCAACACTACAAACACAGTATGGATTGTATAGTTATGTTACAATTAAATCAATTACACAATTTAGTGTAACTGATTTTTTTATTAATTAATCGGGATAAAAAGGAAAGATATATACCTGCAACAGTAGATTTTCCATCTTGCTGCTCATTGACCTCTAACATATCTAAAAACTTTTGTCCTGTAAAATGTCTGGAAAATGGTTCTAAAGACTTAACTCTGTCAACAATTAAATAATAAATATTAATATGATAAAACAGTGATTTTATAAATATATATAAAATATTTGTAATTTATTAATTACCTATACATAAATATTACTGCATATCCAGATTCTAAAAAATATTCTGCAGATACAGATCCCCTAGTCCCTGCACTGAAATTATCAACAAATCTTACCGTATTGTGTTCTAAAGGTATTGTTGTGCCACCACTCTATAAGATCCATACATACCATCTTAATGCAATAAAATATATAATACTCAGTAAGGTAAACACTTACCGTAACTAACACAACTTTATTGTTTTTTTTTAATTGTCTTTCTGTAAATGCTTTCAATAATGCTTCACTTTGAGCAAAATCTTGAGGTGGTGGATGTTTAGCATAAAATTCTTCCCAAGTTAAATTCATGTTTATATGTATATATAACACACGCGCGCAATTAAAAATACAATATTATGATAAAACTTTCTACTATATCACGTAAAACAAATAGATGATTTTAAACCGTATAAATTTACGCAGTAAATTGTACATGTAAATTACAAAATAAATGTTGAAAACATATGATAGAGTAACAGTAGAATATTTATCGTTAAAAACAATAATACTATGTTTTACTCAAGAACTTTTTATTGCATTGTAACAATGATGGTTCAGACCTGGCACAACTAAACAAGAATTGTCAATTATCAGTGACTACAGATCTGTAGTTACTGCAATTATATTCCAACTCATCGATATTGAATATATTACGCGTTTAGCAAATGCGCCACCAGATAGCGCAAAAATTGATTCGTTTCCTTTGACAAACTTCCATTTTAAAAAATCCGCCATAAATTATTTTTTAAAATTCGATTCTAGCGCCATCTATACAGAAATGGCGGAAACTATTCGACAATTTACCGACTACCGTATGATAAGTCGGTAAGTGGCTTTCGCTACTTTCCGAGAGATGGCGGTAGTGCTCCATTTGAAAAATCTGTAGATAAGTTGTTGAGTAGTTTCCACCGTTTTTGTATAGATGGCGCTGAGATTGAATTTGAATGATCATTGATGGCGGTCTTTTCAAGATACAAATGTATCAAACAATTATTTTAATAATTTTTCCGTCTTGTACTGATTTTGACTTATTTCTCAAAAATAGAATTCAAGGAGTTAAAATTGTCTTTTCAGTTGCGAGTACGAGGTGTGATAGAGGAGGAACTGTTAAGACAGACAGAACTGTCATACAAATTGTGCAGACCTAACCTTACCTAGGGGTAGCTGAGGCTCCCAAAAATAATGACCTTTGATGACAAAAGCATGTCTACTCTTGTTGGATCTGTAGTCACTGATATAATTTAATTCTGTACAGTATATTTAACAAAAGAATAGAAAGCTATACAATTTATTTGTTATTTATATCTATTTGACAATCATTAGTATATCAAAGGTCATAGCAGATACATATTGGATTACTTGATGTCACCTTAACTGTCTACAATAAATACTAATTAATAGTTGAACGATATATTTTTAGTATTCAGGAGCTGGTGATTTCTTGGGAAGATTATCTTGAATTGTTAGAAACTGAAAGTTAAAATTAAAATCGGATTATCAAGTCTCTTACAAATACGTATACAAAACGATTGCCGTTAACTTGTAATATGTTAATCCTTTATAATTAACTATTATCTTTTCCTGTTATTTATAAAATGTACCTTATAGTTTTTATCACGATATTCATTCCAAGGTTCAGGATTCGTCTTTGGGTACCAGGCAACATCAGGGCTTCGAACAGCGGCACGTAACAGACATACTGCCGATCCTACTGCTCCAAATCCAACGCAAAAAAATAATGGAAGCAGCTAGAAAAAAAATAAATAATAGTAACACTGCGAACAAACAACTCTTATTTATTATTTTACTTACCATGGGATTCTTTTTTAAGGTTGTCCATGAAAGATCTATGAATTTAGCACCCATTTTGCCGTATATGTAGGTACGTAAGCATACACCAGAAGAGGACAAATACTACAAATACTTCGATCGCAATTAAACTACTAGCTGGTGCAAAGCTCGTACACAATGAACGGTATACGAATGAAATTTTCATAAAGGCGATTATACCTTAAGGATCGATGAAACATTTTGTAGGTTGATGCAATACGATTTAAAAAAATGTTATTTGCTAAACTAGCATAATCAACTTGCGTATAAAATTTTTGTAATATTGATTTTGTCTAATGTTTAATAAACCATGTAATGATTTAAACTTTTATATACATAAGTTTGAAATGGAGTTTTATATATATATATATATATATATATAGCGGGATTCGTTTCCTATTTCTTTTACCAGAATAGAATTGTCCGTCTACCTCAACTATTGTTTCGTGACGGTATTTTACAAATAAAAGTAGATTTTTACAGCATTAGATCTGTATAAATATAAATGTTGATCTCAGTCATCAAAGTGAATGCAACGATGTACGAGAGTAGAATCAAATAATACGTATACTGACTTGTGCCGGAGATGCATTACATCAATAAGTGGTTTATTAAAATCCGCTAAATTCTTTGACCATTAATGTCATTATATTCGTTCAGCGTAAGAATGAATCTTTATTGGTAATACTATTTGAAAACTCAATAAAGACGGCGATATTTAGTTTTTCATCATAAGCGGGATGGGCTTTTCTACGAGTTTACAAGGACAGTCATCGCACGAGGCGTTACTCGCCCGTCAAGATGCTGAGATCAAGCTTCTTGAAACGATGAGACGATGTCTGACGATTAAAGTTAAATCAGACCGCGAATATGCGACGACGATTACCTCTTTAACGATGCAAGGGAAAAAAATTGAACGCAACGAAGATCTCGTTGGTAGTCTTATAGCACAGGTATTTCATCAAAAATAAGATAAATTTTCACATTTTTTTAGTGTGTATAAACGATTGTTCAGAAATATTTGCTTACATAGTCCTATTGTTATAGAGTTGGAGAGATATTATGGACTCTATTGATCAGACTGCTAAATTAATCAAGCAACAAGCAGATACTATCGAAGCAATAGTAGTTGAACATATTGCAACGTTATATTCTGAAAGGAGACGCGCCAGGAAACTGTATCAAGAAGAACAGACATGGTTAAATAATCAGTTTCAGCAAGTATGTATATCGGCTAATCAGTGTTACCTGCGAAAGATTATATCCAAAATGTCGTGCGTTATACCTATTGCATGTTTTAGTTGACCGAAGATGTTGCCAGGAAGAAATTAGAATATCAGAAGAATTTAGAGGTGTATAAACTGATGAGATCCCGTTTTGAGGAACATTATGTTAAATGTTAATATTTGTATTATCTATTTATTTATTTATTTAAACTCATTTAGTATATAGTTGTAATATGTTGTTAGCTGGGAGAGTTGGAAGAAAGCTGGATGATGTAAGAGAAAAGTATCAGAAAGCCTGTAGAAAGCTTCACCTCACGCATAACGAGTACGTGTTACTTTTGGGTGCTGTAACAGAATGTGAACACGATTTAAGAACTTGTTATTTACCTAGCTTACTTAACCGACAGCAGGCAATTCATCAAGAATTTGTTACATCATGGTAAGTATTTATTTTTATTACAATCGAATCAATTTGCAATGCGTTTTGTTGTTTTACATCATCGATCAGTAATCTGTTTTTTATAAAATCTTTGTGCAAACACATAGTTATATAACAGGTAAATGTTAACGATAATTATTATGGTAATTTATTGGTTATATTACAAATGGTAAGTCTCTTTCTTTGTATGATAGGAAAGCCATACTTCAGGACATAGTGAAATATTCTGATTTTACAACAGACAAGTTTCAAGAGATACATTTACGGATGCAAAAAGCCGTAGATTCTGTGAAACCTGTAGAAGAGTACAAGGATTTTATAGGAAAACATAGGTATTTCTTAGATGTTTCCATTTTCTCGTAAATTATGAGAATAGAAATAAAAATTTTTTATAATAATTGATACAGAACGCGACCGACGTCTCCGATAAGATTTACATTCGACGAGAACCTTGTGGACGATACTTCAGGAAAATTGTTACCAAATAAATTGACGGTAGATAATTTGACGATAGATTGGTTGAGAAATCGGTTGACTGAATTGGAAGCTTCGCTAAAAACGGCTCAACAAAGCCGACAAAATGCTCAGTATCCATCAGAGAACAATAGCGATTCCAAGTAAAACCTTTTGTTTTTGTTAAAATCAAATACTTTATTTCATATCGTGTATATTTAATATGTTTATTTCTACGATTATATTAGAATATCAATCTTGGATTACTCTCGCGAGAGAGAAGAGTTACGATTGCGTTGTCAAGAAAAAAAACTACAGCGGCAAGTGGACGTAATTAGAGGTGCTTTAAATGAGTTAGGTTGCGAAGAATTACCACCGGGATATGATATTTCTATGGAGAGTTCTTTCACGGATTCGCCTGCTATTACTAAGGTAATTAATTAATACATTTAAAAAATGTAGATATTTCTGTAAATATTACATGCACCTTTTTATAATTTCAATTTCAATCATGGTTCTCAAATAAAAACTTATTTTCTCTGGAGAATTAATATTAGTTAGTACCACTGCCTTCCAGAAAAATACAGTTGCAGATATTGGTCTGTTTACGTTACGAAGGAATCAACGATTTATGACAATATTTAGGTCTCCCTTCAAATCTTTACCGATAATAAACGACACAAAAGATGGAACAGTTAGATCGAGTAGTGAAGGTCCCACTTCAAAAGCAGATAATACTCTACCAGTTGTATGTTTTTCTATATATGTTACCCAGTTGTTGTACATACTCATAATTTGTTTTATGCGTGATTGAAGAAAAAAGAAATTATATCAAACGTTTTTAAAAACTGGAAGTAATTAATATATATATATATATATTCCTATTATTATTATTTATAGTGTTCTGTCTTTAACATTAAGCATGTGTTTTCTTTTTTGTTTTAAGCAAAAGTCTAATAAAGTTTGAGTTTTTTAAAAGCTTCTAATACGTGTGATGCATCGTTTGATGTTATCTTAAAATAGAAATAATATGGATAAAAGAAACGTAGGATTTTTTAATATATAGAAATTATTAATTCTAGTTAAGTTGGATCGAATACGTGTGTAATATAATTTTAGGTACCATTTCGTGGAATATCGCATTTAACTACTAATCAAAAAGGAGGTGGAAACGGCGATCTTATGGAGGAAGAGTGGTTTCATGGTGTCTTGCCAAGAGAAGAAGTAGTAAGATTACTTGTAACCGATGGAGACTTTTTAGTACGCGAAACAACGAGAAACGACGAGTGCCAAATAGTTTTATCAGTTTGTTGGGATGGGCATAAACATTTTATCGTTCAAACGACACCTGAAGTAAGTCAACAGTTATGTATGCATATGATTACGCCATGAAATCTACCAAAGACGTATAACAAAATATGTTCATATAAATTTCAGGGACATTATAGATTCGAAGGTCCTACCTTTCCGTCGATTCAAGAATTAATAAAACATCAGTGGTTATCCGGATTACCTGTAACTAGCCGATCAGGAGCTATTCTTAAAACACCAATTTTACGTGAACGTTGGGAACTTAATAACGACGATGTAATCCTTCTAGAGAAAATCGGACGGGTATATTGAAATTTAAAAAACAAAAATTCTTATCTTAACCCCTTGACAAACAATGACGTGTCTGGGAGACGCTGTACAGTATTATTATTTTATAATGTTACTTAATTATTGTCCATTAACATTATATATCAACCTGATTAAATGTTATATAGCAATGCAAATTTCAAAATAAATGTTTCTAAGCTTGCACATAACTGTTCAGTTGAGCCAAATTAAATAGTATTTTTCAGACGCATCAAATTCCGTTTTAATTGTATGTCAAGGGGTTAAATTCCTCTTTAAATATGAAAAAATTTTCGTTTCTTTAGGGCAACTTTGGAGATGTATATAAAGCGCAACTTAAAACTTGTAAGACTGAAGTAGCTGTAAAAACTTGCAAAGTAACATTACCAGACGAACAAAAACGCAAGTTCTTGCAAGAAGGACGAATACTGAAGCAATACGATCATCCGAATATAGTTAAACTAATCGGAATTTGTGTTCAAAAACAACCTATCATGATTGTTATGGAATTGGTACCCGGTATGTTGACGATTAAATTATAATTTTATTTAAGATAATTAAATTTCAGAATACAATCGTTTATTGATGCCGAATGTGCATATACATTAGGTGGTTCCTTATTAACTTATTTAAGAAAAAATGCTAATACCATCACGCAACAAGAACAACTACGAATGTGCAAAGATGCTGCTGCAGGTATGCGCTATTTGGAATCTAAATATTGTATTCACAGAGACTTAGCAGCCCGAAATTGTCTCGTAGGTAAATATAACAAATAAATTTTTATTTATTACAAAATACCTCTAGTACTCTATAAATAATACTTCTAGATATATAACAATCTTTTTCCCTTTGTTTAGGGTACGAATCTATAGTAAAAATATCAGACTTTGGAATGTCCAGAGAAGAAGAAGAATATATCGTTTCAGATGGTATGAAACAGATCCCGATTAAATGGACTGCACCGGAAGCATTAAATTTCGGTATTTGACAAAGTATAGTATAGTATAAGTATAGTATATTACAGATGTCTAAAATTTTTCGATATCATTTTTCATTCCTTCCTTTAGGTAAATATACATCGCTCTGTGATGTTTGGAGTTACGGAGTCTTAATGTGGGAGATATTTTCTAAAGGTGGAAGCCCTTACAGTGGAATGTCTAATTCTCAAGCTCGTGAAAAGATAGATGCAGGTAATGTTTTGTCGGAAAAATACGGTATAATTTTTGCATCTCTTCTTACGTCTAATATTTTACTGAAAGGATTAACTTTTGTTTCTTTAGGTTACAGAATGCCAGCTCCTGAAAATACACCCGATGAAATATATCGTTTAATGTTACGATGCTGGGAATACGAGCCAGAAAAACGTCCACATTTCGATCAGATTTATACTGTTGTTGAGACGTTGTCCCAAGCGTATTTATAAAGAATAAACTTCAGTCGGTATTAATCTGTATGATGAATAATATTTCTTTTACACCGTTTATTACAGTTATAGATCATTTTATCAAATTATATATAACAGCTCGCAAAGAGCTGTAACAACCGACGCTTAGTACCAAAACATACGTACGTGATACATCTATGATTTACGATGAAAATCTCAAGTATTGTATACATTTGATTTTTAAAGAAAATAAAAATAGAAAACAGAAGATGTAAATTTCATCTAGCAGTGACATGTTCGTCATAGGTAATTTCAGAACGAAATTTTAACATCTAATGAAGTAGCGTAATCGTGTTTAAACAAGTAGGAACATGAAGCTTGGGTTATTTTATTTTACACGTGTGTAATTTTTTTTTTACCATTTTAAGATAAAGTAATAGCGTATTATAACGTACAGATTTTCGCAGTAAATCATAGATATATTTTTCGTTTCTGCTGTGTTTATACATATATTATTGTGAAAAAAATTATGTGAATATGTATTATTGCGTACTATGACACTGTATCGTATTTTATTCTTCGCATTTTGTTTGTTTTTTATTAGTAATCTTGCGTCCAAATTTTTTAAACTGTTCGTCCGTCCAAATCATAATCCAGTTTTACTTGTTACAAACGCAGTATTATAATTGACAATTAAAAAAGAAACCGTATATTTTCATTTCTTCAATTGTTGGTAGTCATTTGTTTTCAAACTCAATTTGTTTAATCTTTGTCCAGACCAGAGTTTAATGATACTGTTACAAAAATGTTGAAGAAAACGTAATGTAGAAAGAGTAAAACTAATAACATAATATTAATTCATGATTACATATATATATATATATTCTGTTTATTTTTATACAATTGCTTGTTCCGTTCTATTGAACTACACTATACGAAAATGAATCCGAAAATTTTGTATATTTATACATGTACTAAGATTTAAAATTTCTAGAACGTAATTTTCATTATACTTGTATTATGAACTTTTTGTTTTTATTGAAATTAATGTTCATTGTTGCTGTGCAATATGCAATATACGTTTAACTATTAAAGTGCGTATACTTTATGTACAATTGCATTAAATGATATGCATATACATAGACATGGTGATATACATATGTATACATACTGCGTGAGGCATGCAAATTAACTTTAAAAAAAAAAAAAAAAACAGAATGGAACAATTGAAAATTCATATCATAGAACAGAAAGACAACTGAATACATATTTTATTATGTATTATTTTGAACAATAATGTAAACAAAAATAATTATCATTTTTCAATACTCATTATCATTTTAAACATTAATTAATAAATGTTGTGCTGAAACTTTTTGTAAAGCTCGAGTTTTCTTATGTTAAACTGTTAAATTTGTACTGTCTTCATATAAGCAGTTTTACTTCAACTTTTGTACTGTATATCGTTTTCATACTTTTATTAAACTTAAATGTATATGTAACATGTACCACAGTTTAAAATAAACCCATTAAAATGGATAAAGTTGTAATTAGTACATACGTTTCTTATAAGTACAACTTAATAAGTTCGTCGCTTACAGCCGAAGGTGTCAAAATACCTAAATCGGTAAAAAGAAGACTAATATAATGAGGTGGTGTATAATCAACTAACGGATGTTCTTTTTGTAAGTCGTTTTTTAGGGTGCTTGCTGTATACTGTAAAGCGAAGATATAAAAAAGAAAACATTTCTCAATTATTCTATGCTATATTTAACTGTACTAGAAAAAAATGATGAATAAAAAATGTTACCTTGAATTCATTTGGTAGATCGACTTGATTTAAAGGATATATTCGTGAAAATTTAAAGCTCTCCGTTAGCACATAAAAAGGTTTTTTTACTTCTTTTGCACACATAGCCATCGTATATGTGCCAACCTACAGATAAATAAATGAAAATAGCAACTGATCGTGTACATATATAATTTATAAATCAAACATACCTTATTAATAACACCACCACTTTCTGCAACACCTTCTGCTCCAACCATAACCATATCAACCTGTTCCATTACATATCCCATTGCAGAATCTAATATTAGTGTACAAGACACACCTAATTTGGTTAAATTTTGGCACATTTCTTCGCTACCAATTGAAGAAGGAAAGAGGTAAAAACACATAGTCAAGAAGATTGTTTTAGCAATTTAATGATGTCAAGAATTCTTACCCACTATTATCTGGAGAAGAAGAAGTTACATACACCTCAAATATTTTGTTACTCGCAGCAGCTTCCTTCATTGCTTGTAATACAACTCTAGATTTTGAATGAGTAAGTATTTTCTAAAACAAATGACATGTTTTGTAAGAAGGATTATTTGTACAAGATATCATAAAGTATTAATGGAAGAAACAAAAATTACAGAACCATCCTTAATAAAATGTGCTGCTACTTTTGCAACTTTTCCTCTTGCAGCCACTAATTTCTCATAGAACATCATTCCCCTGTGAAGCATTATTCCTTTACATTCTGCAAATGACTAATACCATATAATTTTGAAAGCTGTACAAGTTGTTAACCAAAAAAGAAAAACAACAAATATGTTATTGTTATATACTATTATATATAATTATATTTTATTATATACTGTAATAAACAGCATGTAAGCATTCTTACCGGTGTATCTAATGTAGCTAAAGTGATAAAACGAAGAAACAATTCGCTACCAGATGCGATAGCAGTTACAGGATTTTCAGTAGATCTCATAGCATCTATCGCATTTTGCAGACAATATCTAAGCTCTTGAACTGTTTCAGCTGCGATGGAATGAAATATTCGATGAAAACATAAATATACATCAAAGTGTTATATTAACATAAGCTTACATTTTGAGTATTCCAAGACTTTAAGTAATGTACGAATAGCAGCCATTCCTGCAGATACATGCTTTTCATCTCTAATAATGCTGTTAAAGTACAGACAAATTTCTGGAAAATAAAAACAAGAAAAAGAAAATATACTTGTTTGTTTTAATCCTTTAATGTATCTTTGGATCATATACCTTCTTTTTCCATAATTCTTGCTTAATTAGTGTGTATTCGTTGTCGTACTTTTTTGCAACGTCAATGAGACATTTATTTAAGAACAAATTAATTCAAATATCGTCAGTCAGTACTTTTAACATTAACTTAAAAAACATAAAAGTTACTTCATTAATGTTTTTAAATATGATATAAAGTGTATTAAGTACTATACAGATAACATGTGATAAATATACCTCATGATACAGATATTACTTAACAAATTTTTCATATAAAACAGTCTGTAATAGTAAAAAAGGTTATAAAAATGACATCAATAAGAATCTGAGGTGAATATAGGTATATATACCGCAGTTCACCAGAGTCCATAACTGCGACGCGCAGGTTGGAAGATGGTGGGGGAACGCAGCGAGCTCTCTGCTAATCGCTTTCCACTTCGTTTGGGAGTATCGCCAATCAGGGCGAAGATGCGCACTGGAGAAGCGCGAAGAACGAAAACTGGTCTTTTCGCAGTTATGGACTCTGGTGATATGTATTTACACCCTCGAGTACGCTCGGCGACCTTCTAGGGCTAGCGAAAATAGCGGAGGGGAAGGTGTCCCCGCCACTGGGTATGATACCACGAGCCAGCAGTCATTATGCCTAATTCACTGGAGATACTTTTCTATTTGCATTTGCCTTCTTCTGCGAGGAGGTAATGTCGCAGAAGGAGACAGCGGAGCGGGATCGGGAGAGGTCTTATGCAAGATTTCCCCATGTTAAAAAACAAAAAAATCCTTTACATCTCTGCTTTCCATACATTCCTGCATCCCTTACATCTCTGCATTCCTTACATCCCTACATTCCTTACATCTCTGTATCCCTTACATCCCTGCATCCCTTACATCCCTGCATCCCTTACATCCCTACATCCCTTACATCCCTGCATCCCTTACATCCCTACATCACTTACATCACTGCATCCCTTTCAACTAAATCTCAGATCTCTAATCAGCGCCCTCTGGATGTGGAAAAAGGAACTAAACCTTGCTAAGTTTTTGGCCCTCTGGCGGCAAAAATGCGAACTAAATTTTCGACGTCGAATCAGCGCTCTCTGGTGGCGAAAAAAGGAACTAAATTTTGCAAAAATTTAAATTAAAAATTATTTTTCCCGAGACTTTATTTACCTTTACTTACCTTTACTCGAACCAGTGGCCATAAGTATATTATTTATAATATATTTATTATAAGGGTTGAAAGGATACAAGAGATGCAGGGAGAATTCAGGAGTGTAAGGGATACAGAGATATAAAGGGTACAGAGATGTAAGGGATGCCAAGGTAAAGGAAATGCCGGCATATACGAGGTGCAGGAATATAGGGAATGTAGCGATATAAGGGATACAGGGATGTTAAGAATGCAGACATGTAAGGGATGCAGTGATGAAGGGTTGGGCCTCATGAGGCCCTTAAAGACAAAAAAATAATAAATAACTGGAAAGGTTGAGCCGAGGTTTATGAAGAGGGATAAAATAATAAATGACTTGGGAGCGTGGTCCACGCGAGACCCGAAAATAGGGGTAAAATAATAGATAAAAGGATAAAATAATAGGCGAGGCACACATATGTAATAGAATCAACACATTCATGCTCCTAATGAGAAAAGGAGTAAAACTATATACTATAGTTTCGTTCGTAAAGGTTTATATTTTCATCGATGAAAAGAAAACAGATTTTCAAGATAAACGAAAAGACATCGTTAAATTCTTGATATAACACAGAACTTGTACAATGGATCGAATACATGTAATTGATCGTTAGCAAAAATGATGAAAGCAACCACTTATGTCGATTAAAGTTTTCGCATATAAAATGTCTACAACATTTGCGCATATGCGTTTATATAATATAGTTAGAGAATGTATTCTTTCCGTTACTTTCTTCCTAATATTTTAAACATTACAGTTTTGTATATAAAATTTCCTATTTAGTTAATAGATATTTGTTCTTTCGTGAACACTCGCAATTAAGATTAACAAGTATCAGAACTCGTAAACGTTCCTCAAAATTATCTGCGTAATGTAAAGTGTTCGGAATGATCAACACGTTTAAAAAAAAGACGTAGTCAAAAAGACACTTTACAATTGAAAAATTTACAAAACATGACATTATACAATAGTATTATATAATATATGTAGGACGTATAAACATTTGAAGTACAATTTTACAATGATAAATTAATTGTTTTAAACAACCATGAACATTCAAGCAAGATATTCGCGATTACTTGATTAAATAAAAATTCAGAGCAACGGCAAATATTTAATATGATAAACTTACGATTAATGCGAAATAATTAAGCGTAATTCACGTTACTATCTAATGCGTTATTTCGGTAACAATGGTATATTTCGTAAACCATAACTGTTTCACTTAAGCGTAACAAAAAATAAATATTATTGGAGAAAGAAACAAAGATAAACGCGTGAATACCTTGTACATGCACAACGCCTAAGTACCTACTTCTTTGGTACGTCATTTGGTTTGCTTTTTCTTTTTAATTACGTTTTGTTGTACACGCGTAAAGCATCCGCCTTACCCGGTGCCGACGATACTTCGTTGTGGCTTTAGAAACCAATGTCGTAACAAATTCACCTTGGTAGTTTTCTATCTGAAATAAAACATATTCAAGGAGAGAGGGTACTTTGAAAGTTTCCTTCGTTAAACGATACTTCAAAGTACTTAATCGGCTTTTTCGGCTGATATTCGTAATGGTATCCGAATTAATTAACCCGTTCCGTGCCTCGTGGGATTCGGTGGTTTGTAATATTTAATTTTGAAGTAGAATTTTTGTGTAATCAAGTAATAAGATTTTAATAAAGAAATTTTGGTTCTAACTTATTTGAATACTAGTAAAAAGGTTCAAATTTCAGTCGTGGTACGGAACGCGTCAAAAAATATGTATCTCATCGAGTTAGCGTGGAGTTCCGTGTTCAAAATCCGACACATACCTACTAAAGTATTCCTACGTATCGGTGCTGGACGTTGTCCTCTTCTTGTTGCTTCTGGCGTCGGTTTCCGTTCTCTCGGACCTTTGCTCCAAAGAATTGTCCGACACGATATCGTCCGGACGATCGTCTTCGTTACTTCTTCCATGAGCTTCAGCCTCTGGTTGATCGAGCAAAGGCATGTCCAACGAGTCCGAGGAAATACGTCTAACGCTGCTAGGCTGACCAACCATGTCCGATTGGGTCTCCTTCGCATCGCGTACATTATTCAAGGAATCAGAACTCAACGAAGGATAATCCAGAGTAGTTTTCATCTCTAAAGAATCTGAGCTTCGACAAAGCGGATGATGTTTCTTATCCGTATTATCCTCCAATTCCAGAGAATCGGTACTCGTTTCCATAATGTTGGTGTCCTTCTGAAGCGGCACAGTTTCAGGTGTTTCCTGCTTCGGAGCAACCTGCGCGGCTGCTTGAGTCTCCGTCTTCTCCACGTCCATAATTTCAATCTGCGAAATGTCTTCCGTGGTGTCGTCCTGGCGATCGAATTTCTCCACGTTCGATTGAGCTATGCGTATAATCTCGTCGATCTCCTTGATCCTCTTCTCGTAATCGTCCGACCCCGAGGCGCTCGCGTTGAACGAACCCGCCGCGCTGGTGTCCACCCTCGTCCGCACCAGACTCTCCAGCTTGTATTTGTTCTCGGGACTCTCGTGCTCCAATAGGTCCTCCTCTTCCCTGGCACGCATTTCGATCAGATGTGCTTCTCTACAAGCTTTCTCCAGCCCTTCGAAATCCTTCAGCGAAGACAAGGAAATGTCGTCACCGTGGCCGGATTTGCTAGCTGTGTATCTCCTAGGAAGACTGCCGTTGTTCACGGAATCATGGGAACCGCACTGGAACTTTTTCGCATTCTCAGCTGCCACTGTGCTCTCCAGGTGCTCGAACTCCTGCAACGAACTCAAGGACACGTTGTCGTGGTCGGTCGGTCTAGTGAAGTACTTTTTGCCGGCCAGGACGTCGTAGTCCGGAGTGCTTCCCAAGCTGCCCCGCATGCTACCCACACTTCCTATGGATTCCTTGTGGCTACCCAAACTGCCGAACCTACTGCTACCAGCCTCGAAGTCGGTGATCTCTTCTTCCTTGATGTCCTCCAGGGGACCTCTGTCGTATTCGATGTCGTACGCCCGGGTGTCTGCGTGGAACTGCATCTCTATCCACTTTTTACCACCCTCATATTGCTCTTCATCCGAGTAAGACTGGGAATACTGATCATCGTTGGAAACTTGAGGCGGGCTCTCCTCGGACTCGAAGTCGAAGAGCTCATTGTTCTTCGATACTTTAACCACCGATGCTTGGGGATCTTCTTTTTCCTTGGATATAAGGTTCTCGAGGTCTCGGTCGTAATGTTTACTACTTGTTTGCGGCATAGCGCTGATGCATATGCTCTTACCCTCGGAGTCATACTCCTCGGCCTCTCGACCGACCTCCTCAACTACCACGAAGTCGTCGATGATGTCGGGTTTGTCGATCATCTCGAAGGAATCGCTGTCCGGTGAATGGCGGTCCGACTTCTCTTTCCCTATTACAGTCTCGATGGACGCACCCGAGGTCGAAGAAGTGGACATGCTTGCCTGCTGTATCATGGACGACGGGGTGGCTGTCTGCACGGACATTTCAGGACTCTCGCTTGTTACACCTTCAGCGATGGATCTTTGATTAAAAAACTCGGATTCAGCTTGTGTTTCACTGTCTTTCTCGGTTATCTCCATCTCGGAAATTTCACTGGCAACCTTCGTCAGAGATGAAGCTGTCTCTTCCGTAGGGGCCTGGACCGAGATCACTTGAGTACACACGCTTTGTACTCCATCCTCGGACACTCTAGACGTCATTATGTCCACGGACTGAAGGGCACCGGGTGTCGAGGTAGCAGTGGATGTAGCAAAATCTACCCCCTTAGCGTCCTTCTCCTCTGCCTCCAGCTCGGCGTACTCCATCATCTGCGGGAAGATCATCTCGGAGGATCGTTTCATGCGACAAGGTATATTGCCCTCGAGCTTATCCATAGGCTCGTCCATCGGTATGTCGCTACCCGAGGAGTCGGACCTATCCGTATGCTCTTCGTCCAACTCGCCCTTAAGATTCTCCTCCACTTCCTCCTTCTCCACGTCCGCCTCGGAGGGCACCAGAGTCTCCGACAGCTCGCTAGTGCTGTCGATGCTGCCCAAATGCCCGGAACTAAAAGAGGCCAAGGACTTCATGGACTCGCGCGAGCTCATGGTCGTGGCGGCTGTGTGATACTCCTGAGATGTCGGCCTCGAAGCCGAGGAATGTTCTATCGACATTGCCGCCGTTTCATACTCGGAGGCGGTCGCCGAAGGAACACCGCAGGATTGAAAAGCCTCCACGTCGGAGGAACTGGGCCGACTGCCGCTACCGATCTCGTAGTCACATGATTGATAATTGCTACTTTCCCCGGAGCTGGAGCCAAGATCCGCCTCGCTCTCCGAAGTGACTACTCGTTTCGAAGATCTGCCGGGCTTCTGTCGCCTTCTGAGCACCGGCCGCGGCAGGGCCAAAGAAGAACTCTCGTCTTTATTGTCTACGTCCGAACCCGATCTACTGGCGGGCACGGGACTACGATACTCCTCCTCCTCGTCTTTCGGCTCTTCTTGGACGGTTATCGCAGTTTCAGTATCAGACTTTTCGATTTTCACCAGCGTCTCTTCTTTACCGACGCGTACCGGTTCCTCGGTACTACTGGAACCGGATTCTTCTACGTCCGCCTTGCTCTCGACGACATCCTCCGTCCGAGGCATGGCATCGTCGGACATTGTTTTATCGACAGGGGAATAGCGCGTATCTACTGGTTCTACTTCTGGCTCGAATGTTTGCTCGGGATAGGGTGATTTGTATAAAAACGGCAAGTCGTTTGGGATTGATTCCGGTTGTAATTTAAACTGGAACTCCGACGGTGAGTCTTTTATTTGAATCACAGTTTCGCTATTCTCGCTCAACTCCTCTATCAGATCCTGCTTAGCCGCCTCCAGAGATTCCTTCACCTCGTCGATCTCCTTTTTAACTACCTGGTCTAGGACTGTTATAGCGTACCGGGCGCTTAAATCGACGTTACGATCGTCTTTCTTTATTTTAAAGGCACAAGTGTCGGAAGGAACTATAGATCTTCCAGGTTTCTCGTGTTTCTCAGTGCTTTTCTCCACGTGTCTCTTGTAGTCGTCACCAGAAGGCTTCATCTTCGACAGGTAAGCCTCCGTCCATTCTTTCAAAGCATCGCCAACGCGAATAGTTCTTTCAGGTTCTTCTTCTTGGGTCTTTTCAGGCTCCGTTGCCTTTTCTTCAGCTTTTCTCTCGTCCTTGGACGATTTTTCTGATTCGGTTTCAACGTTTTCCCTAGCTTTCATTTTATCCTCAACAGCTGTCCTCTCCTCCTCCTTCATTGGTTCTGAAGGTTTCTCGATATGCAATTCACTGGGAACGGTTAAACTACTACGTCTCTCCCTTCTCTCCGGCTCCACAGTGACCTTTTCGCTAGACTTCTTCTCTTCTTCACTAGATTTCCTCTCCTCTTCGCTAGACTTCTTCTCTCCTTCGCTAAACTTCTTCTCTTCTTCGCTAAACTTTCTCTCTTCTTTGCTAGACTTCTTCTCTTGTTCGCTAGACTTCCTCTCCTCTTCACTAGACTTCTTTTCTTCGCTAGATTTCCTCTCATCTTCGCTAGACTTCTTCTCTCCTTCGCTAAACTTTCTCTCTTCTGCGATAGACTTCTTCTCTTCTTCGCTAGACTTCCTCTCCTCTTCGCTAGGCTTTCTTTCTTCTTCGCTAGATTTCCTCTCCTCTTCGCTAGACTTCTTCTCTCCTTCGCTAAATTTTCTCTCTTCTGCGATAGACTTCTTCTCTTCTTCGCTAGACTTCCTCTTCTCTTCGCTAGGCTTTCTTTCTTCTTCGCTAGATTTCCTCTCCTCTTCGCTAGACTTCTTCTCTCCTTCGCTAAATTTTCTCTCTTCTGCGATAGACTTCTTCTCTTCTTCGCTAGACTTTCTCTCCTCTTCGCTAGACTTTCTCTCCTCTTCGCTAGACTTCCTCTCCTCCTCCATACTCTCCACATACTCTTTGATCGGCGTCTTCGCGTCGTACTCGCGCTGCAGTGTATCCACCAGCTCCTGGCAGCTGACGTCCAGTTTGTTTTCCACCAACTCGTTATCAAAGTCTTGTTCAGTGACGGTGATGACCGTAAATTTATCATTTTTGCTGGCCGCCCGAGCCTCGGACACAGTATCCTTTGTTGGCTCTATCACACTTACGTCCTCGGAGGACTTGGTAGCCGATTCCTGCTCATGGTCGGTGGATCCATCCTGGGACGACAGACGCTCCTTCTTCTTCATCGTCTCGTACGCCTCTAGCTCCTGATCGAATATCTGAGACGGCTCGAGCGTCTCGGATATTTCTATCTTCTCGTCCCCGATCATCCAATCGACAGGCTTGATCTCCAGCCCCCGCACCTTCGGCTTAGGCGAAACCATCGGAGGGCTCTCGATCTCGAAACTGTCCGTCCTCTTCGTACTTACCGGTTCGTAGTCCTTTTGCATAGCCGCAGAGAGAGACAGCTCTTGGACCAAAGAGTAATCTACGTTAGTGTCCTCGGACACGGTGCTGGGACTTATGGTTATGTCCCGCTCTTGGACCAATCTCTCGAACGAATCCATTTCCGCGCTCTCCCTTAGGGACGGTATACCCCGGCTGGTGGTCTGTTCGGAGATTTTCTGTTCGTCCATCTCCAGCGAAGGCACGTCCACCGAGTCTTCCCTGGACCGTACGTCGCCACTCGGCTCCAGGATTTCCAGCACCCTAGCGCCTGAAATTTCAGACACAATTTTATCGTGGGGAAAACTAGCCTCGCTACGGGAATCCCTCGGCAATTCGGATTGCTCTTTCTCGAATTGCAGGCTCGAAGTGGCTTTAGACACGCCCTCCGATTCATTCGTGTCGACGTCGATCGTCTCCTCGAAGTCTATCTGCTCGGATATACTACTGGGACTCATGGTAATGTCTCTGTCCTGTAATTTCACCTGAGACGAGGATAAAGGTAAACTTTCTTTTTCATTCGAAGACGACTCTTCGTCTCTGGTGATGTCCTCGCTTATACTTTCTCTGGTGGAGTCTTTAGAGTGAGACTCTTCCGGTATCGATCTCGAGTCTTCCCTCTCCGTTTTCTTCATTATACTCTCGAATTTGCGTGTCAGATCGTCCGCCAGCTTTTCATCGCTCATTATCTGTTCAATATATCCTTTGTTTAATAATTCCGCTTTCAAATCCGCAGCGGATTTTGCTTCTATCTCGCTTTCGATTGATTGGATCAGAGTTTCCGCTATAGTACGAGCTTCGATCTCTTTAAACTTCCGGCGTTGTTGCTCCTCTAAACTTTCTATCTTCACACTTTTCTGATCATCTTCTTTCGAATCTTCGTCTTTTCGTGCTTTTTCGCTTGGTTCGAATCGAGTAACATCGAAACTCTCTTTGCTCTCTTTATAAGATTCTCCTTGAACGAGTGTCTCTACCTGGCCCAAATCCACGGGAGTCGATCTTTTTTCCGTTTCCGGTTTCAATTTTTCCATTATTGTCTGCGCGTCGCCTTTGTCATCGATCTTTCCCGAAACGTCCTTCTTTATTCTAATAGCCACATCTGCGTCGCTTTCTCTCGATATCGTGCTACCTACCTCGCGAGTAGTAATTCCTTCTTTATCCGATAATTTCTTAATTATTTCCTCGTTCTTCATTTCCACCCTGGACTCGGAAGCGGCCGCGTCTATAATCTCTTTCGTGTCCGTTACGTTCATCGACATCTTTTGAATCGCGGTTTTATCTAACTCCTCGCGTTTGCTCGATTTCTCTTCCAACGTTTCTGTGGGAGATTCTTTTTTTAATTGCGATTCAGAGGATTTCTTTTTCTCCACTCGTTCCTTTTCCTCCAAAGTGATAACCCTGTCAGTGCCGCTGAAGATCTCCGAGGACACCACTTCTTTTTCTTCCAACGTGCTGGAAACTTTGTGATCCACTTTTGATGTGACTACCGCGAATTCGTTCTTTCCAATGTCTTTGTCCTCGAACATTTTAAATGCTTCTCGAGGATCAGTGAAAGTTTTTGCGAAGGTTTGCGTTTCGGTTTTTGTTGTCAAATGCTCCTCCAATTTTGACGTCACCTCCTCGCTCGACTTCTTTTCCGTTATTGTGATCGTCTCGCTCTCCTTTTTAACGTGCGCCTCCTTTTTCCCTGCCTTTTCCGACGTCAACTTTACGTCTGTGATGCGTTTCGGAATTCGAGACTCGAATTCTTTCTTTTTACTCGGAGAAACGACATCTTCTTTCTCGCCGTTTGAATCTTTGTCGCTCGGTGATCTGCTCAGAGATTTCGGCTCCGTTGGAGATTTCTGCTTTTCTTTTTGAACCTTGTCTTTGTCCATCTTTGCCATTGAAATTGGAATACGAGACTCAAATTCCTTCTTTGTGTGTTTTGGTTCGATCTCTGACAATGGCTTTTCTTCTTCCTTGAGTTGTGAGTCTTCTTTTGTAATCAATTCAGAGACGCAAGGTACTTCTTCTAATTTTTCAATCTTTGCTTCCTGTTCAATTTTTTCCGTTTCTTTTTTAACGCCTATATCCATCTTTTCCTTTCTCTCCAGAAGCTTTTCTAGTTCTTTTTTAACTTCTGCGGATTGTACATCCTGCCATTCTTCAGAAATTGTTTTTATCCTCTCTTCAGGAAGTTGAACCAACCTGCCTCCTTCGCCTTCTATTTGAACTGATTTCGTTACTTTTTCTTCTAACAATGTGCCATCCTGTTGTACCTTATAAATAATAGTGGTTTGTTCGGTTATTACCCTTCTTGCGTTTGTCTTCTCTGTAACGACGTCTGTCGTTTTTATTCCTTCAGGTACTTTGACTTTCATTTCTTCTATTATTTTTATCTGTTTCTGTTTTTCTTCCATAATAGGCTTTTGTGGTTTTTCTTCCTCTTTGATTATCTCTGGCACTCTTTTCTCTTCAATTTCAGCTTCTTTTTGTTTCTTTGACACATCCTCTTGTTGGACAGTTGTTTCTGTCAGAAATTCTTTCTCTTCTTTTTGTTGCTGCTGTTCTTGTTGCACAGTCACTTTTGTAATAGCTTCTTCCACTTTTCTTAAAGTCTCAGTTTCTTTTTCTTTCTCTTTTATACTTTCTACTGCTTCTTTCACAAATGTTTCTTTTTCTTTTTGTTCTGCCACAAATTCTACTTTTCTTGTATCCTCTTCTTTTTCTTCTTTCTCTTTCATACTCTCTTGTTTCTTAATTATCTTTGTAACAGATTCTTTCACTTCTCTGGAATCCTCTTTTTCTTCTTCTTTCTCTTTTATACCTTCTGTTGACTTTGCCACAATTTCTTCTTTTTGCTCTTTCTTTAAACTTTCTTGTTTCTCAGCCACTTTTGTAACAGATTCTTCCACTTTTCTTGAATCCTTTTTTTCTTCTTTTTGTCTGATGCTTTCTTTTCCACTTTCTGCTACTTCTATCACCAGTTCTTCCTTTTGTTTTTGTTCTTTCCTTATATCTTCTTGCTGCTCAGTCATCTTTGTAACAAATTCTTCAATTTTTTTTAAGTCCTCTTTTTCTTTTTTCTCTTTTACACTTTCTTTTATGCTTTCTGTTGCCTCTGTTTGCTTCTCTTCTACAGATTTTCGTTCTTTCTCTACAATTTCTTGCTGTATACTTACAGGTTGTTGTACATCTTTCTCTACTTTCTTCACATCTTTCTTCTCTTGTAAACTCTCAGTATCTTTCTTCAATATTTCAGGTTCATCCACCTTTTCTGTCACAGCTTCATCGGATTCCATGTAACCCCGTTTCTCCCTAATCAATTCTTTTTTGGAAACATCCATTGCAACTTCATCGGTAATTACCTTACTCTCATATTGTTCTTCTTTGGCAACCCATTTCTCCAACTCTCTCTTCACACTCTCCATCTGTACTTGATGGGAGCTGATAATCTCTTTCCTTTCTTCCATCTTTTCAATCTCCTTCAGTTCCATCGTATGTTTCTCGTCTTTGTCCTCTTTTTCTTTATCACTCACCTTAGTCTTTGTCAGTTTCTCTTTGTCAGATTTCAAAGAATCTTGTTGCTGCAATTTAGACGGAAGCTTCGTCGTTTCTCTCTGTATCTGCTCCTCAAAATATTGTGCTTTCTCCGCCACCGAACATTCTGAAATGTCTGGCACGTTCAAGTCTTCCATCGTCTCGGAGCTCTCGACTTGAGGACCAATCTCTGCCATGTCCTCTGTGACACCGCTGTGACCATACTCAGTTTCACTTTCGTTGATGGTCAACTGCGAGGATCTCGACACTTCCGATTCGGATCGTTGGTAACTTTCACGCTTTCTTGATATATCCTCCCAGAACTTCCTCTTCTCGAAATACGTTTGCCTCTCGACACTCGGCGACAAATCCTGCTCTTGGCCGACTACTTTACTGGGATAACTAGCATCTACAGATTCTAGGAAAGAAGCCGCTTTTTGCGCAAGGGATTCGTGGATAGTGACAGCATCTAGAACAACCAAGAATCATGCTCACATTACTTTTTATTCATCGATTACACCTTAGGCGGAAAATACATTTTTCTTTTATATATGTATATGTTATATGTATATAGTATTTATAATTTCAAAGGATATAAGCGATCAAACTTTGGCAAGCGATATGCATTAACACCTTTAAATCATTTTATAATCTTTTCTCTTTTTCAAAATATTAACGAAGTATCGTACGATAAACTCCGATACTGTACATACATATATAATTTTGTCTAAAAATAAATACACTCTCAAAAAATAATACTATTAATCTCTCTAATGTGTAACATGCAATAATGTGTATATGTGTGTGTATATATATAGATATATATATCCAATATACAATAAACTCTGAACTCTGTTAGAATTATAATTGTTTTTACTTCTTTTTTTTTAGATATTCTTCGACACTTAAAATTAATATCCCATACGGTTGTGTATGATAAGGTCGAGGACGGCAGTTCTGTCTGCAAGTATAAGTATAGACAAGTAAGTTAATACTAAGCGGTAACAGTAAAACGAAGATTTGTTCATTTTTTAAATCGTTAATACTCGAATTTCTTCGCTCAATTCCTATTTATGGAATATCTATATTCCATATAATGTTAGATAATTTAAATGACATTGTTATATAAATATAGTAAGATATAATACCCAATATCCAGTATGTGCTTGGACAAGCAAAAGCTAATAAATATTCTCATACCTAAAGAATTTGTACTTTTGTAAATTTATATCCTTACCGTGTATTTGCTTTAAATTATTTTATTCGTTTGGATCAACGTCTTCGATATCGGTATGACAATCGCTAATTATATCGTCGCTAGTATCTTTTACGTATAACAAGGTATCCATTTTATTAATATTTTTCATGAAAACTTGCGATCCCGCGAGAGCTTCTAGATCCTCGAATAATTCTTTCTGACTACAACAAGCTTCTTGTACGTCCTCGTCGTCAGATACTTCCATGTCTTCTTCGTCGGTGTTGGACAGAACAACTATGTCTGGCATAGCGCAACACGACTCGCTTCGAGAAATATCTTCTTTATACATTTTATTTCGAACTTCCACGGAAAATGGCCCGTCGCCTTCTTTAGTCGTTATCGTTTCTCCGCTGTACTCGCAAAATATATCTGATCTAGGTTTCACGTAAATCGGAGAGTTTATTTCCTCCTCATCTTCGACGTCTTCGAAGTCCGTTTCACCTTGACAAGGACTTTCAGGAACCTTTAAAACATTTTGACTTTCTTTTTGCTCGCTCTCCGGGTCACTCGGATAAATTTCGTCGACGTCGGTTAAGTTATCGACAAAACTGTTTCGCCTAGACTCTTCTTTACAATCGGCCGATAAATAATTTCCCTGTTCCTCTTGTTCCTCCTTACCATCCGCGTTATCTAACGTTACAGATATCGTAGGTCTTTGTGGATCTTCTACCGTACAATTTAACGATCTACCTTGGTAATTAATCGTCGTCAATTCTCCCTCGGAATCGGTATCGGAAAAGTGCAACGACGAGTTGTGAATCATCGCGTTCAGTTTCCTACGGGTCGATCTCAATTTACGCTTCACTTTCGTCTTCGAGGGGCTTAAATGTTCATCTTGATTCAACGACAATGTTCTTCTCTTTTCTAAATGCTCCACCGGTTCTTCCTCCTTGCCACTTCTTTCTGAATGATCTACAGAATTATCTAAAGGTGGTTCGTTTCCTTCTTCCGTTTTCGATTCCAACGTGCACTCTTCCGTATGTTCTTCTTGCTTGTCACTCGACTCTTCCATGACGAGAAGCGTTTTAGGAACAGTCCTTCCTTTCTTTAAGATTTATCGTGTCGATCTTAAGCGTAAATTACTAAAGAACTTAAAAAAACCTGAAACTGAAAATAGTAGAGAAAAATGGAAATTAACGTTTAAACAACGAAAGAGAAAAAGACATATGTAATAAATGAAATAAAAAATAAAAGAACAAGGATCGGTAACACGATTGAAATGAAATAAACTCACGTTTATGAAATCATTGTAAGATGAACTCAAAAGAAGATAGCTTTTGAAAGCAGCATTTCTAACGGCGGTTCAGATCAGACTACAGAAAGCCGTCGCCGTTACTTCCAACCTTTGTTGATACTATTATACGTAATCGAATTAAAGAAGTCTTACTGAACACTCGGCCATAAGCGGATTAACTTTTTTTTTTCTTTTAGACGAAAACAGAGTCACAATGGAGTTACACTATGTGTCAAGTATGTATAAAATGAAACTATCTCGGAGATCACTTTTCTTATTCCTTTTCTTTTTTTTTTTTTTTCAAATAAATATCGAAGAGTTATAAACTGCAGTTATTTCCTTATTTAATTCGTCCATTCTATTGCAGCATCATACGATTAAGTTTACTAAAATAACAAGTATTTAACCACTTAATACCTACACGTTCATACCTTTCTTGCACCTTGCATTGCAGTTTCAGTTAAATACAGTAACTATTCAAATGTCTATTCGAAGCTTGTATTCTACAGAAATGTCTATAAAAATTGATTTAATCGAATCTTCATTTCGCTACTTTAAATTCATTATTTATTTAATAGGTAATGATAAATGGTAATTAATGCCCATACCTGTTCGTTCTTTTTCCAAGGTGTCGGTAATAAATTTCTTTTCCGAAGGGGAGGTATCCTTCGGCTCGTCGCTTTTCTCTTTCCCTTCCTTCTTGTATTTCGATTCGTAAGAATCCCATTTTTGGCTAATGATGTTTGAATCTTCGTAATCTGTAACAAATAAAAATATATTATAATATACAAATGTGCGTTGTTTGATATCAAATACTGAAACCGTTCAAAAACATTCACCTTTAGATTTTTGCTGAATTTCAAGTTTAGTTGTAATCTCTGGAAGAACAATGTTTAAGACGCAAATTGGTTGCTGAGGTGGTTCTCCTTTAGCAACCTTCGGCTCCTTCATGAACAGCATCCTCGCTACGGGGTCTGATAACGGGTCCTTTACTTTCACGTGGAAAGATAAACGATTCTGACGGAAGGCTTTGAACGTGAACTTTAATTGTACGCCTGATTTTGTTACGGGTATCAAATTTCCACTAAATTCAATGTAAAGATCCTTCCCATCGAGTACCTGTAAAGAATACATTTCTTGTATATTGCAAAAATTTTAATTGAAACCCAAATTGTAATCAGTACGATTTAACCAGAACCGGATAAAAATTTCTGTCACCCAGGACTATTAAATCTTCGAGGGGCCCCTTTGGTTGATAAACGTCGTTGAAAAATTGAAATTTATTTTGAAGAAAATTAAATAAAATTTAACGATCAAAGTGATAATTATGTAACGGGGAATATTTACTTCAACGTCACGGCTTTTAACAATTTCGACGAATTCCTCTTGCCTCTCCAATGTGTGAATTCCTTCTTTTCCATCGGTCATACACAGTATTCTTAATGTAGCTTCAAGGACGTCCATTCGTTTTGAATAGATCACGAAACTGGATACAAAAAATTAATTTTTTATCCATAGAAAAGTAAATTGATACCATAAAATTGTTATAGCTTTGAAAATAATCCATACTTTGTAATATATGGTACAAATAGTGACTCTTCGTATAATTCTGTAGCCATTTTTGGAACAGCGGTTATATTTTGGCAATCCATCAACCAAAACCGAGCAGAGACAGTTGTTGTAAAGGATACTCTATCGTTCATGAAAGTTAGTGGCGTTGATCCGGTAACATCCTCCCATTGTGATTCACTTGTTCCACCTACATTATTTATAATGTAAATAAATATGGAATGGTTAATAAAAACGAGACAAGTAAGTTAGTCAAAAATAAAAAATAAAAGAAAAATACATTTTGCTGCTGTTATAACAATATTTATGGTAGCAATATTGCGATTTACCTGCAATACTACACAAAAGACGTAACGTCGGTGTTTCACCCCCATATTGATTTATCATTCCTTTATTAGCAGCTTGCGGTACTGGTATCGTCAATGTAATCGGTTTATGGAATTTTCGTCTTCTTGGTTCAATTGTTATCACTGGAGAAACGGCCACGCAATTGCCGAGTAGTTTTGCTGTAAGTTCTGCAGGAATTACATGTGCCTGTACGAAACAAAACATTTACGTTTTTTATTAGTTATAATTATATGGAAATGATTGTATACAGTACCGAATAAAGCAGGATTTCCTAGAAAAAATGGCGATATGGAGGAGCAGAAATTTTCAAAATCCTAATTTTGATGATTTTAATATTAAAAGTAATTTAAAAAAAGAAATAATCTAATTTTTTATTATTAAATATTATCAAATTTAACATATAACTGAAAAGTATGAATAAGAAGGTAAATGTCAATTCAAATTTTCCCGCGTGGAACAAATTTTAGATGATTCAGGGGGTTAAAATAAGACGAAAATCAAGAATGACGAAATAGCGTTCGTGGCGATTTTTTAGTTAAAAGATAATAAAAGATTCGAGTGAAAAGCGCCTGAAACCGGCAACCTGCTCAGCACCGACGATTGAGTGTCGTGTCAACAGGGGCGTGTACAGTCATAGCCAATAGCCTCGGTACTGTACACACTATGAAAAATTAATTATTATTATTAACTTGCCTGCAATCCAACTTTAATTTTCTTTGTCAGAGCTCCTGGTGGGAAAACTGCTTGAACGTGATTAGCTACACTGGATATTAAAATTCCACCCTCGGAACCGATGACATGAACTTCTTGTTTTATTCTTGTCACAATAGCAAAATATTGAGGGAAATCCGAAGTTATTATACGAGTAATCCTGCCAGAATGAGAAGCACTCATTTGTGGATCTGTAAAATTCAAATTTTTTAATATTACTTTTAATAAACTAAAGCATCTTCTTGGTAATAAAATTATCATAAAATATTGATTGATTACCGTATGGTGTGTTTAACAATGTATCGTCATTGTCAGCAGAATTGTCATGCTCCTTCCATGTTTCTCCATTCTCGCTTCTAAGAATAATGATCTCCCTTTCCTTGCCTCGAATAGATGCAAAATGTGGTATATCGATTAAAACAGGCCTGCAATTACGTTTATTCGGTTGATTGTTTTTTTAATAAAAATGACAGACATTATGAGAAAACATCTGGAAATATATTCACCCTAGGAATGTTGCACCAATTGGTCCCATCTCTATGATACGAGTTGCCAGCGCCTCCCCCTCCATTAAAGGAGGAGGATTTGTAACTTTACTAGGTTTTATTAATCTACAGGTAACTCGAATCGGCATTGTTGCTTTACGTGGCGGTACAATAATGCGTACGCCACTGTGTCTACATCCCTTCATAGCACCTCCGCGTGCATCCACCAGAAAGCTTACTAAAAATCTACAAATTCAAATTGAACGAGTGTATGCTTTTTTAAATTATAATTAAGTAAACGTATCATTTTAACTATACTTTATGACCATTCACAGAAACTAATAATATTGTCTACAAGTTGTTTTATTATCAAATTTTTAACAACAATATGTCTTAAATTGAAAATATTCAGTTCTATAATTTGAAACCGATGAGGTAATTTATTTTTGTTTCATTGCAATTGTAATGTGAATAGTTTATCCGTATAGTAAAATTGTTGAAATTACAGTAACAGAATTTACTTACGATCGGAAATGCAATCGGCTAGGAAAAAAAAAATATTTGATTTCGATTAATAAAGGTTTCCGCACAAGAATGGATATTACTAATGTGAATGCATTATCAAGAATTAGTTTATCTATCTAGTATTGTAGAAAATGATTACATACCCCAAATTAATTCCGTCAGTATCAAAGTTTTCTGCTAGGCAATAATTATTGCTTTGTGTAAATTCTTTCTTTTCTTCTTTTGTAACTAATCGAAAATGAGTTTAGAGGATTGCGTAAAGACAATGGTAATGAAAAAAAGGATCAGAAAGTATCTTACCTTGTCTATGTATTGGATCGTCTCGTGTAACGTCAATGGGCAACGAATCATCCCTTAAACTTTTCATTAAATCTGCTGTCAGATACCGATATGGTTGTTCGTTAATTAACGTGTCTGAACCTGTAAACAAACGAGTGAAGTGAATATGTTGCTCCTCAAATTCAAACTTATGTACAAGATATTTCAAAAATAATGCTATAAATGCAATTTAAATGAATTAAACAATTTAATGTTAATATAAAAATTAAGTAATATTATACCTCCTTCGTCATCCGAGTCGGACATAAAACTGGTTTCTTGCAAACTTTCTGGTGCAATAACTTTGTACTTCTCGTCCCAATTTTTATTATCAGGTGTTAACGTATCGTAAGACAATCCTTTCAGTACTTCCGTAACAGATATGTATCCCAATTTTTGAGCTATATTTAAAGCAGTCAAACCATCCTAAAGCAATACAAAATTTATATTTTAACTGTTTTATTAAAAATTCTAATTTTGTACATAAAAAGAATAATAATTGTTCACCTTAGTCTTTGCTTTATGGGAGGCATTCCCTTCTAATAGAGCAGTAACTACATGAGCATGGCCCTGTTGGGCAGCCTGGTGAAGTGGAGTATAGTTCTGATTAGTTCTCACATCAATGTTCGCATTGTGTTTCAAAAGAAATCGGATCATAGAAAGATTTCCAAAATGCGCTGCAATATGTATCGGCCGGTAACCAGTTTCGGTCTCACTTTCCACGTTTGCGCCGTTTTTCACAAGAATTGATGCTACTTTAATAAAATCTTCTTGGGCACACAGATGCAACGCGGATAGACCATTCTAAATAAGGAAGAATTATTTATCTTTAAGATACCAAATTTTTAACAAGCTTTCAATAAAATTTCTTTTGTGATTTATATGTGGATCACTTTCTAATTTAACAAAAAATAAAAGGCTCTGATTTAAATTCTCTTAACTCATGTTTTCCCTATATTGTTATGTACATTTTCCTGAATGAGATATCTTTATAATGTGTATAACTTTACTGCTATTAAATCATTTAACATTTTAACAAAATTCGAAATAAATTTACCTTTGACCTGTGATTTGGATTAGCTCCATGTTCAATTAACAAATTTGTCATATCATAATGTCCTTTCTGTGCACTCAGATGCAGTGGTGTAAATCCAGCCTTAGATTCGGCATTTGCATTTGCTCCATTCTCTAATAAAGTGGAAGCAATGTCCATCTGAAAATATTTAACATAATTAATCATTAAAGTACCTTTCTTGAGCCATTCTTTTCAAATTGTAAGCACTTTACCTGGTTCTTACGAGCAGCAATATGTAAGGGAGTATGTCCATTTTGAGAAGCAACATGGGGAGATGCTCCTTTCTCTAACAAAAGATTTGCAACATTTGGATGATCATAGTGGCATGCCAAATGTAACGGTGTAATATCATTCTGAAATGTTTAATATAATTTTTTCTGTATTACTAGAGATGATGATTAATCAAATAAATAGTTTGCACAATAATTTATACAAACCTTTCCTTGGGCATCTAATTTGCTATCTCTTTGTAAAAGTATCTTTGCAACGCTCATATTGCCGTATTTAGCTGCGATATGTAAAGGGGTAAAACCATTTTTAGTAGTCGCCTTAAGAGAGGCATTATTATCCACTAGAATAGTTGCAACCTGTGTGTCAAAAAATTCAACATAAATAAAGATACAATCGAAACTCCTAAAATTACAAAATTTTATCTTTTCATATAAAATACATTCTTTCTGTTCGGGTGTTATCGGTATAGCGGCTACAATTATAACTCATAAATAAAAATATAAAACACATTTTACAATGATACTGCAATACCCGAACGCAACAATGTATTAATAAAAACAAGTTCCAAATAAAAAATAATTGTCTTACCTTTTACTAAATACATACCGATATTAAAAACAATTGATTTATAGAAAACATTTGAAATATACATAATGCAAGCACAGTACAAAGCTACAAATAATGCAAGTAACAGTACGCTGTAAAATAAAATTCACAGAATAAATATTCATAAAAATAATAACATAGTGATTAGGGGATCGGGTTTTTTAAAACTACTCTATAACGGGAATAATCGTTATACACATGCTCTATTTTTAAAATCAGTAGTGTTCAAGGTTTTCGGCTTTAAACGAAAATTATTGTAGATTTATAATAATTTTCATATTTCGGTACCGAAAACTTCGAATAGAACCGTGACAAATCCAAGCCGTTGAAATCTACAAGGTGTGCTCTTCTTTGCTGTGTAGAACATACATTACATTTAAAAAGTATCAACATAAATCAGAAAACCATGGTGTATACGTAACAGAATGTTGAAAAAAAGTTTACATAGAAAATAATCGATGTGATAAAAAATTTTATTAAAATAAGTTACACGTAAATAACTTAACGTAAAATATGAGTATAAAACAAAAGTTTTATTAACGACAGATGAAATGAAATGTAGGTGGTGATAAAGGGAAATATATGTAACAACGAAAAATAACGAATCTATAGCGTTTCTATATAAGATATTCACGATAATTTGCCCAAAATAAATGTAATCTACTTTGTGTGCTGATATAATCCGCAATCTTTGCAATTTCTTTGTACATTACCTCCTCCTGACCTTCCTTAGCCGCAATGTGCAACGCGGTGTACATATCTTTAGTTGTGGTATCGACGGCTGCACCGTGTTGCAAAAGTAGCATAACAATATCGATGTTTCCTAATCGTGATGCTATATGAAGAGGCGTTTGTTGCTCCTAAAACAATTAATACTATTGCGTTACACGGGCTATACGGTACAAATTGGTGAAATAATAAATACATATGTATTTAGTATCATTTCCATTTAACAATGAAAACAGAAGCAACGATATATCAACGTTATTCGTGTATACCGCGGTTTCATGAATAAAAAAAAAAAATAAGCACAATTAAAATATTGAAATAAATCGTTAGCGTCAAGAAGGATTCATTATTTTTCAAGCATGATAATTTATTTACCCTTGCACGAGCATCAACTTTTGCTCCGTTTCGTAATAAAATTCGAATAATATCTGTTTGATTAGCTCTAGCTGCCAAATGCAGAGGTGTTTCGCCCCTGACTGTTGTCACATCAGGATTGGCTTCGTGTTGCAATAGAAATATCACGATGTTCATACATCCCATAAAACTAGCAACATGTAACGGAGTCAGTCCAGACTGCAAAACATAACAGCTTTTTGATAACCAACAAAGAAAAGAAAATGCTTAAACCGTAAATCCCGTAGTTCGCGTTTTGTACGTGTTTTCCAAGATAATAATAAATTTCATTCTATACATTTTTTCATGACAAAAGAAAAAAAGAAAGGAATTATTTTAAACGGTAGTTCATAATAGCTGAACCTGTTTGATCTAAAATCAAATAAAAATATAAAACAAACTTATGCATTTTGCACATAAACAAAATGATGATTAGAATAAATACAAAAGACACCAATTTCACGTACCTCGGTGGTAGATTTGATCGATGCTCCATGCTTTAACAAAAGTTCAACAACTTTTATTCGATTCTTTTTGCAAGCAATGTGCAACGGTGTGAAGCCGTTTAAAGCGCGTGCATTCGGGTCGGCTTTTCGATCGAGAAGCAATTTCGCGACCCTAACGTGGCCGCAGTGAGCGGCTACGTGAAGTGACGTTAAATAATCAACGGTAACTTCGTCTACAGGGGCTCGATGATACAGAAGTACCCGGGCCGCGTCTACATAATCTCCTTGCGATGCCATATGCAGCGGAGCAAGTCCATTCTGAAAAAATTAGAATTATTTTATAACTATCAATGGTAGGAGCGTTAAATAGAGAATTAAAGACTACAATAAATTAATAAAAAAACTAAGGTATTTGTAAGTTACATTAATAAAGAAAAAGAAGTAAAATCTCTTACTCTTATTTTTTTTATTACTATGCATGTATATTTAAATGAAATATTTCGTTTATTAAAAAGAGGGAGGGGTAATTAAATTCTATATCTACAAAAAAATTAATATGACGCCCCTGATTAATAAAAATAAGTAACGTTAATACGATATACATATACACCTAGCACCTAAGTCAACTGCTAGAATGAATATTAAAAGACATTGCTTACGTACTTTTGTTCGTGCACTTATAGGCGCAGAGTGTTCAAGAAGCGTGGTAATTACTTGTTCGTGGCCAGATCTTGCCGCGCAATGAAGAGGTGTCAAACCGTCCTTAGTTTTCGCATCGATTTGAGCTGAATTCTCTAATAATACTTTAACCATATTGTTTTTACCCCATTTTGCCGCTACGTGTAACGGGCTTATATTATGCTGGCAACAGAAACGATCAATGATAATATATATTCATTTATTCAACCCTTTAATCGATATTAAATTCGTCGATACCTTTGCTAAATAATTTACATCGGCGCCACGTTTTATTAATAAACGCGCTATTTCTTCGTTTCCATAATGAGCGGCGATGTGTAAAGGCGTGAAACCACTCTTCGAAGTTACATCGGGTTTGTGATCGTTCTGAACGAAGCGAATCGGTTGTTTAATAAAATGACCGGGCTAATAAAAATAAATTAATTCTTTTAATCGTTATTCACCTGTAAGAGGAGATCAGCGGCTTTACAGTCATCCTTCTTAGCAGCGATATGAAGCGCTGGTAGTCGAACTTTTCCTTTAGAATCATTCTCTAAAAGAACGCTGACTACTTTATCGTGTCCTTGTTGCATCGCCACAGCAAGCGGTGTAAATCCATCCTAAAATATTAATTTTTTCATTTCTGTTTTATGCGAACTATGACAAATTTGATCATTTTATTTAACACTAGATTGCCGGAGCGAATCAATTTGACTTATTTACAATTTTATTGCTATATACAGGGTGTTCGACAACAGGTGGGCAAAATTTTAAGGGATGATTCTAGGGATCATAATAAGACGAAAATCAAGAATAACGAAATAGGATTTGAGGCTTTGTTTTCCAGTAATTAACGTTTAAAAATTCTAGTAAAAAGCGCCTGAAACCTGCAACCCGCCCAGCACCGACGACTGAACGTCAGATTAGCAGGGGAAGGTACAGTCATAACCAAGAAGAGAAAGCCGAATGCTGCAGTACCGAGAAACAGAATAGCACGAGGTTTTTTAACAGAATTATGAAATGTATATAAATACTATAATAATTCTTTCCCCTCTCCACTCCTTAGTTCCAAAGATCCATATGTGCTATACCTATATTGAAGGATTTATTTGTCCGGCAATCGAAGGTTATATTATATTAGTTAAATAAGTCGATTAATTTGAGACGTTCACCTCTGTTGCGAGACTTTGATTAGCTCCGTTGCTGAGCAATAATTTAACAACTTGATCGTGATTTTCTTGTGCAGCCATGTACAAGGGTGTGAAACCATTTTGTGATTGAATATTTACCGCGGCTCCATATTGAATAAGAATGCTTACTATCTCCGATTGACCAGCTAAAAAAAGAAAACGAAATCTTGTTCTTCTATATTTAGATATATTCGATATAGTTACGCACCCAAAGAAGCTATGTGCAATGCAGTGTTTCCTTTTTTCGTAGCAGCGTCAACTTTAGCACCCCTTTTTAACAGTTCCGTTACTATTTCGACGTGACCATCTTTCGATGCTAAATGCAAAGCATTTAAACCGTTCTAATAAAGAAAATATTACATTAATCGATGTCAATAGGTAAATACGTAATATTAAATATTATTAATAGATTGATACTTACTGAATTAGCTGTGTTAATATCTAAATCGGTATCGAGGAATTCGATCACTTTTTCGAGATTTCCAGATCGAGCAGCGCGAAGAAATGCTGTCGTATCGTCGACCTGAATAAAATACATCAATCAGTAATTAATATGATAATCAAATAGGATTCTGAAATTATTTATTCGTTACGAATAAATTATCAAATAGAATTAGCCAATTAGAAAAGACATTAATTAAATGTGACCGAATTAACAATTGTAATTAACCCACTAAAATAATGTTCTATTTCAAATTTATTCTACTTTAAATTTATCGTCGATAAAGAGTGTATATAAATAAATGCATTAACATACGAGTATCAGTGTATACTGTGATAATTATAAAAAAATATATGTATTTTAATTCCTATAAAAATTTCGAAATTTCGATATAAATTGTATAATAATTAATTACAGCGTCCTAATTAACAATCTATTCGAAGTGTTATAATTGATGGTGACCTTCACCCTATTAATCGCTTTAAATGTTTCCTATTTTATACAGTTTGTTTCGTTTTCTAATGCATGTGCACCTATTACGTATCTTTATCTATATTCAAATTACGTGTTTTATTACTAGAGTCATATAGACAGAAGAAGCAGCTGGTTTATGAACCGTCTGCTTTTAGTATACATACTTATGTATGATTCTGACATACAATCCCCCCTTCCACGACTTCTTTTTACTTTTTCAATGAGTGTCAAATACATCACGAAACTTTTCTCAGATTAACAAAAAGATTAATATAATAGTAAGATATTAATTAAAAATAAAATGTTATGTACTTTGTTAATAAAAACAGCGAAATGATTTCGATACATCGCTTCGTAGTTCACACCCTTCGATTAATAGATAAAGGAGAGAAAAAAATACCGGCAACATTCTGACACTTCTTTTTCCCGTAAAATACGTAGAACCGTACCTGGCTAGCATTATCCATAACCATTGTGCTTATTTAGAGAGTAGGCACTGTATTCCTAATTGCTCACTTGTCCAGCAATTGCCGGACAGAAAGGTGTTTTCCTCGGCACACGTTAAATTACCATTCAGACGCTCCTGAGGTAACGCTAAAGACGTACAGGAATATAGGAGCCGCCCCATATGCCAAACCAAGGCGCAGACTCGAACAGCAACGATTACGGGAAAAACAGGGGTTGCATTGCTGCCTTTCTCAACCCCTTGTTATCTCTATCCTTGTTTTTCCAACCCCATCTTATGCGATATATTGCTCCCGTCATTATTGTGCGCACGCGCTTATTAAGCCTCACGATACATTCCCTTTCTTTCTTCCAGATACCCCCCTTCTTTCTATCACACATAAATATCATAGTTGCTAGGAAAATTATCATACACCAATTACCGACCGAGCATTTATTACTAAAGTACTAAATCAAACATAATTTTTTAAGTTTATATTGTTCTGTATCCAGAAGAAACGTGTATGTACATACGTACTAAAACTTAATGGAACTATTATATAAATTAAAAGCTCCTATAGATTAAGTATTTGTACAATTTATGTATTTAATTTATTTATTTACTTAATTGATTCGGTTGAAATATGTTGCAAAGAAAATGAATATGGTTTTACGTTTGTGCTATACACATACGAGTAATGATATTGTATATTCTATGTAAACGCGATCAAATTTTAATTTATACGGCGCATGCGCGAAATTTAAACATATACGACAATATTCGGCGAACGATTTATTCTTTTTTTTAAAAACAATGTTTTATGCTATAAGGAAATTCTACTTGATGGGTTAAAGAGAATTGAAAATTCAGTCGATCTTGAATTATTTATTAATGTTACTACATTATATAAAATAATGTTATCACAACACAAAAAAGCTTTGATTTTATACAAAAGAAAATTTATATTTAAACATTTTTATTTTATTGCGACTTTTGCAAACCTAATGTTTCATTATTATCTCCACATTATTTTCCAAAAATATTGTTTCTCTTATTAAAAAAATGACTGAAAAATGTTTCTCTTATTAATTGTATAAAATTAATTATTTGTAAAAGCTTTGATTTTTTAAAATTCATTATTATTTATAAATCTTGTTTAATAAATTTACTTAATAATACTAGTTATCCGAATTTTCTAAAAATAATTTTGAACTTCTCAAGCATTGGACTGTCGCCAATATTACAATATAAATATTAACCAGGATAATGTTAGAAATTTAATACTTTTTATAAATAATATAATCTATAAAATTTCATTCAAAAGTAATGCACTGTCACTGTTATTTATCGATGTTATTTCTATGCTATTTATTTTAAAAGTTGAAAATATTTTTTTCAACTGTAAACAGGAAATAAATTTTTTTAATACTCCAACTATACCGCGGTATGTAAGCTTACTCACAAATATGCAACACATTTTTTGATAGATGTTATTTGCACACATTTTTACCTGCAACCTAATGATCGGCGGAAATGCTTCCTCTGTCGTCATTTCTAAATAATAAACTGTGTATTTCGTTTGACAGGCTACGTGTACGTATATTTTCTACGTCCCATACTAAAAACGTAGGTCACAAGATATTTATAGCATTCTGTTTTATTCTCATGAACGCCTTTGTGGTGCATCTACTTCAATGATTTGCATATACATGCAAATATAGCAATAACATATCATCTTACATGAAAAAAAATAATTTATTGACTATCAAATTCCCAAGTATTTTTTAGTAGTTTACGAAAATAAGCGTAAAACAAATTATAAGTTGATTTAACGTTTTACTTCTAGCGTCGAAACGCAACTAGTAACTTTAAATTTATACCGTAAATTAAACAAGATATATGTTATTAAAAATACTAAGGAATTCATTTTTCTACTATCATTTTCTTTTTTATAGTTTTAATCATATTACAATTCCTTTTGTACAATGTTATATTAAATTATATACAATTTATCGAAGTCTTTCTCCCCTTTTTTCTAATTTCACAGTACTTTACTGTTCAGTACTTATTAGTATTTTTAAATATACCTTTAAAAGTATGTTTAATTCCACCAAAAACTGATTGAAAAGCTTGGAGTCAAAGCAGTTACATGGTGCCACCATTTTGGAGGAATATAAAGTACTTCTCCTGGTTTTAAATAACCTATTAAACCCTTAGCTTTACTAAAATTGGGCCATTTTTCCTCGTTTGGATTCAAAGGATCAACTTGGGCAGTGTTGTTAAGCAACTTTGTATCATAGGGGTATAAATTAAATGAATCATCTGGATGATATAAAATGATTCTTTTATACCCAAATACCTAAAATGTATTTAGAAATATAAATGAAATGTTAGCAATATTAACGTCTTTTTAAAATTACAGTTGTTTCTCAATAATATTATACTTCCAACTATAAACTTGGCTATTAATTATTAATATTTAATATGTAAAATGTATACTACTTTATTTAAAACAGGTATTAACTTTCATACTTGACATAGTAGATTATTTTTTGGATCAAAATGCAAGGGTGAAACAGTCCCCATAGGTCCAAACCACGCATTTATATCTGGTGACTCCACAGTATCATCAACATCATCTGTAAAATTGCAATATTCTGGTACCATAAAATCTTCTTTCAATTCGGGTATCTGAAATTAAGAGTTTTAAAAATTTAATAAAAATATTATAAATTCAATAAGCAGCACCAAACACGCCAAAACTTATAAACCTGATCAAAAAGCTGATGTTGAGCTAAATAACCAACTTTATCATTTTTTGTTAATATATATTTTTGCAAAAATTCTGAGAAAGTGGAAAGTTGTTGAGTCCAATCTTCATCCGTATAACGTGATCCGATTTCAATAGGTACCATTCGATTGCCGGCTATTTTACTCAAGTAACTCAAGTCTTGCCATCGATCTAAAGCTTTCCAATGATTAATACAACCTACAATTATACAGGGAATACATTTAAAACATCACATTTGTTATTTTGACTTTCTATGTAGAAATACAATAATAAACATACATATACAAGAACATTAAATATATTTTTTGAACATTATTTAATAAAATGTTACCTGTTAATATTGCTGGAACCTTTGGCTTAAACATATCTCTGTAAAATAATTCCATCGAGGGTTCATCATAGTGTTTAATTTCAGTAAATCTTGATAACAATTCACTATCATGTAAATCTCCAGATTTGATATTCAATTTTTCAAAATTCAGTGTTTTAGATGATTCTACTGCAAAAATAACATCAAAATTGTAGTATAAAAATACAATATAATTATAAATCACATAAATTTAGATTATTTACATTTTTTTTTGTTTTTATCTAATACTTACTAGTATGATTTAGTTTTGAAGCAATCTGTGGTAACAAGTCAGAAACATTAGGAAATGGAGCTCCTAACAAAATACCTTTATCAATTTGTTGAACAACATTTTTCAATAGCTTTATCTTTTTTGTGGCTTCTTTGGAATTAATCTCGCATTGAAATTCCAATAATACTGCCTACATAAATAAGTAGTAATCAATGCTTCTTTAAAATTGTCAAATATTAATATGGTTTATTACCTTTAAAATAATGCACAATGAATAACAGTATCGATATTCTATTGGCACAAATTGCCAATAACCTGAATTTAATGTTTCCCATGTTTTGTCCAAACAAGCTTCAACTAAAATTAACGAATTTTCTATCCATTTTGTGGATGGATCTCTTTTACAAAAAACAGATTATTATTAAAACTGTATTTATGAGAAATGTAAGTAAATTTGTATACTACTTTGAATGTTTCTTAATTTTTTTACATAATAAATATTAATATATTAAATAATTAATTCTTTACAAAATACTTTTGTATTTACATTTTATTTTCAATGAAGTTTTTTAACTTGATTGTTATTGTTGATAAATGTACTTTCATTTCAATGGGTAAATAATTCTGTACATTTTCCATTAATAAATTCCATGGAATTAATTTTGCAATGAATGGGCAACTACACATTTTCTAAAAATGTTACAGGGAAATAATTAAAAAAATTAATCAAAATGCGAATTAAAATGATTTTATTCACAAATAAAATGTTCTACCATTATTATCTGGTTTGCATAAATACGGCCATTGTACAATTTGATGATCAACTATACTATACAAAATTTTTCCTGTTAACGATAATGTTTTAACTCTACAAAAACTTTCAATAAATATCATAGTAGTTTGCATGATATAAAATACTTTAAACAGAAATGCTGTGATACATAAAGGAACACAAGTGCCTGGGCCATTACACAGGATTAATTCTGGACGTTCTTTCCATAAAATTGGAACTGATTCCAATATTGCATAAATAGTTGTATAAACAGATGTATAATACGACTGATGAATTTCTCTACTTCTACGAATTTTATATGCTTTATAGTCAACATTATTCTTTTCTAGGCTTTTAATTTTTTCCATGCTCATTATATCTGTATCAGCATATACATATATTCTTGGAGTATAATTTTTTAAATCTAAGTATTTAAAAATTCTTATCATTTCAGCAGTGTGTCCACCGGACCCTAATATTATCATTGTTTTAACAGGTTTAATGCAAGCTACTTTTCTCTGTTCTGTTTTATATGTAAAAAGTCTCATAAAACATATTCTTGCAATAATTGCAGAACAAATAAATATAAAAATATAAACAGAATACATTATATATATTTTCTTGATGTAACCTGCAACAATTAAAATATAAATCAAGAAAATTATATTTCAATTATTAATTTATTTTAGTAAGATAAAGCTGCTGGTAAGAAATAGAATAATACTTTTCTGTTAAATAACTAATATGACATTAACTGTTACAGAATACTAAGCATGGAATTGTATTCGTTAATATTCATCAAATTTTGTTTACAATAAAACTTACACTTACAAGCAGATTTAAATTTCTGTACCTTTTCTTTAGTAATAGATTATAAACAAACTTTTAGTCTTTTAACAATTCTATTTGGTTCTTATTGTTGCGTATTATTGTTTCATATTGTTGCATATGAATATACAACACCATCTATGTTAGAGGGAAATATGATTTATTACGCACATCAAATAATTTATTATAAAATTATTACCATCTGAATTCATGTTTGTCCCTCAAATATAATCTTTCATTTTCTTAATTATTAGTCTTTTAAATATCCAATATTTATTATAAAGTTGTTATTGAATCCAATTTTCTATCTTATGAACGAACATAACACATTTAAATAATAGAAATAGAACTTTATTATTGGTATTCGTTATTAATATAAATAAAATTCCATAATTAACAATATCATTTGATGAAAATAAGTATAAAAATTTGCACTGAATATATTATTCAACCATTCGAGCAAAATTTTATCTTTGCACTGCAATTTACTTTCAAATCAGATCGGTTCAGATTTCAAGTCTATGTCATTTGTGTAGTTTGAGTGTTTTGAACTTTTGGATAGAGAAATAGATTCTTGCTCGATTTAATAAACAAAAAAGAATTTATGTTTTATAAATAATAAAATGTTCAAATTTATGAAGTTTTACTATTCGCTGTCTTTGTCCTACTCGAGGTTGTAAAACCTTTACATATTGTTATAACAAAACGTATGTATTTTACTTACTAAAACAGTTTATTCATAATTTCTTTTATTAGATAGTATCGCATAAGATAAAATTGTATACTATTTTTCATAAAAACATAATTGATTATTAAATAAATAATTGTCATTTGTGATAATCCATTGACGCTTTTTGTTTAATGTTTTGTGAAAGTACGTAGAAATGATTATTTTAGCACCTGTAAAATAGAAAATCTATACTTGTGCTTTAATTATATATTCATTCTTTTTTTCAGGTATCTGGTTTGTAAAGTATCTTACAGTATCTTAGAGACATGTAAGAGGTTATGGAAAATATAATTAAACAGTTGCTTCTGTCATTGATATTATTATGTCCTATGATATAAACAACAAGATAATAGCAGAAGTATGTAACGGAAACATGCGTGTATATATATTATAAAATTCATTTAAGTGGATGACAGATTCTTCAAAGATGGATTCAAATAAACAAACACAGGAATTTAACAATGCTCAGAATGACACCGGAGAGTCTGAAAATTCTGATTCGATAGAGGTTATTATAAACTTATATAAATTATAATTTATACTAAAAAAGAAGTAAATATATTTATATTTCTTATTTAGGTTGACAATTCGCGTACAGTTCTATTAAAAATAGCAACATTATATGCTGAACGTCTTATGAATGATATTTGTCTTGTTGTTGATGGTATAGAATATCCAGCACATCGCCTTATATTGTGTGCTTCTAGCGATGTTTTCCAAGTAAGCAAATTTATTTGTAAACTTACATTCCTAAAATGTAGCAAAAGCTGATTAGAACTACATTAGATAGAGAATTATTTTTTTATTGAAATTACATTCAGTATCTTCATAAATTTGTATAAATTTGATATCAATATTTTAATATAGGTAATGTTAATGAGTCCACAATGGAGCGAGTCTCAAGAAAGTAGAGTAACTCTTCAAGAAACACCTCAATGTGTACCTATATTTAGTGAATTTTTGCGCTACTTTTATACTGGTCAGATAAGAATTAATTATGGAGTTGTCCTACCAATATTATCTTTAGCAGATAAGTATAATGTTAAGGATTTAATATCATTGTGCCTTGATTACATGCAAAATCATATTGCACTAGCTGCCACACATGGCACTGTAGTATCATGGTTTCAGTATACATCAAACTGTGGTCATCACAATATTACTCAAGCGTGTCAAAATTTTATCAAATGGAATTTGGAATTGGTTGCTAAGACTGCAGATTTTGGAAATTTTGATTTAGATATTCTTGTATCGTTACTACATCAAAGTAGTTTAGTAATAAAGGATGAAATGACGTTATACAAGTGCCTAGAATCCTGGTTGGATCATCAGGCAAATCGTTTGAAAACTCAGTTGTCGCACGATGAATTAGAAGCTACATTGAAACAATTAGTAATAGCTGTAATGTCTCCTGTTAGATTTCCAATGATGTCTCCTCGACAATTGGCAGAATTACTTTTATTTCCGTTAACAAAAAAATATAAAGAATTCTTTGTAGAACGTATGTCAATAGGAATGTCATTTCATTCAGGTCAGTTGGATCGAGTTAGAGAAGTAAGTTTAAACGAAGAGGATGGCGCGTTACTTTTTGAACCAAGACTATATACCGTAGACACTTGTAGTTCGTTACTTACTATCGAAAATTTTCATTGTTTACCCTCTTATCACACTAGAACCCTTGTGTTTTCAAGTCATTCGTGTTTAGCTGAGTATGCTGGTGATCGTGCGTGCGAATGGGTCGTTGATATATATCCAAAGGGTGTTTGGTTTAAAAAGTTTTTCTTAATAGTATGGCAAGGAACGGTAGAAATGCCTGAACATGTGAAGCGATCGGTAAGATTATCGCTTACGTGCAAGGAACCTCCGGTAAATAGTGATACTGATATGCGGGTGAAAATAGGTGTGTTAATTTATGGACTACAAGATGGTGTTGAGCATATTACGAGAGTAACCGAAATCATTCATAGATTTAGTAAAAAAGAACGTGTTCTCAATTTAGACGATCTTCTACCGTTTGAAGAATTAAATCCTCAGCAGGAATCTGTACAAGAATATACGTCTCCTTTTTTAGTAGGTCCAAATAAAGATATGCTCAAATTGCATATTGTTATATCACCAGCCAATTAGTTTATAGATCCTTTATATTGTATTAAATAGAATTTCCAATTTTTAAATATTGGAATCTAGTAAAAAATTGTCTGTCAGATTCAACGTATATTTTTGATGTATATACATATATTTAGAAATTTAAGTTTCTTTTCCTGCTTTTTTTTAACAGTTTAATGTTAGATTAAAATAAAGTTTTAGATTTAAATTGTTATATATGAAAAAGATCGTATAATAAAATAATAGATTTAAGTGTACTATGTATTTTAAGTGTCACTAACTGTATTTATTTAGTAACAATTTTTAACATAATAATAAATTGAAAAAATAATGTAGCAGTAATCCTGGCGTTCGCCGCCAGAGGGATCATACTTGGCAGCTATATTGTATGTATACCGCAGTTCACCAAAGTCCATAACTGCGAAAAGACCAGTTTTCGTTCTTCGCGCTTCTCCAGTGCGCATCTTCGCCCTGATTGGCGATACTCCCAAACGAAGTGGAAAGCGATTAGCAGAGAGCTCGCTGCGTTCCCCCACCATCTTCCAACCTGCGCGTCGCAGTTATGGACTCTGGTGAACTGCAGTATACATTTACTTTTTCACAAGTCCTTATATATCTATCCATCACATATGTATATAATTAAGCATGAAAAATATGTACATACTTCATGTAAAAATACACTTCAGATTATTTTCATATGTAATGAATGTAAAACAGATGCTCATTAGTATATTTGAGTAATGGTAGGTTAAGCTATATGTTTCCAATAATGTCTACTTTAAATTAAAAGAATTTTAATTTTATGATATAAATTAAACAGTGAAATAATAACAAGCAATTATAAAACTGAATGTTTGTAAATTTTATGTTACAAAATTGAGGAGATTTAATTTTTGAATAAATTTTTCATACAATAAATACAATGTGGTTTTATTTAATCAGAACTTAAAATTACATAGTTCCTTATGATAAATACTACAGAAAATGAAATCAATGAAAATATTTACATCGAACTATGAAACTAGTAACCGATTGCACATCTTACGTTACATTCTAGTTCGAAGGCATTTGATTTTATGAGCGCTCACGCCATTTTATTTATATGTGGTGGGGGGTAACAAAGTGTGCAACATTGCCTGTAGGATTCATAATTATCGAAAAATTGATCAAAAGAACTGCTTTGTTTTTTGCGATGTAGTTATAATTTATAATGTAAATTGTGATTGCTTGTAAGATAAATCATATACCAAAATTGGTATAGAGTTATTAATGCAAGTGTTGGACCTTCGTGTTGGTGGTAATAACTCCAAGTTTTGCTCCAATTGTAACTCGAATAAAATGGATTACCGTCAAAAAGTGAGCATAAACATATTATAGTAATTAATAAATCAATATATTTATCATATTGTTATTAATTTGATGTGTATTACTGATTTATGTGTTGATCATATGTGAAATTCAGTCATGAGAAAGAAAATTTATTTCAATATTATTCAAAAATTAATGATGAACAAGTTTATTTACACTTCTCTTATACCCTTAAATTGTAGAATTTTGTTGCATACATATATTAATTATTATCAAAGGATTGTTGAAAACAGTGCAAATAAGATGCATGTAATTCTTGTATAGTCCAATTTTCATAGTATGTTGATGTTATAATGATATCTATAAGAGTAATTTTATATTTAAACATTATTTTTAACAGTTGTTTATGATGGTATAATTATATTTAGGAATAAAAGATCTAAAATACTTTTTTTTAAATATATTATAATCAATTTAAATATTGTTTATTTCAGATGATTATACCTTCACAGCAAAATACAAAAAATGATGACGAAGATGATGAAGATTTGGAGGCACTTAGATTAGCAGCTCTCCAATCATTAAGAACTAAAGATCCTGTACATAATAAGAAACAGTCTCTACCACAAGTACAGAAGATAGATGTTACGCAAACATTTCATCCTTTGTATAAAGGCCAGCGACCTTTAAGAAGAGGATATTTTCATAACCGAATACAACAGCGACAAAATGGAGTAATACTCTTTTCTCCTTTTCTTTCATCTTAAATTTTTAATTGATAGAATGATTCAATGTTACAATTAAATATAGTTAATAGAATTCTTGTATAATGACTGTGTTGAATATTAATCATTTTAAGATTACATTTTCTTATTGAAAAGTATTTTATATTTTAAAATTATAGTTTAAGCTGTCTTATATAGGATTTTAGTAATTTTAATGAAGAAAAATCTTGTTCTATAAATAACCCTTACTTCTTCTCCTTATTTATAGAATTTATATTATCAGAGTCCACGTAATCCAAATTTGATAGCAATAGTTCCTATGGATGACCGTACAGTACTTCAACAAGCTGATTTAACTTGTTCAGTAGAAAAGACTGAAACAAGTATGGAATCTTACCCCACAGGTATGTAGATTATTGTACGTATGCTGTAAAAGTATTCACAACTGTAATGCTTATAACTCTTATCGTTTGTTTGAAATATTGCATAAAGATAATATTTTTTAGAAGTATCAAAATTTCACCGTTTCAAAGACCATGGAAGTGGTTCGGACGAGGAAGATAACAAAGATCAGAAAAATACAATCAAGAAAGAAGAAACGATTGAGAAAGACGGTATTAAAACTGAACCCTCATCAATGGTGGCTGAAAATCAAGAAGAAACTGCAGAAAATTTAATAAAAACTGAAGAAGATAAACCGGTCGTTAATGACGACGACGATGATATTCTTTTGATGGCTGATCTCGAAGAGGAAGACAGTTTAGAACGTTTGATGGATGAAATGGAAAGAGAGATGAACGTTGACAAGCCGTCCGAGAAAAAAGAGAAAAGAAGTAGTAAGAGAGAAAGTAAAGAATCGATAAAAAAGGATGATGCAGGAAAAAATACGAGTCAGAAGAACAGAACAGAAGACGGCAATAATCGGAAGGATAGTTATACCACAGCTTCAACGGTAGCTGTTTTAAAGAGTGAAAGGCGGTCTATATCTCCTCACGTAGGTAATCGAATTCCACAGAAACGTAGATCGTTGTCGCCAAGATCACGACCAAGGAAAAAATCACCCAGAAGATCTCCCAGAAGGTCACCAGCTAGACAGTTAAAAAAGTCCCAGCGGGAAATATCGAGGTATAGATCGCCTCGAAAATCACCGGTGCGATATTCCCCGCGCTCACGATCACCTAAAATGTCCTCACGATCTAGATCACCACGATTATCTCCGCGTCGATCTCCGAACAAATCTCCTATAAGAAGATCACCGATCAAAAAGTTATCACCGAGAGGAAGATCTCCACGACTTTCGCCGCATTCCAGATCACCGAGACCGATACGTTCTCCTAAAATATCGTCAGCTAAATCCCCTAGATTGACACGATCGCGATCACCAAAATTTTCACCGCTTAGGCTATCTCCTCAGTCCAGATCACCGATAAGAACAAGATCGCCCAAAATGTCTCCAAAACGGACGTCGCCTCTTCGCAGGTTGTCACCAAAATCGAGATCACCTGGATTATCTCCCAGAAGAGGATCGTTACAATTACCCTCGCCGAAAATATCGCCGCGAAGAATTTCTCCGCGTGCAAGATCGCCGCGATTGTCGCCGCATAGATCACCGTGGTCGTCCCCAAGAAATTCGCCTCGTCTTTCGCCTAGACGGAAAAGGTCCCCGAGATGGTCGCCCAAAGAATCGTGTAGAAAGCATGGACCAAGGTCGGTTACTCCGGACGGTACTGGTACTCCATCGTACGCGAAGGAATCCTCGCCGGCGCCTAAAGGTAGAATATCTCCGGAAGCAAATCGTGTTAAGTCGAAACAAAAGGAAGAGAATTTTGAGAAAGTCTCAACGACGGAAAAGGAATCTACCGATGTAATTAATGATCCTGTACTAGAAGCTAGGCGAAGAAAATTTGAATGTACAAGGCCTATAGATCCTATAAATGCGAATAAAAAAATTAAATTAAATAAAAAGGAGAATACTAGTAAAAAGGTAGAATTTATAGAGGGGGGAGATTTACAAGCGGGAAATGTTAGGAAAGTTACAGAGGAATATGAGGTACCAGACAATGATTTGTGTTTAGAATTTGAAGAATTTGATGAGAGTATGGAAAATACTTCTCCGGTTGCGATCACGAGCTCTGTTAATACGTGTGTTGAGTTGGAATCACAAAAAACAGAGAAAGAGAAATCTTCGAAAAAGAAGAAGAAACGCGACAAGGAATTGTATCAAGTAGGAAAATTGAAAAATGAACTTCCTCTCTCTGAACGAATTGGGAAGGATAAAAAGTGTAAAAAGAGAAAAGATGTTGTTTCTGATGGTCCTAGCGACGATGTGGATGCCATTTTTGAAGACATAGCAGTTGACGAAGAAAGTGATTTACGAACTGAATTAAGTAGAAGGCGGGCAGAAAGACTAAATAGAACAGTGCCAATACAATCTGCAAGATTAGTGCAATCTGCTTTTAAAGGAGTTGTTAATGAGTAAGTATATTTAATATTATTTAGTCAAAATTGACTTTTGCTTGATGAGAGTATGGCATTTAAAGAAATATATATTATTAACATTACTATTTTTGTTTCATATTAATATTTACATTTTTCAAATGTAAAATAATTGTTTCCGCTTTCAGAGTCGTCAAGAATAATGCAAAAGCAAATCAAAGACACTTAGTTAAAGCAGATGATAAAAGTAAGTAATATGTATTAAATAATGTACACTTCGGATTTCTTGTATTAGTAAAGTATGTGAGATAATTTTGAATTTGTATTTATATTTTGCAGCTAATCAAAAGGAAGTTAGAAGGGTTACTGTTCTTCATCGGCCAATATCTGACTTACATGATTCGGAAGGTTTGTGTTATTAATGTAAATAATTGTGATATTTTGTAATGTTTTAATTAAATTATTTTGTAGCAAAACTTATTGTAAAAGACTAACAAGGTATAACAGAGAGTAAAAGGACGTTATATATTAGGTGCAAAAATTGAGAAAAATATTTATTATTGCTTCATTTCATTTTTGATAGTATATTTTATTAAAATTGCAATTTCAAGCCTTTTCTTTTCGATTTCTAAATTTGAATTATTAACCGTAATATTTTGGAACTATTACAATGGTTCGTTTCAAATTAATTTTATTCAAAGCATTATATTATGTTGAATAATTGTATGTATTTTTACAGATGAAGGTACTCTGGATTCAAAGATGCCTGTGCGCTTTAGATTGGGTTTGAATAAACAAGTACACGACACCAGGGAGTCTAAAGTTTCACGAAAAGCATCAAAGAGACAGGGTCGCAAGGTAAAACACAAAGTCAATTTGACTCTAATAAATAGTGAAAATATTTTATAGCATAAAAATAACACTTTATCAAGTGTATATAATTCATATATTCAATTTTTTTTAGAAACATAATGTTCACGCATAATTTAGTATTATAATATTCTAATTGCTTGGGATTGTAATTTACCAATATTTGTTTTGTTAATTACATATAACGGTTTGAACATTAAAATCAATTGTTGATATTTTCAAGGATGAAAAATATTAGAAAAAGGTAGCGATATAAACAAATTTTATGTTTAACACAATCAATCTGTGCAAAAACTTTTTTTCATAATACAAATGAAAATGTATAGTAATAGAAGAATATGTTTTATTAAAATCATAATTACCTTTAAAAAAAAATGTTCGCTTCCATTGCTGTAATTTTCAAAATAATCTATTTATAAGCTAATGTTTGACATTTGAACGTTACATGTTTCATTAGTATCATACCTACATTATGTTTCACACAGGAATTTTATCACTTTGTATTATCATTACAAATTAAATAACATAAAATTTATGCTGCCAAAACAATTATCATTTAACAATAAGCAGCTTTTAGTTTAAAAAAAAGTATTAATGCAATAATTCTTTACATTTTAATGATTTCAAATCTAAAGAATAGAAATATTTAGAAAATGTTCCATGCATCTTTTCGATATATAATTTTTTAGTATAAATTAAAACTTAATTGATGTAAAATTTATCATATTAATGCTTTACTATTTGGGTACACCAATTAAGAGTGTAATTATTTACCAGAGACATCACATCATATTTTAAAAGAATTAACAGTGGTGTTCACAGAGAATATTATGTAATATTTTAAGTTTATTAATATTTCTTTTTAATTTATGGTAAATTATTATAAGATTTGCAACGCATGTTAATTTTACTGAGTGTTTATGTTGTCAATACACACAATTAATAGTTTCAATTTTAAAATGTGACCTTTTATTTGTAACATGGATTCAAAAATGGATCTATTGAATCTACTCAATGCCTCCAAGTGCATTAAAATCATTGTCATAATTCCTTCAAAACTGGAATTTTCGTATGTAATATTTTATTGCATTCTCTCAACCAATAGAAATGATAAATTAAAATGGAGACCATCCTTTGTACATGGTATAAAATAAATTTAAAGTGATACATTCAGTATCTGTTATGTTTCTTATCTGTTATAAAAAATCAGTTGGATAGAAATACTTGTCTTTTAATCTTTTCATTAAAAATTTTTTATTTTATACGTATATATAGATTAAAAAGTGGTTTAAATTTATCTAAAGCTTATTTTATTAATATATCGTCTCTTCAATGAATTGAGAACTTAATAAAACTTAAACGATTAAAAATTTTTTAAATATAATTATTTAAATTTAAAATCTAACTATGATTTTTTGTTAGGGAACGATAAATATGATCTGGATTTTTTTTGTTTAGGAATAGAGTAAACGTGTGTTCTCCTGATTGCATATTTATACGAAGAGTGCATAGCTGTTCATCTTACCTCCTATTTTATTGTCAGCATAGGAAACTAAGATCCATTGAAAGTTAATTATATTAAAGATTGCACTCGTGTAGAAAAATAGTATTTGTTTTCATTTAGAGTGTGACCTAACATAAAAGAAAAAGAAAAAAGAAAAAAAGAAAACATTCTTCTAGAAGACAATATTGATATTTCAAAATACTTTATGTATCATTGTATAAGCTAATTATTTATTGTTAAGCGTTATCGTAGATAGTAAATTACATGTGATTATATTAAATCAGTTGTTGTGTTGAAGTACTTGTACATAATTTACATCAATCGCTCATTTAATAAATAAGAATCATTATTAATCCCAAAGTCACCTTTTGTAAGCCTAAGTATATTCAGTAATATGAAAAAAAAAAAAATCTGTATAAATGAATTGATGAATTGTAAATATTATAATGTTAATAAGGGTGTGAAGAGTGAAGAAAAATAAGTTGCTGTATTATGTAAATTGAGTTGATATTATTCAGATATTGAATATAGTATATAAAGTGATCTATATTGACAGAAGAGTGATTTTATTGATATATATATATATATACACATATATATTTTTTACTTTATGTAATTTGAAAGTAGCAAATATGAATCTTTGAGATAATTGAAAGATGCAGTATAGTATAAAGTAGTTTCCCTCCATCTACTTATTATTTTACATTTCAATTTAAAACGTATAATACAAATTACATATTACTATATTTTAGCAAATGTAAAGAAAATGTATCTATGCACATATTTAAATTTTATATGTATAATTAAAATAGTATTATTATTAGTCATACAACTACTAGAATTATATAGGTATACAAAATTAAATTTTAACATGAAACTGCGAAAACGTTTTATTCTACTAGGATTTCTTTTTTTTTTTTTCTTTTACTATAAATAGCTTAAAACAAGAGAATCTTATCTTGTATTTTATGCTTCTGCCGAATATGTAATTAATTGTTACTACATCTGCATTTACTTCTTATTATCATGAGTAGCATGTAAAGTACATATTGAAAGTAAATTATTACCATGCGTTACCAGTGTGCAGTTCAAGTAACTATTATATTTACAAATGCAGGAATAGATTATTTCGTACATTATATTTGACGCATAATATAACATGCTTCATAGTATCTATGAAGATGTAATTATTATTTTGAATTGAATAAAAAAAAAATAACAAATTTATATAAACTCCTTTTGATACAAATTTTGATATCAAAGATATTGAGAGGTCTTAAAGAAAATTTGAAATACAATATCATTTTGATAGATATAGAAAAAGCAATACTTCAAGTTGTACACGAGTGTTATGATTTATATTTAGTTTTATCATATCATAATGATACACGATTAAACATGCGTCGAAGAAAGCTGCATAATATTTTGCATCAGTCAAAATTGTTTCCTTGTATGCCTTTACACATGTATTCAATTGTCAACTCCAAGAGTTGAGTAACAGACACATAATAATTATTATAAATATAAAGTACATTAAAAGACTTGAAACTGTTGAATTTATCTATCGTACAAAATGTGATATATAGCAAGGCTTTAACAGCCTTGTTAATGATAAGTACATCAGTTATTGTAGAATAACACAAATAGTTTTTAAAATTTAGTTTATAGACAATATATACATTGTCTAAAGATACATTACGAAATATATCACACATTTTATTATATTAATCAAAATGTTTTTGATATTCTTTTTTTTTCTGTTTACATCTCCTAGTTGTTTATTCTCAGCTTTTATGCATAATTTAGGCATTTTTAATCTAACGAATCAAATTATTTTCTCACAAAGGAGTAATATAATTATTTCATGAATATCACTTTTCAGTGTTATTCTATAATAAGACTGTGATTAATCTGTAATTTTAATTATTGCTATTACGATATTTGATTTATTTGCCTCATTTTTGTCATTGTAGTAAATACGGATGGAATTATATAAGAAGTATAACAAGTGAAATTGAAATTGAACAATAATAAAAGTAAAACTACATTTGTATATATATAGTAATGTCTAGCATTCTTTTATATGTATTGTTGCATTTGTATTTGATATCAATAGGAATTTCTTAACGTAAAGAATATAAACATTTGAATTTTTCAATAAAATACTAAAGATCATCATCCATCTGTAATTTGCTACGTATGTTATTCTTATTATTGCGGATGACTGTACTATTTGTATGATTGTGTACTTGTACTTACATTTTTTTACAAAATAACACATAGGATTTAGATTGTTCAGAAGTAACAAAATACAAACACCAAGTATTAATATGAAGCAAGTTCAGTGATATTTAAATCACAGATTATTTGAAATAAACTAAGACTCTTATTTCAGAAAAATATAAAATAAAATATTTTTATCTTAATTGTCCAGTCTTATCTCTTATTATCCTAAAACCTATAAAAATATATTTATAAAAATTTTAATATTTCGGGGGGGCAAATTTGAAATACTGAATTGTTAGTTTAAAATGATATTTTTATTTATGCTTTGTTAAAATAAAAATTAATATTCTTTATTTTAAAAAAGTGATTTATATATATATTTTTTTTTTAATTTTTGAAGCGGTAGTGGGTTTAGTACCTATATACACATAAAATTGAAACACGTGTTATGAGTATAAAACGTATAAAACTCAAATAAAACGTACACAATAAAATATAAAACAATTGATTTTACAACTTATGGTTTTGTTTTTAAAATACATATATGCAACAATTGAAAAATTCAAATATCGAATCTGAATTGCGCGGTTCAAATCAAAAGACCGAAGCCTAGGTGTCTGTTAATAATTAAATAGTTCATTGTTTGTATAACTGTTATACCAAAATTTTATTTTATACAAAATTTATTTCAATCGTAAAAATAATTTTTTTGTTTTTAATTAAACTGGTCAAAAATTGGAGAGAAGTGATGGACGGAGAACCGATTGTCAAGTTTGTACTCAACGTACAAACTACAATTTTTTTGAGATAATTCAATTACAATATTCTTCATAAAATATTAGATGGAAAAAATAAAAATAATTTAATACATCAAATGTTTGAAAGCTCTAATAAAACAATTAGCAAACGAAGCGCAGACGCAAGTAGGGTGTTCTAAACGGGTAGTAGTACGAAGTTTACTAGTAATCAATGACGCGACATAGTATACTTAAAACTACTTGAAGACCATTAGCGTGGGATGTGTTAAATTGACCGAAAGAAAATAATGTTGTATTCAACCAAATAATCGAACAATTCAAACTGTTAATTAATGGTTAACAATGACAGCCATACACGTTTGACCGAAAAAGTAACAACTTATGTCGAGTGGCAGTAAAATACAAATGCTCCACTGGCTGTTGCATTATTAGATTCTGTTAATAGGGCAGCCATAAAACATGTCAATCTAAAGAACTAGTGGAGTAGCAATGGGTGAAACGACCTTGTGATATAATTGTAGTCAAATTAAAATGACAGTGTGTGTAAAATGGAGTGAGCATTTTTGTGCACTGCGAACGATGTATACGTTAAATTTAAAGTACATCGTGACTTCCGATCAAAAATGTGAAGAAGGTATGTCAAGTCTGCGATCGAAAGTAACCGCTGTGTTAATGCGATAGTTGTTGTTTTTCTTATTTTAAAAAATCCATATCTTCTCTTCTAAATCTAAGTCATATTGCTTAAAGGGGTGATTATTGTCAACAAAACGTGTGGTTTAAAATTGACAATTATAGGAAGATAATGGTATAAATATTAGTAGAAAATTTCAATAATCTTGCTGTATTGTACAAGTTGTAACAAAAGGATATTGTATGTAAAATTAATGTCTGTGTGTTTGAAGTATACAACACATTTGGTACATTTACAGAATAATTAATTAATTGTTGAAGTAATTGCATTTACTTTATATTTGAAGATATTTAGTATGTTTAGGCGTATGAAAATTTTTTATCTTTCTTCAAGTATGTTGAAAGCAAACATTATAATATGTTTTAAAGAACAAACTTAAATATGGGTAGCCAAGGAGTTGGGGACATTCCAACAATATTTCATCCCCAACAAATTCATGCTCCAAGTATAATTCTTGGAGATGGTCAACAGAACCATGGCCCTCAAAGCACCAGTGGTCAACTTACTCGTGACAATTCTGGTAAGTGTAGATTCAATATACTTAATGGATCTCCCAAAATTGATTATCAATTGTATACATAATTCTTATAACTCAACGAATTAACTTATCATTCTTTAATTATAATTTCAATTTCTGTCACAGGAATGCATATGAATTTTAAACAAATGTTTTGTATAATATAAAATAAAATGCATCAATTTTAAAACAAATATGATAAAAATGAATAAATACTGGAACCATGTATATTTTTGTAAATATTAAAATAATTAAAATTTTGTAATATTAAAATAATTTAAAAGTAATCATGTTAATTTGTTCTTCCTATTATTCAAAAATAATATTTTTAATTTTTGGTTTCCATTTCAAATTGAAAGGAAGAAAGAATGAAAGCAATTGTTAAATAAAATATAGGAAATCTGTGAAAAATAGGGATCGTAGCTGAAAGCGAATCCGAATCTTTCGTATCGTAGTCGGCCATCGTCAGCACGCTATCATCCCTTCTTTCACGAATCCCCTTATTATTGTTTTAGTGTCTCAATCCCACAGAAATGATGTTTCATTATATACACATTACGTAATATTATTAATCTATAACTAATTAATTTATTTGTTTGAAAAATGTAGGCTGTGAACAGCAACAAGGATGTAGCATTAGCGGTGGCCGAGATTCCGTGCCAAGTTGTCGGCCATTGGACACAAGCGGAAGCGGAACTGGAGGTGGAGGTACAGATAATCAAGGACATGGTATAGGTCAAACTCAAGTTCAATCCCATGTAACAGCACCTCCAGTCACTTACCATCAGAGATCTAATTCTTTATCCACATGTTACGCATCCTGTTGTGCAGAATCTGCAAAAAAGGTTAATTATTTTTAAACGATATTCACCTGATTAAGTCACCTATGATACTATTATTTAATTTTTTAGAAAACATGATTTTTTTATTATTAGTCTATTAAATTTAATTAATTTTTATTATTACCAATTTGTTAAATTTAATTAACTTTTATCATTATTAACTGTTTTACTTAAATAATTTGTAATTTCGAATGATAATAATACTAATAATGATTTTAAAAAATAAAATATTTGTTATTTATTTATTAACAATTATCTCATTATGATTGCAGATATATTTTGGAGTGTGTGTTACAATATGTGTCACAGCAAGTTGGGTTGGTGCTACACACTGTATCAAATATTTATATTTTCACAAACATGAAACTCCTAATTATTCGTCGTTTTCTAATTCATCCATTACAGGACGTCATCAGCATGTAAGTTTATACAATTTTTTCATTCACTAAATCTCCGATTTTAAATATATTAGATACGTTACGAAACATTAATAAGCAGTTAAATACATACATGTTTGACGAATTTAACGAAGTTAACAAATCTGTAATTTAAAAGTAAGTATATTTTATTATTTTATTAATTATCGAGGATCTCTTTGCAAGATCCAATTTAATTGCATGCATTTGAACATACACTAGTTGCATGCCAACTGTTTGATCCACTTTTTAATTTATCGCAAATGATATGGGGCTAACATAAAATGTAATTACACTGTGTAATCGAGTTGATTTTTTTTTCTTTAAATGAAAATACTCGCAAAAAGAGAAAATAACCATTAGCGCAATGCAGTCACATTTCGCATGCAATTATGTCACCTTACATGAGTATTATATTTTTTCTTTATCTCATTTCTTGTATTATATTAGAAATTTTGTATGAATTGGAAAATAAAAAATTTAAATAAATATAATTTCTGTAGAATATAAATTATTCTTTAATCATACATGTATATAGTAAATAAATTTAAATACATACTATAGAAAATAGGTACAGAATTTTTGTTATATATGAGAACATTCCATGTTCACTATATTTCAGTAGTGCAACTATGCGGGTGAAAAGGGTCAGTTGATCCCTTATTAAAAAATTAAATTAAATTTTATTACAATTGTACATAATATTATCATAATGCTAATAAGGTATGAAGAAAATTTATTGACCCCCTTATAGAACCCTTCTGGTTGCGCCACTGGTGTATTAAAATGAATAAACGATGTAATAATTTTAGTAATATATTAGATAATAAGATTACATTATTAGAATAATATCAGTTAAACGATATTCTGTTTTGAAATGTTTTCAGACGGTTCCATATAACGCGCCATTTTTTACGACCTGGTTTTGTACAAATTGGGAAATTCTTTACTTCCCAGTTTATTTTCTTTGCCAATCTATAAGGATAAAATGTAATACTCCATCAGAAATAATCGCGGAGAGTTTACGAGGTTTCCGTGATAAAGGATTCACTGGTGGTCGTTTTTTGATCAGATGTAGTCTTTTTTGTGGACTCTGGGTAGTTACAAATTACATGTATATTTATTCGCTCAGGATACTACTAGCCACCGATGTAATGGCACTGTTCGCGACGAACGTCTCTTGTGTCTATTTATTATCGTGGGTTATTCTTCACGAACAATTTGTCGGTGTAAGGGTTAGTGATTACTTTTTAATTATTAATTCATTTGATTCCATTGTACAACAATTTGTAAAACAAATATATATTCCAGATAGTAGCGGTGATTTTATGCAATACTGGAATTGCACTTTTAGCGTACATGGATGGTATAACCGGAAGTCCAACATTAGGAGGTGTAGTTTTGGCAACATCCGCGGCAGCCGGATCAGCAGTTTACAAGGTGAACTTTTATATATGTATAATCTTTCTTTTCTTTTTTATTATTGTGTCCTAAATATCTTTAACCATTAACTGATGAAATTACAGAAATAGAATGCATGTTAAAATTTAAATTAAATATCTTTAGATCAATTTTGCTCCAAGTAATGGATTTGCAATAAGAGACCTTTCCTCTTATTTGATTGTCGTTTGTTTAATTAAACAATTGATTGTTCCTCAAGAACCAGCTCATCAGTTAAGAGTTAAACAAACCATTAAGGAAAGGTATTAAAAATAACTAATAAAATGTTAAAATAGGTGCTGTTTAAAAAAGTAATAGGAGAGACAACATTCGGCCAAATGTCATTATTTTTTTCTCTTATTGGATTATGCAATGCAGCTCTGTTATGGCCAATTTGTTTGGCCCTTTATTTCTCGGGAGCAGAAAGCGTACACTGGGGACGATTACCATGGACAACGTTGCTTTCAGCAAGTATTCTACATCTAGGTCAGTATCCTTAATGGTTAACATTGATATTTAAGAAAGGGCATATCCAAAAATCATGAAATAAGCTTTAATAACAAGTTCTTACCATTTTTCAAGATACATTTATATTGAAAAGTTTTCTAAAATATTTTCTTTACAATCTGAAAAAATTAGTAACCAACTTGTTGTATTTTAGTAATAGATAACGGTATGTAAGTATATGTAAGCAGTAATCTTATTTATTATTTAATATTTGTTGCAAAACATTTTAGTATAAAGAATTGCAATATTTCTTAGGCTTATCTCATGATTTTGACGCATGTCGACCGTGAAACAGCTTCATAAAATCGTTAAAGTTATACTTTTTATCGTTGTTTGACAGTTGCAAACATGCTTGGTAACTTCAGCATTGCTCTAACGTATGATCTATTCATCACGTTGGGGTTGATCACAGCAGTACCTGTATCCGCTGGTATGCTAAACTCGGAGTAAACTCGTGACCGTTACATGTTTGACATATCTATTTATTTCCTTTTCCTTTCTGTTTTCAGCATTGGATGTACTTCTGTACGGGGCTCATTTCATGGGAATGAAACTGGCAGGAATGATCTTTATAGCGGTTGGATTCTTCCTCGTGATGTTCCCGGATAATTGGCCAGATTACATAACCAGACTACTCCGGTATGCATTTCATATGTATTTCGTATACATAATTTATGGTATGTTTATTAATTCTAAGTTCATTTTTCTCTTAGTCTTTAGTTTTGTAGTTATTCTAAGCGACCTATGTTTGCTACCTCTTTACCCTGACACAGAAACACATCATGCAGTATTCCTCGTGCAAAAAAAAGAATCGAAAGTTTTCTATACCATTTTGCAATTCTGAACCCCGTTTCTGAAAATTATAAACGATTTAAAATTGGACGTGCAGTTTAAATTCCAAACTATTGAACGTATAGTTCACATGCACAGGGTCGGCCCTGAGATGTCGGGGGTTCGAGGCGAACTCCGAAAAAGGGCCCCGTCACATATATGACCATAAAAAAAGTACCTCAAATAAAATTTATAAAATTAACATTAAAGCTTGTATCACTAATTTAGATTTGCATTTACGTTTGCAATCGTCTTATGGGGGCCCTGGACCTTGGGGGCTCTAGGCGGCCGCCTAGTCTGCCTAGGTCCAGGGCCGACCCTGCACATGCACTGCATTTGTAGCATTATCAGCAATAAATGTTTTAACGCACCACCACTAATACGATATTTCTATCACGCTTCTGTGTTTTTGCAACCTATGTACCATATTATGCATAGGTGGTGCTTCACTGGATCACTTAAAATTTAAACAGTACCTAGTCTTTAGTCGTTTATAACTGGAAAGCAAAGTCTTAGTTGCAAAATGGTGAAGAAATTTTTAAATAACTTTTAAGGTGTACACCATTTTTAACGCGCCTTGTATATACACACTCGTACACACATACACACTACTTTTCACTTTTGCAAGGTTATTCAAATGTTGTTTCTCTTGTTTTGCACCAAATAGAAGCAGCGTGTAGTTTCACTGACTGTAGGATATGCTTGACATTTAAAATTTTTCTATAAATATCTATCTTTATACTACTTATTTTTTTATTTACAAGTACATATATCAAATTTACTAAATTTTCTGTATAAACAGCTTCTATAAGAGAAAAAAAAACAAACTTTAGGATGAGAAGGATTAATGTAACAATATTAATATTACACTTGTGTATGTTGTATACACTTTAATAGTGCTTTATCATATAACAGCTACTCTGTCAACAATTTTATAAACAATACAAATTTCTTGTTGGAAATCACGTTACACTACCTCTAGGAAAATCGATTACTACTTCTTGATTCACAACCTGTGAATCGTGGTCCTACACATGCATACATGTGTGCTTGTGCGTGTATGTTCATCTTGCGCGGGTGTGTGTGTGTGTGCCTGTGTGTATGTGTAGGTAAATTGGGAAAACACGAGACCAATTAACCAGACTGAAATTGTTTTTGCTGCTTAGTTAACACACAAATTAAGTGTGCGATAGTTGGTTTAATCATTTTAGTTGTGTAGAAAATATTGGAAGCAAAGCGTAGAAATTTTCTTTACCGTTTAGAGGTAATTGTGTGTTAAATGAATTGACTAAAATAAAAAAATGGCATTGATGTTGTTTTACAGGATGCCTGGAATATGCAACAGGTTTAAAGTATAAGTAAATAAACACTTTTTATAGCTAAGAATACAATTGTTACATACGAAAATGAAATATTTGGCTGTATGTTTAAACGAAACGATGAACTTACACGTAACCAGGTTTGAGGTGATTTATGCAGTCTTATTCGTACAGCTTTTAGATAGATGTAAAATTTGAAAGTTTATGTGATAGTTACGTTCAACTTGCTAATCATTTGTCAAGTACAGTAACTCTAAATTGTTATACAAGATAGTAGGGAGGTATTTCCACGTTATGAAAGTATTTTTTTTACGTCGACTCCATACGTCGAATTATCGAAGATTTAATTAAAACAAATAAAAATATACATATATACATATTACAGTTTGAAGGAGCAAATATTATAGTTGTTGAAATTTATTAGGCCAATGTTATATTTCTTTAGATTTAAATGTGATCGTTATGGTGTTAAATAGAACTATTCGAGTGGTCAATTTAAATGGAATATCCTATACATATAAAGGGCGTCTCATAAAAAGAAGTATATCGTGAAAACTACAAATTCTCCGTGCCAATAGAAAATCGAAAAGTTCTTTACAATTTTGAAATATTGAGGGAGGGAGGATTCAACTTTCAGACACGCGATTGATATCCCAGACATAAAAACACATGTGCAGTATCAAACAAAATAGGCATCCCTTAAATATTAAAAATAATTTAGAAAAGAAATAATGAAGTTCTTAATTATTATATTTCATAGTATAGAAGTATAAAATATGAATAATAATATAAATATCAATTCAAATTCTCCTGCGTAAACGTTGTTGCGCAAGTGGTGGGGGCCTCTCCCATACATCGTCATTTCCTCCGAGGCCGCCTAGGGGAAAGGGTGGGAGCTGGGAATCCGATAGCGAAACCTACTATGCTAGATACTGTACACGCCACAGCCGACTCTAGTAAATACTAGCCGTGCTGAAGTAAAAACACGTAATTGTTACTGAACAGTTAAAGTTGCAATTCAATAGAGATTTAATGTGTTTTTTCTCGCATCTTACAAATAAATACAGGATATTATTACAAGTTAAAGTACATAATTATAATTGGATAATAAAACAAGTACATGTACATATATAAATAGGATTAGGATTAGTATTTTGACGTATTTCAAATGTCGACGTTAAAAACATACATCCATAATTCAGAAATACTTGGAATAGTAACGAATATTAAAAAAATATATATAAAATGTTTCTATTAGTTTACCTCGGGAACATATAATTTTTTTTTTATATAAACTGCGAAAAAGTTTAATTATTTGCATTTAATAGATTTATATATTTATATAAATGAAGCATCTATCGAAAAAACCTACGTATTGTATTTTTAAAGTGAAATGATCGATCAATTAGTATTTTTTTTCCAGTATTTTAAATTTACTGTTTACACTGCCACTGTGTATAATATATGAATTACATAAACTATTAGAAACGGTTTTCTTGAAAAGTAATAGCAGTAGCAGCATAATTCTTTTTTTTTGGTTTTACGGTTAGAGAGAAGCTTTTATCTGATGTATGAGGTATTGTTGGCGCATCCCTTGGGAACTGGGTGCGGTGGCAATATCTTTTTTTTTCTTTTCATGTTTTCCAATAACTCATTGAAAAACAAATAATATTTATTCGAAACAGTGAACTATAATAAATAATATCTTTCACGCGGAGAACTTTAAAAAATAAAATTCAGCAAAAATATGAAAATAAATTTGACAAATATGGATTTTCTTGACTTTTTATGGTATCATTCGGATTTTAGTTGTTTACTTTGTAAGTTATAGACACAATGTTTGCTTGTTCGTTAAGAATTGTTTCCGATACAAACCGACGAAACGTTCAGTTACGTAAAGAATACAAGAAAATTGCTTGAGCTGCTTACTGTGTTGTGTTGTGTCGTGTTGTGTTGTGTTGTGATGCGCTGTGTATGAATTATGAATCGACATCAACACTCGATCACTCGCTTCCAAACAATCAGGACAATTATATGCTGTTACAGAAATATAATCCTCGTGAGTCACAATTCGAGGTAAGAAAATACATTGCCCACATTATTTTTTTCCTGTTATTTACATTAAAAATTCATCTGTTTAATCAAATGTCTTTCATCGTTGCAAATCAACGCGACATTGGCCACGTATTTCTATCGATCAATTATAACGTAAATACAGCATAAACTGGACACTTACGTATTGTATCGAGCATAGCAGACTCAGTACTGTACACTGTACATATAACATCGTACATAATACAATTACATGGTACACGTAATCAATTTACCGTGTTTATCGCACTTATTCAATCTGATATTTAAGATGAATTTTCTGTAAGTAACAAATAAAAGATTTCAAAAGACGCACGATTTATGTATATTTTGCTACGTCAATTTTTTGTGTATGTGGATGTACGATAAATATCCTACTAAATTCTATTTTCTTTTTAATGCAATTGCTTTCTATTATCTGTTAAGAAGCATGAAATTTTTGCTTTCGTCTGCGTATAAATTTTAATTCAAATTTTAATGCATCACATACTTAATAAAACAAGTAAATGTATCAAGTAAGGTTTAATTAAATTACACCGCGATATATAGGGAAAGAAGGAATTCTATGAAAGGAAAAACCATTCCAAAGTTTTCTAGACGCAGAATTTCTATGGATTTGTATTGCAATAATTTTCTGTCATTGCAATATTTATTATCATTTACGTGCTCCTAAAATTCGACTAGCTTTTAAATATAAATAAATAATCAGAGAAGAAAAAATAATTTAAATGTGCAGTGATAATGAGTACTGCATTATAGTACAGTACTGAGCAAAGTAAGCTTCCCTAGGGAAAATGGTGCTATAGGGAAGCAGAAATTCTCAGAATCTTAATTTTAAAGAAATTAATATTAAGAGTAATTTAAAAAGTAAATATAATTTTCAATTATAAAATTTAGTACATAACTAAGAAATATAAATAACAAAATAAATATCGATTTAATGATAGGACCAGAGACCTTCACATATTTGAGGCCGTCTACCCTATATTGCCATTCTCTCTTTAGATGCCTATTGTACATATCAATATCAGTAATTTGATTATCGACCAATGAATTGATAATTCGGCATAAAACTTCATTATCAACAAAAAAAAGTACATACACTCACCATCAGTTAGCCATGTCTGTATAATTCCTTTGAACAACAACATTAAAGGTCCGAGAAAAAGACGCGACGACGCGATATACATATAAGTCAAGACGCCGTGAAAAGAAGCCGTGATACAGGTCGTTGTGGGATAATAATACATAATGAAAATACTGATGAGAGGTGTGGAATTGATATACGCAGTACCACGGACGCCCAGCAACGTAGGAGCACCGTTGCTAGAAGCCGGTGCTCGTCGATGCAACAACGCCAATATCGGCTACGAAGTTACGGTGTGTCGTCGGCTCACGGTGACGGGCAAATGCTACTACCGATCAACAACAATAACAGCAACCAGACTAACAACAACAACCAGTCGAGCAACGATGTACTGATGACGACGGCCGTTAATCTGACACATCGGCATATTAGTTCGTCTCAACAGAACAACGCTGCTTCCGAATCCCAACCTCGACGCGTTCCTACCTCCGTTTCGATCTCGACCTCGACCCCGATCTCAAATTCGACCTCAACCTCGACCGCTACCGCGACCGCGACCGCGACCAACACTCATCAACGTTCCCACCTTCCTGGCCTTCAAAACCAATAAAAAGGTACGATTGAAAAAAGCCGCGAATCAACCTTATACCTTCGCATACTTGATAAACAACGGTTAGAGATTAGTAAAATTTAAAAAATTTCACTTTTATATAAACTTCTATCCTTTTCCTCTTTTTTTTATTTTCGTTTCATTAGCAAAATTTCGCGTTATCAATTGATAAGAATTAAAACGAAAGTATGCATAAGTCAGACGCGACTTTCAACTCGCGGAATTTGCCCATTTCCGTTGCTGCACAAAAACCTAATCCAGGTTTGGAAATTAACTTTTCTTTTCGGCCAATTTTCAGAAGCTACGTCTCCTTTCTTCGCCCGCGCGATGACCGTAGGTCCTTGATGTACATAGTTACCACAGACGCGTGCCATTTGAATCGTACCCCATGCGTGAAACCTATCAATACGAGTGAAGCCCTGATGCGCATGCGCGATCCATGAGGCATGCGCGTGAAGTGCACCAAAAGCTACGGTCGTCGCGCAGGCCAAAACGCGCGTTGGGAAAAATGGCGTGCAGCTTCTGAAAATCAGCGGAAAAAAACAGTTAATTCCTAAGCCTGACCTATACACTTAAATACACTATATCTGCAAATAACGAATAAGAAATATTACCTATTTTGCTGTTTCATTATTTTGCATTCAGCAAGCAAGATTCAAAAATATAAATGAATTGAGGTTTATGTCTGAAGAGGATCAATCTTACTCGATCTATCGAATGTTAACTTTATCGTTTATACTCGATTATTTCTCAAATTTCTACGTATTACGTATTTGAAAAATTACAAACTCCTATCTTCAATAGTTTAATGAACAAGGAAGGTAATGCACGGTTCATGATTTGCAACGAATCGCTGTAAGTAATATCTGTTTAATCTCGCCGAGTTAAGTAATTTCTTCAACATTACATTATACATTGTGTATATTATACAATAGGAATTCACACATTGAATTGGAACCGGCTATTTAGAGTCTTGTACGAGAATAAGTTTAAATGGGCTTTTGTAATATAGGTTTTGCTAATTCTGAATTGCTAGTTCATGGTAGGTTTTGTTAAAAATAACTTATTGTTAGCTGATACGATATGCCTGCGTTAACGAATGACTGGAAATCTTGATCTGTAGCTAATTAGGTAATTTTGTTATCATTCCTTTGTTATATATTCCCTAATATATAATAGTAAATATATTTATACATATAGTTATTTGTTTGATGGAATGAAGCATCGTGACTAATGTCATGCTGCTCGACGTTTTATTTACATCATAGTTTTTCAATTCGATTTATACGTTTGAAATTTTAAGTATTCGTATAATTTGTGAACTTTTTCATAAAACGTATCGGTACTGATACGTTTATAAGGTACTTACACGAGAGTACTCGTCGTATTAATGTAAAGGAATAGTTCAGAAATTTTACAAAAAGGATCGGTTAATACTATCATCGTAGAAATTTTCAGCAGTTTTTCGTCGACTTCAAATTATGGATCTACTGTAAAATATTTTCTCGTTTGAAAATTTCTACGAGTTAGGCACTCGATGAGATAGCATGCAAATTGAAGTTTAGTTGAAAAAAAAAATTGTAGAAAACGATACGATTGAGTAGAGATGTATTTGCAGATGGAGTAGAAGACACGGACACGGTGTACCGGGAGGTACGCAACGCGATGTCATCGATTATCGCACTGGCTACATTAAATCTCATCTTCGATCACCTTCCGGAAGAGTTCGGTGACTATATGCACTGTCGATTCGATTAAACACAACATTCGTTTGCCAAACGAATATTTGGATGTTCGCGTTCCAAAATTCAACGTGTCTCGACAGTATCGTCAAGAAAGTAGCAATAGGAACAAAGAAAAAATAATAGCGCGAGAAAGAACTTTTAACGCGTTCGTTGCCGGCATGCGAGGCACACGATAAATGCCGAACATTGCCGAACGGCAATGAACGTATTAACTAATTATAAATGCATACACACACACTCATACTCACAAACACACACAAAATTCATTTTATTTCAAAGATTATGTACCATTCCCGTAAAACGTTTTAAAGTGTATCGTCGTCTTTCTTCGACAACTTTTAATCTCGACGCAAATGTGCGCTGCAACTGAATGTGAAATTTAAACTGTTCAAAATTAAACAGGTTCAATTCCACATTTTTTTAAATTATGAAATTACTATGCGCTCGCTCAAAGTCCTCTGTACGTGCTCGAGAATCATTTTCCTAATTTTGTTGAACAGTGTTTATTAGTTGGTCGATCTGTAGCGGGATTTCTTTTTTTTGAGGAACTTCAAGCAGGCGTATAGACAGAATTTACTATATCATAGGGACAACGTTATACGTATAAAATGTTATGCAAAAACATATGTACTTAATATGTTCAAATGCATCATTTAAACTAATTTATTTCTTAGACTAGTCAACAAAGAGAACGTTTAATTTATACTTCAATTAAATTTATAATACAAAATTGAATAAATATCTCTGTTGAATTTATTTTGTAATATAATCTATAAGATGAATTTAACAAAGTAAATAACGTACGCACCCGCTCACTTACTATTTAAATAACCTGTAGAGATTATGACGAAAAATTATGATTTTGTTGAAAGAAAAAAGAGAAAGGGAAAAGTACAAAAACTAGTCGGAGACGAAATTAAAATATTAAACATCACGTTTTCGTTTTGAAAAATTTCATTAATAGAGTAGTGCCGTTTAATCGTCGCAGATTTTTATTTTGATTTAATTACTACCTACATCGTAAAAATTTCAACGATTCGATCGAAATAATTGTTACGTATAGTAATCAATGAAAAAATAGGTAAATCTAATTAATTAATTAATTCGTTGATCTTCGATCAGGGACAATAAATCACGTGGAGGCAAGCTTGCCGAATAGTCCATGATATCGTAGTAGATAATTCCACGTCAATTATATAAATAGACAAATGTTGCGTTGCGGCAATTAAATAAGCACTACCACGACTGTGCATATTTCGTGTATTCGGAAACTTGAGTCAATTACTCGAGTTAACTATTTACATATGTACGTGTATTTATATCGAGCAAACATATTGTGAAATTAATCATTTCGGTAAGTTTCAATTCCATTTCGTCGAATCACGACGAATAAATAATCTTGTACTGTAATTATTTGGAAAGTAATGAAATATACGTAAACGCGTACCACTTCGTATATTTACTTCTTGTTTCTATTCAGTTTCTCAATTATACTATACTTTATAATTACATTTACTTTAATTCTTTTATTTGTTTAAAAATAATGACTCATTTGTAGTACATAGATACTTTTATTTTATCAATAAACAAGAAGCTTGTTTTCATCTTATAAAATAAAAGGAAGCGATATCTTACGTTTCCTCTTTCAAATTTTCTAGCGCCAGTATTGATATACGATAGATCGATAAGAATAGTCGACCTACGAACACGTGACCTGTAACTTGTAAAGACAATCAGCTATACTATGTATGTATGCATTTATATACAGAGTACTTGATAATAGATGAGAGAAACTTTAAGGGGTGATTCCAAAGGTCAAAATAAGACAAAAATCAAGAATCACGAAATAGCATTCGAGGCTTTGTTTTCTAGTTATTAATATTATAAAATTCGAGCGCCTGGAATCGACAATCTGCGCAGCATCAATGGTTAAAGCATCAGGTGCTTTTCACTCGAACCTCAATTAAATAATGTTGTTTCAAATACCATTTCGTAATTCTTGATTTTCATCTATTTTGACCTCTAAAATCGCCCCTTTAATTTTTTCCACTATTATGGAACATTCTGTATATAATAGAAGTAGATTAAATAAGAAAAATTTTTCTTTAAATATTAGGTATATCTGTGCAGCATAAAACTATTACTTTATTATATTGCTTTCTAATATTTACTTACGCATTTCTAATGCTATTTTTATCATCTTTTAAAATAGCAATTATTAACAATTAATATAATTGATTAAAGGGAATCTATTACTTATCAAAGTGTTCTTATCAACGGAAAGTATCGCCGATTTTTAATTTATGTTATAAAAACAAAGATTGGTGATTTCGCTCAATTAAATGATATATATAGCCACGTGTACTACTTAATTACTATCAACTTGTAACTCAATGTTACTATTATCTAAGAATGTAACCGATAAGTACGTAAAATCAGAACGTGTAATGACTTTGCATGATTAAATATCTCTAAGGATGTAAATAAATAGTGAATACATTAGTAACATGTTACACATTCAAAGATCTATCTGTTACAAATGTTGTAAGAGATAAGTATAAAGTATAAACAAAAAGGCATTATACTTAAAATATTTAAGTATATGTATGTATATACTGTAGCGATGTATTTAATAAAATGCATAGCGAATTTTAAACGTTTACAGAATCATTTTGCTTTCAAGCACGGCCAGTTAAATCGACGGTACAACACGTGCATTTGTATGGGGTGACAAATTGGGGGGGGGTAAAATTAATCTAAACTATATACAAAATTTAAATATAGTAAATGATAAAAGAAGTAGTGAAATAAATTTAAATGATTGTTGTCACGGACGCATACGAATTCAATTCGACAGTTTCGACAATTTTTCGAAAATATCTCGAAAACTAAGGCCACGCAGTGGTTCGTGGTACATTTATTCAAAATGTAAATTTCTACAACATATTTAAAAATCATCGAAATCGGAGATGCCGCCCGTAATCTAAATGATTACCAAAAATTTAAACTTATACTTGATATCATGAGAGTCCATAACTGCGAAAAGACCAATTTTCGTTCTTTTCTGCGCATTGTCGCTCTGATTGGCGATACTCCCAGACGAAGTGGAAAGCGATTGGCGGAGAGCTCGCTGCGTTCTCCCACCATCTTCCAACATGCGCGTTTAGTTATGGACTCTCGTGACGCTTAATATAAATTCGACTATGGGAAAGGATCTCCCATAAGTTCGTCGAGGTCGAACTCTGATTTCCGCGTCGGTAACTGTCGATAACACAGCCCACGTTTACTCATCGGTGCATAAGGTTAAGTTAACCTAGTTCACAGATGTTTTTGAACGATTCACCACGTGTGTAAAACAATGTATTAGAGAAATTGTTAATTTTTTTCGAATATTTACGTCTATTGTATAAAAATGTCGGTACCTGATAAAGTTTTGATGCGAAAAATTAAGAAGAGGGAAAAGAAGAAGCTGCAAGTATTAAAAGAACGAGAACAACAAATACAGAATGGTAAATATAAAATTATCATATAAATTGCTTGTGTTATATTTTATTTTGTTATAAAATTATTAAGTTTAATTAATAATTCGAAAGGCGAAGCTGCACTTGATTCAGAAAATAATATCGAGGAAAATAGAATGGAAACTTCAAACGGATTAAAAAGGCATATTACCGAAGATGGAAATGGAGTAGTAAAAAGTAAGTTATAGTAACAGTTCTCTTACGTTCACAAATTATAGTTCACTTTTTATACAATATATAATATAATTATATTATATTACAGAAAAGAAAAAGAAAGTAAAGAATGAAAAGAGGTTAGAAATGGAAGAGGATGATGTTAATACTGGCGTTAAATCAAGTAATGCTTATACGAGTGAGAACGATGAACCAAAAGAAGATAACAGTGATAAAGCCACCACAGATTGTAAGTACAATATTAGACTTATTATATACTTTTTTTAAAATCATTGAACATGTATATTTAATTGATAAATTTTATTTTCTAGTACCTGGCTCTACGATAGGTTTAGAAGTAACAAAAGATACGAGTTTCGAAACGCTAAAAGAATCAGTATGCGAAAATACTCTAAAAGCGATCGAAGATATGGGTTTTAAGAACATGACAGAAATCCAAGCGAAGTCTATTCCACCGCTGTTAGAAGGCAGAGATTTGGTTGGCGCTGCCAAAACTGGATCCGGAAAAACTTTGGCGTTTTTAATTCCAGCAGTGGAATTAATTTATAAATTGAAGTTTATGCCTCGTAACGGTAAATAATTTATGCGAATAAAATGTCTCTGATACGAGTAACGTACCACGTTGTTTTTTCTAGGCACTGGCTGTATTATTATATCTCCAACCCGAGAATTATCTATGCAAACGTTTGGAGTTTTAAAAGAATTGATGAAATATCATCACCATACATACGGATTACTAATGGGTGGTGCTAGTAGACAGACAGAAGCCCAGAAACTTTCAAAAGGAATTAATATCGTGGTAGCTACACCCGGTAGATTATTGGATCATCTCCAAAATACAGCAGACTTCTTGTATAAAAATCTTCAGTGTCTCATTATTGACGAGGCTGATCGTATATTAGATATTGGTTTCGAAGAAGAACTTAAGCAAATTATTAATATTTTACCAAGTTAGTATATTTTCTCTGATAGAAACCTATTAGTATTGAATGGTTGATAAGAAAATTATGATGCCACAATGTGACATGTTGCAGAAAAAAGACAAACAATGTTATTCAGTGCAACTCAAACTAAGAGAACCGAGATGCTGACAACTTTAGCTTTGAAGAAGGAACCAGTTTACGTCGGAGTTGATGACCATCATGAAAAAGCGACAGTAGAAGGATTAGAACAAGGTTACGTAGTTTGTCCTAGCGAGAAAAGATTCCTACTTCTGTTTACGTTCTTAAAGAAGAATAGGAAGAAAAAAGTGATGGTTTTCTTCAGTTCTTGTATGTCAGTAAAATACCATCACGAACTTTTAAATTACATCGATTTACCAGTATTAAGTATACATGTAAGATTATATATATTTATATTTCCTCGCATGTACAGTACCGAGCATAGTAAGCCTCCCCAGGCAAAATAGCGATGCCCTCCTTTTGTAAGCTTCCTCTTCCTCAGGCTCTTGCTCCTTTTCATACACGTTCCCGAATAAAATGACGATGTAGAGGTGAGGGAGGACCCTATATGTAGATCTATGGGTCCCCACCACCTGCGCATAAACATTTACACGAGAAAATTTTATTTTATATCTATTTTAATAACGCCATTTTTTCCTAAGGAAGACTACTCGATACTGTACAAGAAATATTCATATTGGTGTTAAGGCGACAATTTTACAATTTCCAATGATATATTTTAATTGAATTATAGGGAAAGCAAAAACAAACTAAAAGAACAACAACATTCTTCCAATTTTGCAATGCCACTTCCGGCATACTTCTCTGTACCGATGTAGCTGCACGTGGACTTGATATACCAGCCGTTGACTGGATTGTACAATATGATCCACCGGATGATCCAAAGGTAAATTACAAGTAATGTATTAATATTAAGAGATATTTTTAACCAAGAATTTAATTTAATTAATACGATTTTAGGAATATATTCATCGTGTCGGTAGAACAGCGCGCGGAGAAGGTAGCAGTGGCCATGCGTTATTAATTTTAAGACCAGAAGAACTTGGATTTCTTCGTTACCTTAAACAAGCTAGAGTACCAGTTAACGAATTTGACTTTTCTTGGAATAAGATTGCTGATATTCAGTTGCAAGTAAGTGATATAATTTTCTTTCCCCGTTAGACCTTTTCTTTTATTTTTAACGATTTTTTATTTTTATTTGTTTATTTTCCCCGTTAGACTTGTGCACAGTTAAAATAGATTTAACAAGGTAAATATAAAAATAAACCTGTCGGATTAGAATACATAAATATTTTAAATTCTGACTTATAATTGTCGAGTATTGTATGCTCGAAAAAATGTAAAGTATTTGAAAGTTTCAAATTTAAAACTTTAAGTCGAACTTGGTCCAATTCGTGACAAAGCTGTTAATGTATCCAGTTTCTTCTTGAGTGACAATTTTTTGCTGATGGCGTATTTTCGGTATAGCCCGTGCAAAACTGCAATGTTATTTCTATATCCTGATCACGTGATGTGGAACGCTCCATGTATGATCTATTTTTAGCCATTTAACTGCCACTTTCTACGGAATTGAACAAGTCAAAAAGACAGATCTCGAGATTTTAAAAACAAAGATCCAATTGCTGATTTCATTCTTTAAAATCATTCAAAAGCATGAAAAATAGAAATATTTAATTTGTATATTTTTTATGCAATAACCGATATGAAATATAAGAAATATCTATTGAAAAATATGTACATTGTAGTTTCTGTCAGTATCAAGCATATTAATAACAATAGCAAAATAGCAATTATCATTATTCGTTATTATTTCTAAAGGAAGCTAACATCTTTCTTCTAGCAGATATTAGAGCAGATACTACAAGTTCTACATTTCAAGAAATTAATTATCGTGTATCGTCTGTTTTAGCTTGAAAAGTTAATTTCGAAGAATTACTTTTTAAATATGTCGGCGAAGGAGGCATTCAAAGCATACGTAAGAGCATATGATTCTCATCATTTGAAACAAATTTTCGATATCGAAACATTAGATCTAATAAAGGTTGCGAAATCTTTCGGATTTTTGGTACCACCAGCTGTGGATTTGAGTATCCTTTTTTAATTATACTTGAGGATACACGGATATCGTATGGAAATGAAAAATATTTTATTTACTGTTTGCATAAATTTTATTAATCTTTTATTTAAATTCATTTATAGTGCGAAAGTTATTATATTCCTTAACATAATTTCGTATTATAGAAGTAGGCGTAAGTAAAAACTCAAGACCTCGAAAAAAATTAGGTGGAGGAGGTTATGGATATCTGAAGAGCGGGAACAATCCAAATTCAGAGAGGCAAGTACACCGTAGCAAAACCTTCCGGCAAGTAAATAAACGTGAAAAAGACGGTCGACAATTTTCCAGATAACCGTCTTTGAAAATATCTAATAAATTCATTTTTTGAATTTTTTTATCTCGTTATTTTATTATTAATTTTAATACTGAAAAAATAGAATATTTTAAATAGCCACTGTATTATATAAAATATATCATTTAGAGAAAGATGTTCACAAAAATTGTAAGCAAGATACATATGTGTTTACATTCTTTTCCGCACTAAAATTGAATCAGATAGTTAAAATTCAATTGAAAAGTAATCTGTAAATTGTTTCATTCAATATATATGTCTTTTATGATTGAAATTTAAGAAACATCTGAATATCGATATTTTGAAGATTCTGTACGTGAAAGAGAAACTAGAAAGTATATCCATTGATTGTGGCTTGAAACGACACAAGAGAAATACTTAATAATATGTGACACCCACGCAATTTCTCAGCAGGACCATGTATGGTACATGTTGTATGACGTCAGTGCTACTTTACATTAACCAATATACGTGTGTAGGCGCGTTGGATGTGGCGCAAAAGGTAACACTCGTGGGAGAACGTTAAGGCGACAGCCTTCGATAATCGATTGTTTGTCTTCTAACAACGTCTTGATAGGTTACCATAGGTAACTTGAACTTCCGATAAGCGAAATTTCAGCGTACATGATTACATTATACTTCTACAATGTTGACTAACAAGAAAGGTTAACTAAGTGGTTCATCCCGATCGTAACAAAGGCCTTGTAAATGAAACGTATAGAGTATAGATTCGCTCTTGTAATAAATACTATATGCGATATCAATTACATTCTACAGTTACTTTTTGATACAATAATACATAATTAACCCTTGAACAACGGAGCCTGGGTTAATCGTGACCGAAATTTACAAAATATGTACAAGAATGTTAACCTAAACTTAAATTATTTTTTGAAAGGGCTGTCTCCATGATCCGCCATCCGGGAGTTGAAGCTGCTCCACTACCTTGAATGAAATGAAAAGTTTGACTGAAGGAAATCGAATGACGAAAAGATAAATGGCATTGGAATGGAGTATTATAATTCGATCGGCGTTCGGAAAAGTATATTTGTTTTAGAAAAAGCGAAGAGGCTGCGGTGCGCGGTTTAAATCCATGACTAGTTAAACGAAATATCGGGTAGTAGTGCGCGCACCGCACCTGCTTGACCGTGAACGCACCAATAATCGAGGGTTAAGCTATCTTTTATTACAATCTCATTCGTTATAAATGCTTGACGGCATCACCGAATTTTTCTCTGCTTATTCAGAAGAAAGCAAACCCACGCAGGTTATTGGATGTGATGCAGTGTATCGCTCATGGCTCATGCCTGATGAGGCGTGAAAGCAAACCCGAATCACCCTTGTGTGGCCGAGTTCGGACTAATTCTGTCCCTATTTACTTACTATAGATAGGAACACAGACTAGTCTATTGCCCGACTCGACTGTACGACCTCGCCCTTGCGGACACACGCGACACCCACTATCTACTCCCAAGCGAGAACCATGTCCCAAGAACCGTCGTCAATGGAAACAAACATACATATGTGCGTTGTAAAGCGATTGCTTGTTCGGTTACGTGAGAGCGATCGCGGGAGAACAGCTTCACCCCCGGGAGCTGCCACGTCCACATGAAGCAACAGGGGTGGCGCACCCCCACTGTGTATATGTATATTCGCTGCTACACGCGTTTCAAACGTGTTTCATCTAAACGGATTATAGGTATTAAAAGTTAACTAAAATAACTTGATATCGATTATCAAAATTATACTAATTAAAAAAAGAGGTTATCTTTAAAAAATCCCATTATATTCGTTAAACGCAAATAATAAAAGACATCTAAGTATTTCCATGAAAGTCAATTTAACGAATGTATTTAATAGATACAAGGTTGCAATTACGTGCACTTCATAAAAGTTCGATCGCGAGATATTTTTTGCAACATATCGATCGATGCCTAGTTCCAATCTCTGATGCGAAATTCTACATGATTGCGAAATGAAAGTAGGCAGGACCATTAATTATGCATTCTAAAGTATACTGCTTCGAGATTATAATGCAATCGAACACATTGATACATTGTAACCGGATAATTGGAAGGGCATTGAATTAAAAAACGAATAAAATATTCAAATTACAAAATTTATTCAAAATTAAAGTTTCTTAGTAACAAAATATTTTCTGATGAGTTGTATTATCATATATTATTAATGTCGTATATACGTTGGTTGTAATGTAACTAAATCCCTGTTGCATATTTAAACGATAGAAATAGAAATTTACGAAATATAATTTGAAGAACATCCGTGTGTAACGTTTGTTAAATTTTAATACATCGTATACATGGTATTTAATTTCTTTGTTTACAAAATCTACCTTTAGCCGACTTTAAAATATCGAGTTAACGTTGAGATCTAAATTTAGTTTCCGGTTTATTTAAAGCATCGCATTCATTTCCGTTGACGGTTAGTTATTAAATTTATTAAATTTCAGAAAATTATATACGAATCATAGTATGCGCCAATACATAGAAGGTAAAGTTAAAAAATGAAATAAAATGGAAGAAAGGATAAAGAATTCTCGTTGTTACAAATACGTGTTTTTTCTTTTTTGCGACGAACTTGTAATTAATCGGATAAAAGTGAATAAGCATATTGTTTATGACTAGGGCAACGTTCTCGAATATCATAGTTTCTTGAACAATAGTAAAATATTGAAGAAAATTCGATATTTCCTGTTAATAAAAAGAGTTGTACGAAACGATTGATCGATTCATAGATCGAGTAAATCTCAGGGCACCATGGTAAACGATCGCGTCCCTGAATTATTCAACTTGTATACGCGGCGATGGTATGGCGCGTACCTCAATACTCGCGCGTACGGAGAGGCCGTATATGGTAGTGGGCGGTAGCAGCGCGCCGATACACAGAACGCAAGAACCGATGCGCGGAAGACAGCTGCGCAAGTCGTGCACTGCGCATGCGCTCGAACTCCGGAATCTATAGGTATCTTGACGCGGCACATGCACGGATGGAGCAGTAGAACCGAGAATTTTGTAGTGCGTGTTTGTTTTTAATTTCGTGATCTACAATTTAACTTTTTAACCTTAAACAGAGTACAACTCCCAAGAAAGACTACGCTATCTTTCTCTCTTTTTCTCTCTCTTTTCGTGTCTCTGTACCACACGGTTGTTCAATTCTTCCGTCTTTTCCTTCTTGCATCTCTTTTCCCTTTTTCTCCTATCCTTCTTTTTCTTTCTTTCCCTCTTTCCCTTCCTCCTCCTCCTTCTCCTTCTCTTCCTCCACCTCCTCCACAAACCTCCACCGCCTTCTTGTTTCCCTTTCACCTCTCTCCGCTCTCCACGTTCTTTCTCGATCTGTCTATCCTTTCGGTTTTTCTGTTTCTCTCGCTCCTACGTTCGCTCCCCCTTCTCCTCATCCTCCTTTTCCTTCGCACCTCCTCCTCCTTGCACATAGTATACCGACTTCGCTATTTCTAAAAACGTAACGCAATCGTGGCGACGTATGCGAGGAGCGCGCCAGAGAAACCACGAGCGAGGAGGCGCGACGTACGAAACGCGAGTTGTATTAATTACCAGAAAATAAATCGTGCGGGAAACAATCGGCAAAGCAAAAAGTGATATTACAGTGAGATATAACGGAAAGATCTATGTTAACGTTGTGCAAAACCGAACGTGAAAAGACTGCTATCGTTTTAGATCTTAATCGCAACATCGTCTGTCTCTTACTCGTTTACGTTTAACGTTCACTCTTTCTTCCGTCTCCCTCTCTTTGCAATATCTTTCTCTTTTATTTTATTTTTTTTCTCTCTCTTTTGTACATTTATTTTCTATTTTCGCGTGACCGCCATAGGAGTAATCAAGTAATTGCGATGTGTGATAATACTAACACAACGACGCAAAGTATAGCGGACTATCTGTCACAGTTACTAAAAGATAGAAAGCAGTTAGCTGCTTTCCCTAATGTCTTCATACATGTAGAGCGCCTACTAGACGAAGGTAAGCAACCATTAATCCACTAATATCTTCTATACCTTGTTCGGTAATGCATCATTTCATTCGCGACACGCCTTACTTTGGTTCGCATGATTAACGCCCACAGCGATTTATACTTTGAGTTTGATCCAAGCACGTTCCACATGCTCGTGATACTTTTACCACGGTTCTCGATGCCTTACGGTATACGCGTCAACGTAAGCCCAAAGAGAAAACGAGAAAATAAGATAATGAAAATGAAAAAGAAATATGTTCAGTCAACGCCTGAAAATGCTAACTCGTGTCAAAGAGAGACCGGTTCTCGTTCCTCCGTAGTTTGCCATAATCGGCAACGAACTGCCTCGCAAACATCGTATCTAGATCGTGTGTCACGTGTTACGCGTCCCGGTGTCTGTTCGTCGTGTCTTCGAGCCAGCCGTTCACTTTATTTTTTCCAATTTTCTACATCGGACCGAGAAGAAAAGGAAATTAGCTTACTGAACGTAAGTCGAACAGAATAAAATTACAAATATCATGCGACTCGCGATTCCTGCGATCTGAACGTAATTCGATGTAGACTGTGCCGGGGCCAGCCCAGTTCGGCTCCGAATCATCGCATACCAGAGAGGAAACAAGATATGAAACGAAAGCGTGGGAGGGGGGATTGTCAGTGAAAATGAAGTGAACCAAGTGTGTTGAGAACAGTGACCGAGAAAACCAGAAAGCTTGTGATACATGTAGCAATCTCGTGTTCATCGTGTACGTTTTATATTCTTGTGACTTGGACTTATCTCCTTGGTACAAATTCAATGAATTGTTGGTGGAGACAGTTGTGAGATATTCTCGTGGTCGTATACGCAACGGTATTCGTAGATACCGATCGAGCATCGCTCGCAATACGATTTATGTATGATTATAATCGATGACCGATCGTCCGTGATCGATTATAATCGATAACCGTGGTCCATGGTTGATTATCGTAAAAATCGATTAATACACCCCCTCGAAAGTTTGTAAAATCAGTGACACACGCGTACATGAGTATTATCTGTATTTGGTTATTGGAGAACGAGGAAACTGGAGTTGACGATTCAAAAGTTAGAGAAAGTCGTGGTATGTACTTACTTACTCGGTTACAGTGAAATGCTGAAAGTTATCGATTTACGAATTAATCGCAGAGTTTTTATATTTTCAATTGATATTACCACACGTATTGCGTTCGATAACTTAACTTCTGAATTTTTATGCACGTGTTATGGATTTTTTAATCACAATGGATAACCTAAAACCTCAATAATTCGATACATCCCTATTGAAACTCAATTTTATATTTCTTCACGATACACGTATCGTATAGTATCTCTATTTTAATTTAAAAAAGCGATTGTAATTTTCAAAATTAGATGTTGGATTATTTCGGTACGTGTCGTAACGCGGTTGGATATTTAATCTTGCATTTAAACGGATCGAGCGCGCAACATCTAATGCTCAAGAAATCATGAACCTATTTTTCCATCGCGAACCACTACTTAAGATTATGCTCGACACAAGCGCCTATGTATAGAGCTGGGAAGGACAAATACCATAGAAACAGCGTGTTGTCATCGCGTGAAAATAAATTGATTTTCATATTTATTATCCATCCTTTTTTTTCTTCTTTTAAATCAAGTAGCTTAACCTTTCGTTGATAAAAGTAGAACCTTATGTCTGTGATTTTAATTTGTATGCTTCTTACATAAATGTACATTTTTTTTATGGTAATCGAGAGTTGTTAAAACGTGACTACTTTTGAAGGGGTGTACTTGCGTGTATACAGTTCGTTTTCCTGTTAAAGCATGATCCGTTTAAAAAAATTATCAAAATTTTTATTTTAACAATTGGTTTTTCAATAACATGTAGGTTTTATAAATAGTTTTGAACAATCAGATTAAAGTTTTCTTTTTTTCTCTTTGTTAATTTATATAAAAATAACATTGTTTAAAATGCATATATGTACATATGTGCATTCGAGTCGTCTATACTGTTTCACAGGAAATGTGTCAAATGGCGTTTACGACAAGAACCGGTTTCACGAAAGCTCTCGGACTTGTTGCATTCCTGCGAATATAGTCCTGTTGATGCAAAGAAATTTATTTATTTAATCTTTATATTAATTCTGCTGTTAAATATTTAAACTGAGTTGATTCAAGTTAATGTACATACGAATATACATATTTATAAAAAAAAAACTATGTTTCTATAATATGTATATTATATTATTCGCATAAATCGGTGTTCTTGTAAAAATTCTTGTAACGTTTGTCAGCAACTTGAAGAGCGATTTTTTGGAAAGATATCTATAACGCTTATGATAGTATAGACAGTATAGTAATCTCTGTAGCACTTTTTTATATCTTCAGATATTTAATCTGTCCTTTTAATAAGAATTAACATTCTGATTGCCACGTTGATGTTGAAAATTGTATTAAGTATTTTTATTTGAACAAATCTTATTTGTTATTTTCATAATATTTAATTCAGTAGCGCAACTGAGGAGGGGATCTGAAGGGTTAATTGACCCCTATTAAGAAATTGAAACCTTTTTTTCTCCTAATAAATAGCGAAATATTATTTAAAACCTCAGAAATTGTTGTGAGAAATAAACAGAAATGAAAAAAAATTTGTTTGACCCCTCTATCTGACAGTTATGATTGCGCCATTAATTTAATTGCATCTATCATCCATGATTCCAAGTATTTCATACAAGTATTTCTAATTAGCTAAATAGAAAAATTTTGGATAATATGGATTACTAAGAAAATCAAATGATGTGGCAGTCAAAGTGTTAAAATATATGAATTATACATATGTAAATTCAAAACCCAAAATTTGAAAATTTCAAAACTGGAGACTCAAAATTTGGAATTTTCAAAACTGAAAGCTCACAATTTGGAAATTTCAAAATTCGAAGCTCAAACTAAAAATTTCAGAATTTAGAACGTACAGCTCAAAATTCGAAAATTTCAAAATTTAAATTTCCTAGTTAAAAAAGATGTTACATAAAACTTTCCATAGTAAGCATATTTAGGGTAGTAGTGAAACCTTTTTTCCCTAGAAGACCATTTTCCCTAGGGAAGCTTACCGTACATATCTGTCTGTGTAAATGGATAAGAAAAGTAGATATACTTGAATGCGAATCCAGTGGAATAAGGAAAAGTAAAAATGGGTAAATAGTATGACCCAGAGCTAGATCTTGTAGACAATATTGTTGATCGTGGTGCATCGTTTACGTTGGCTCAAGCGTATTGCAATCGTGTCCGAAAGATCTATTTCGAACACGACGTAGCAAGTTTTCTCGGTGACCTAGTGGCGCGAATAGAACTCGTTGTCAAGCGCGTCCTTTCGAAACTGTCTAGCGAAAACTTGGACACACACGAGGTCTAGTTTTCTTCTGCTACTAGGTCGTTGTGCTTAATTGTTTCAAGTGGAATACGTATGAAATCATACGAGTTATGAAATGACGAATATATCCCTAGCTGAAGATTCAGCTTATTATAATGCATAGTATAAAACAACGGTAGTCGGTTCAATTTCATTTGCATGGTTCTCTTCTAATCATTTTACCGTGGTATAATTTTCTTCTCGCTATTGACCTAATCTGCTTACAATCATCCGCAAGATTACACACTGCAATTATCGTAACATCATAATGAGATAAATAGGGTGCCCCATTTTCTATTAATGAAATATTTGATGAAAAACGAATTTAGATCTCTGCAAACACATTATCGATGAAAATATTAATTTTGATTGTTTGCGTCTTTATAGGTTGCAAGGACATAGGGCAAAAGTCGAGAGTATTGAAAATATTTCATTGGAGACAGATAACCGCACAATCTATTCTAGTAAAACTATAACACAACACGGATATTTTATACTCGTAATTTATTGTAAAATTTGATGATAAATTTAGTTCATTTAATTTTGAAAATATTTAAGCACTGGGCCCAGGGCAAGTGCCTCGTTGCCTGGTGCCACTAGAGGCGCCCCTGCTTACGATGTAACGATTAGATCGCATGTTCTTTGGGACAATAAAACGTGTAGAAATCGCGTTTGAAAATATATCTGAACAATTCTAAATCAACAAGTTGGTCGTTCTGAATACATAACTTTAACCGAAATACGTAGATGCACGTATTCGATGCATAAACATCGCGACGCGTTACGGTTTGTTGGTCGGTTTCCAAACTTCAATCATGACAATATATACGAGTATTAAAAATATCTGGTACACATGTAAGTGACGCTCTTAAAAATTATGTATCTATTGTCAAGTGAGAGAGATAGGTAGATAGGAATGAATGGTATAAATCAATCAAGTCCCAATTTTAATATAACTTTGTATCTTATATTACTTTCATTTTCTAAATTTTACGTTGTTCCTTTAAAAATTATTTTTCTAATATATGAAACTCTTTAGTTAAAAAATTATCCATTTAACTTTCGATTAATATCCCTGTATATATTTTGTAAATTATCGTTGTTTCCTTTCGATATTTTGTCGTTACGTTGGCCGATCGGCAGCGATCGCAGCCTGAGAATCCTTGTCTTCGAGTCTGTTATTTCGCTTTGGCGTAGCGGTGTTTCTGTAAACATCGAGCAAGTATCAGGGCGACAGTGGCAATAGCGGCAGCAGTGGCGACAAAGGCGGTAGCGGCCGCATTCCTTCTTTCCTCTTTGTTCCTCTTCGTTTCTGTTCCTTTTAGTGGTCGATCGAAGAGGTTATCCATACCCGTTAACAATCGTCCAGTATCGTAAGTACGTCGGCTTACGGAAGTACTCGTTAAAACGTAATCTTCATTTAATACGTTAATCTTTGATTAACGCCTGGTAATGTCTGTCCATATCGTAAGATCTCTTAGCCACTCCAACTTTTACGGAATAACGGTAATTTGAAGTTGAATCAATTCTACCTGATTCGATAGGTAAATCGTAATCTAAAGTGTCCCGAGTGTCAGCACGCGCTTAGTGTCAACAATACATAA